TGGCAAACATTCATTATTAACCTAGAAAAAGAGAAAGTAGTTAAAATGGCCCTAAAAATAAGAGGGTTATGATAGAACGCTCTTAACAATTTGGGTAAATTTTGAATTTTAAACTTGAAAAAAATATTAAAATAAGAATCTGAGTAATTTATGCACATTTAACATATGCCCAAATCTCTTATTATGCTATTTAGAATTGAATTTGGGCTAAATAAAGTCTTCACACCTCTTGAGCCTCGAGTTCACTAGAATTAGACACATAGACTACGTTTTACTTCATTTTATCATAAAATTCATATATTTTCAACTTTGTCAACACCAATTATATGTGTTTTCTTCAACTAGGTCAAAAACCTTTCATCCTTCTTCTGGTTGATTGTATTGAGCTACATAAGAAAGGCAGATGTAAGAACCCCTTCAACACATGCTCTTGAGAATCAAGAGATTTCTCAAAGAAGTTCTAAAAGGCAAAATATAGATGGAGGCAAGATGAATATAGAAGTTAAAAGTATTGTAAGTTATGATAGATGGAGGCAAGACGAATATGGAAGTTCAACTTCACCTCTTATATACACCAGAATGATACCAAAGAAAGCTTTAGTATGCTTCTATCATCTCTAACTAGAAGGAGTCCCACAAGATGCTACAGGAGTTAATGAAGATAAGGAATGCAATCCAAGACAAACAACAAATGACCCGCTTCAAAAAAAATTAAGTCAACTAGAAACAGACTTCACAAATGGAACCTCAAGTAATGGAAGTATTGCTCTATTCTTAGAGATTTGCAAGCAAAAAGAAGAAAGGAGAATCAATCATGAAGTAATCAGCTAAAGTAAATGAAGGGATAATAAAAGCAAATGCAGGAACACGATGGTATGGGTCACCCCTTCCCAACTTGAGCCTAAATCAAAACAAACATGTTCAAAGGTAAATATCCTTTCTTTTGCACTTATTAATTCATAATTTTACATATGTCAATCATCTTCAAGTGTAAAATCAGAAATTTCAACCATCCACAGTGATGTAGAACTCAAAAAATCAAGAAATTCACCAAACCCAACTGATGGGGTTAGTGGAGTAAAACTGCCCTTAGTGAGGTTGAGTTATGCAGCCGCCACCAGGGACACACATATTAGACCTAAATTCACGAATAATATCTCCATGAAAGATGGGTATAAAACCACTATTTTTTTTCAAGGATATTAAAACATTGTCAGCCCCTTTTCTAGATGCCTTGGTAGGGAAGTTCTCACCTACCAGACCAAGCTTACTAGAGATAAGGGACAAGTTGAAAAAAATAGGAAGATTTGACAGGAAAATATTGTACGAACAAACAGCATGTAATAATCAGATTCACATAAATGTAAATTTTCAGATGGTATGGAGTAGGGAAGTGTGAATAATCAAGATTATTTTATGAGAACTTTTAGATGGTCTCCTTACTTTACCCTAGGGGAGAAACCTTCTAATAGTCCCTGTTTGGATCGAATTCCCGAGATTGAGATCCCATTTCTTAAATCCCTTGACATTTACAAGCATCAAAATTATGGTAAGAAAGTTAATTTTCATTAATAAGGATGTTAAAATGTTCACTAAGTCAGGCTATGCACATACATGTGTAGAAATTAATTTATCAAAACCTATTCTAGATTTATAATCATATATAATGGGGACAAAGAGACAATTAGACAACATGTGGTGATGGAATGCAAATCTCCATTTTGTAGCATTTACTGGAAGATAGGCCATCTAAATTAAGAACGCAAAAATAGAATGAGAAGAGAGGAACTAGACAAAAGAACCAAGTTCCTTGCCCTCCGATGTAGGTGAAAAAAAAATAGTACTATCTAAACTGTGGTAGGATATAATGTATTGGGGTAAGAAGGAGAAGGGTGGAGGAGTATGGGAGAGGATTGAGAGCCCTTATTATCACGAAAGAACCTACTAAACAATGGGTCATAAAAACATTCCATCAGAAAAATAAATTATTGACTGAAAAAACAGGATAGAGGAAAGGGGCCTGCCAAAAAATAACTTAAAAATAAATACACACTTGCAACAAGTTGTGAGAGCTGATCGACCCCCTCAAACCAAGACGGGGGAGCTCTTCCAAAGGGAAAATAGAATTGATGGTAAAACTGAAATATAAAAAGTAATTGTTGCCTCTACAACACCCCTTAAGGAGAGTAATCTAGAAAAAAACTCGAGCATCTCGAATAGTTCTATAGAAGAGGAAGAAAGTTGTCCTTCCCATCAAAAGGAGAAGGGGAAGTTGCCCCACTCAATCTCACAATCTCCTTGGTATGGACACAAAAAAGATAGCATCCTCTAGATCTCCTCCAGCCCAATGCCTTCCCAATTATTTGATCCTATGAAAAAAAAACTCTAAATAGGCAGGCATCCGTCTCATCTGTGGAGAATACACCATGAGAGAAGAAGGATCAGAAAGTGGCAGCTAAGATTCTTAGGAAAAATGAAGATGTGCCATAAACAGAAGAAGACCAAGAAGAACACACGAAGGTGGACTCATCTATAGGAGATAGTAAATCTCATCAGACTGGGTTGACAAAAGTAGCTAAGGTGTTTGAAGAGAAATCAGCAAAGGAACTTAACTAAGAAGAGAACAGTGTTGACGACGATGAGGATGTAAGATTGAGGAATCCATGCGAGCATGACTATGAAAACCTGTCATAGGAAAATTGTGATTTAGAAGAAAGTTGGTCAAGGAAAGAAAATAATATAATGAAAATCATTTCTGAAGAATTGGGTGAGGGGGTGGGATTCAAATATAGGTAGAGAAGAAGATTGGCTAAAATTCAAGGCCAATCATCGAAGTCCACTAGGGACTTAGATGATTGAACCCTTCAAACTTAGCCAATCGCAAGGGGAATGCAACTCATTATCAGGTGAAATGGAAATTGAAATTTTCAGTATCTACTTTCATGAAAACGGGACATAGTGAAACTAGAAAAGGCTGACCAACGACAGAATGAAAGGGGCTATGATACCTATGCTCTGAACATTTGTGAAACTTAAGCCTTCTTACTTTAAACTTAATAGTTTGTCTACCCTGTAGGATCATCGGAGGATAAAGGGAGAGATGAGTAAATGTATGAACAATAAATAGTATTAAGATTTAGAATCCACGTAAAGATGCACAAAATTCTGAGTATAACCCATTTCTAATGCTAGTCATGTATAGAATCTGTGGTACAAAATCCCTTGAATGAATAAACTCGTACAAAGTAAGTGACACCACAAAATATATACGAATGGAGAGAAGGGGAGGTGCCATAAGTCGTGAAGGAATAGAAAAGAGAAAAAAAAAAGACAAAAAGAAAGGGGGAGATATACACATTGAAGGAGGAAGTGCCAATAGTCATGATCCGTAAATCCATACCTAACCTATGAGGAGGAAGCAACCAATTCCACCCTTATCCTAGAAATATGCATAGATTAGTGAATTAAGTGATGATAATTTGCTTAAAATTTGGCGATTTATGTGAATTCTATTCTATGATTAATGTCTACCATAAGCTCCACTCTCACCTATCTGAAAATGATGGTTTCATCCACTCTTCTCCTAAGGTCTCAAATTTTGTAATCCACTGGATGAAACAGCCTCCCCTGCCCTTAATATATAGTTAACCAATATTTTAGCACATGGTCAAAGCTTCCAAGACACTTGCCTTAAGATTTATCTTTTGTGTAAAAATTAGGCCCTTGTACATGGTATCACAAGGGAGATGGATATCAAGACACCAACTCAAGTAGAGGAAGTGGCCAGCCATAGACAGGCCTGAAAGGAAAGAAGATCATTGTCAAGTACAAGGAGTGAAGAGATGAAATAAGAGGGTTAATGGATTCTGGTCGTAAGGGCCATAAACTTGATCTTTTTTTATTTATGTATACTGCTGCAGTGCGGCTGCAGCTAAACTCAATTATCTCTTCGGCTGGACAATGTAATTTTCTCTTGTGTTATAATAATGAATTTTTTATTTTTTAAAAGTATTATTTTAGTATCACAAGGTCTTTTTTCAAATTTCTTAGATTATTTTTCTGATTTATTTTCAGAGCCCTATTAATTGTCACAATAGTGGGTCTCTGGGTAAGGAATCCTTTTTCATCATTGAATAATTGCCGGAAAATTTTTTGGGTGCTATTGATTTTAAAATACAGTGTTGAAATTAAGCGGTTTTAAAGAGAATTTAGGAGGTTTCTCCGTCAAATATTGGGAAAAATATAATCGATTCCTGTTTCAGTTTTAAATGAGGAGTTCTTGAAGATCATGTTAGTTGGCGAGGCGTCGGCAGATGTCAGCGCTGACATTTGTATCCTTTACGAAGCATAAGGCCTCTCGGACAGCCTCAACTTTTGTTGACCTAGTGATTGCAGTCGAGGATAAGAATGTACGGAGTGTTCGTAGGGACCTCGCAGACTTCCATAACTGCAAGCTCAAGAAGATAACAATAAAGACTAAAGCTAACCTTTTTAGCTTTCTTGATGATGACGAGAATAGCCAGGAAGAGCACAGGGACTAACCAGAGCACTCATTGCGCCGGCCTTCTTGTGGTGCTGATAGCCAGGTCTCTTCTCCCTTGGGACATCATTTACCCCGCTCTGCCTGAGCAAAACCTGAAGATGATGAAGAAGAAGAAGATCGTAGGCTAAGAACTTGACGCAGAAAAAGCTGACATTCCTACGGGCTTGATTCTTTTCTACTCTTCCAGATGTCCGCTCCACCCGTCCGATAGAAACCGCCTCTGCCTTCCCCATCCCGCAACACCGCCGGCAGGTTCTCTCGGACAGGTGGAGCGGACACCCAGAAGAGTAGAAAGGAATCAAGCGCGATCGGCGGAGGTTTGCTTCCGTTCTCTCATTCCAACTACCGACGCCGACGCTCTAACCTCTCCTCTTCTCATGGCCATTACAAATCCTCTGTATGGCGAGACGGCGATAATAGCTCTGTTCTTGGCGCCCGTGCTGACCAAGATCGCGGGATGGAGTCGGGAGGCCCTCCCTGCAGGTGCTGCGCGAGGCCGGTGGGTGTCTCGTCCGTGTGCGGTGTGGCCTTCTCGGCTTGCCCCGGGTGTGATTATTCTCTCTGCCCGACATGCTTGGAGGACGAGCTCAGAGGGGGACGGGAGATCTGCCCGAGGTGCAACACACCTTATTGTGAGTATCTGGTATCCCTTGTGATTACTTTTCGTGGTGAAAATTCTTCAGCCGTACCACCTAAACGAAACTTGTGCTATCCAGACAATTCTTCGGAGAATCACGAGGTACCGGGCGAGAGGTTGACCATGGGTTCTCATCTCGACGATTATCTGGTACAGGATGGATTGGATGGATGGTTTTTATTGAATAATATTGTTTTTAGCTAATCATCGGCCTGTTGTTCGGGAGATTAACCATCCCTCGTCATGTTTCTTCTCTGTACAGGGTGATGGAGCTCATGTCAGGAGTTCAAGCAGCCTCTCTGAGGTGGAAAGTGGTAACGCTCGCAGGTTTCCAAACTTTCTTCTTGAGGATTCATCATTTGCCATAAAATAATGACGATCTATGTGCTTCTAAAGAGACAGATGGCGGATCTGGAAACCCACTTTGGAAGAACAGAGTGGAGGGTTGGAGAGAAAAGAAAAATAAAAAGAAGAATAACGGAAGTAATTATAAAAAGGAAACTCAAGCTCCATCAGAACAGCAGATTGTGGACAGCCAGTAAGCATCTTATTGAGGCAAATCATTCAATTTTTCTACATTGTTAGACTTCCAAACTTATGGAAGAAATTTGTGTTCAAGATATACGGATTTCAAAAAGATTTATTTTGCTAACTTCATTCATCGCAGTATGCTTAGATTTGTGAATATGAAAGACATTTTTTCATCATCTTTAAAAATCTCTGTCTCGTCCCTTACATTAAATTATCATGTCTTATGTTGATATGTGCAAAGGTATGCGACGGTTTCAGTTTCCTCTCTCCATATTTAATTATTTTCATCACCCCATTCCTAAAACAGTATAATTATCTGTCTCAAATCTACAATGCTCTCGATTTCCACTGTATATTTTCACTATCTGCGATCTTTTTTATGGTATTGTGTTGTTTCAAGGTCAGCAGAAGATGGAGAGCCACTTTCTAGAGCTGTTCCCATTTCTAGAAACAAGCTCACAGCGTACAGGGCGATGATCATTGTGAGATTGGTAGTCCTCCTCCTCTTCTTTAACTACAGAATTACGCACCCTGTTGACAGTTCTTACGGTCTATGGCTGACATCTGTAATCTGCGAGATTTGGTTTGCCATATCTTGGGTTCTAGACCAGTTTCCCAAATGGTCTCCTATAACGAGAGAAGCATACATTGAGAGGCTGTCCTCAAGGTACGCCTCTAAAATTTCTGGTCAATGAAAACTTTCGATTAAATCCTTCGATGTCAGGCTTCTATTTATCGACCTTAAATTTATTCTACGTGATGTGTTCTTCCTGAATATCTGAATTCATTATGGAAAAGTATCCGATTACTCTTTGACCCGTTGACGATATAAGATAATGCTTTTAGAAAATGAATTGTCAACGCAAATCGTCAACAAGATACTATGAAAAAATATGTTTTATTCTCAAGGGCCCGTATTTATCTATTTTATGTATGTTCTTATTCCAGATATGAGAAAGAAGGTGAAGCCAGTGAGCTGGCTGCTGTGGATTTCTTCGTGAGCACTGTGGACCCACTAAAGGAGCCGCCACTGATCACCGCAAATACTGTGCTTTCAATTCTCTCTGTGGATTATCCTGTCGAGAAGGTATCTTGCTACGTTTCTGATGACGGGTCCGCCATGCTCACCTTCGAAACCCTCTCCGAGACAGCAGAGTTTGCAAGAAAGTGGGTCCCATTCTGCAAGAAATACTCGATCGAGCCGCGGGCCCCGGAATTTTACTTCTTGCAGAAGATCGACTACTTGAAGGACAAAGTCCACCCCTCTTTCGTCAAAGAACGAAGAGCCATGAAGGTGACCGCAACCTCAGGCCCACCCACGTTTTCTTACTCTGATTCTCGCAAACGCCTTTGACAGCCAGAAGAACCCTCACTGATGATCTCCATCTCACTGTTACAGAGAGATTACGAAGAGTATAAGGTGAGGATAAACGCTTTGGTAGCCAAAGCTCAGAAGACCCCAGATGAAGGCTGGATGATGCCAGACGGAACGCCCTGGCCGGGGAACAACCCCCGCGATCACCCTGGAATGATTCAGGTTCCCCGTCATAACCCGTGGGAATGTCATCTCTTTCCGCGCCAAGTTCTTAGTCTGTGATCTTCTTCAGGTTTTTCTCGGGCACAGCGGGGCTCATGACATCGAAGGAAAGGAGCTTCCGCGGCTGGTTTATGTCTCAAGGGAGAAGAGACCTGGCTATCAGCACCACAAGAAGGCCGGCGCGATGAATGCTCTGGTTAGGCACCCCTGCGTTCTTCCTGATTGTTCTCGTCACGATCGAAAAGGGTTGATTTAATCTTATTTTTATCTTCTTGAGCTTGGAGTTATGGAATGTCTGCGGGGTGATGCAGGTCCGAGTCTCGGCCGTCCTTACGAACGCTCCGTACATTCTCAACCTCGACTGCGATCACTATGTCAACAACAGTAAGGCCGTCCGAGAGGCTATGTGCTTCATGATGGATCCAACAGTGGGCGCTGACATCTGCTACGTCCAGTTCCCCCAGAGATTCGATGGCATTGACCGTAGCGACCGATATGCGAACCGCAACGTGGTGTTCTTTGATGTCAGCTGCTGAACCTTGGAGAAAACAGAAATAAAAAATAAAAATGGAGAGATTGAGAACGAGGCCCTCGTGTTCTTACTCACACTTCTTCGTTTGCTGATGATCGCAGGTCAACATGAAAGGTCTCGACGGCATTCAGGGCCCCGTCTATGTGGGAACGGGGTGCGTCTTCTTCCGGCAGGCTCTCTACGGGTACGGGCCGCCGCCGCCGCCGTCGGCCCTCTCCGCCGCTTCTTCCCGCAGCTGCTGCCGCCTCTGGTGTCGACCCCCTAAGAAAGACCCCAGAGATCAGAAAGAGATTTACAGAGATTCGCTGCGGGAAGATCTCAGCTCTGCGATCTTCAACCTCAGGGAAATCGACAGTAAGCTCCTCCACTCCATCTTCCTCACAATCTCGGGGGAGAGTTGACACTGCTGAAACCCAGAGCCCGTGCAGACTACGACGAGCACGAGCGGTCGCTGCTCATCTCCCGGCTGAGCTTCGAGAAGACCTTCGGGCTTTCCCCGGCGTTCATAGAATCGACGCTGATGGAGGCCGGCGGAGTCGCCGAGAGCGTTGACCCATCGACCCTGATCAGGGAAGCCATTCACGTCATCAGCTGCGGGTACGAGGCGAAGACCGAATGGGGCAAGGAGGTACCACGGCGAGAGACGTCCTTCTCTTTTCTTCCTGGTTCTAAAAAACCCTATTTTTACAGAGGAAGAAGAAGCTGAAAAATGCCTGGAAACACTGGTTCTGTTCTCAGATCGGCTGGATATACGGGTCCGTCACAGAGGATATTCTGACGGGGTTCAAGATGCACTGCCGGGGCTGGAGATCGATCTACTGCATGCCGGCGAGGCCGGCCTTCAAGGGCTCGGCCCCCATTAACCTCTCCGACCGGCTGCACCAGGTGCTGCGCTGGGCGCTCGGTTCCGTGGAGATCTTCCTCAGCCGGCACTGTCCTCTCTGGTACGGCTTCGCCGGAGGCCGCCTCCGGTGGCTCCAGCGGGTGGCCTACATCAGCACCGTCGTCTACCCCTTCACCTCTCTCCCGCTCGTCGCCTACTGCGCCCTGCCAGCCATCTGCCTCCTCACCGGCAAGTTCATCATCCCCACGGTAACCCAAAAAAAAACTCTCATGTCATCTCTCTGGTTCATCATTCCGACGAGCTAATTCCTCTGCTTGTTGCAGCTGTCGAACTTGGCGGGCGTCTGGTTTCTAGGGTTGTTCGTCTCGATCGTCATGACCACCGTGCTGGAGCTGCGGTGGAGCGGGGTGGGAATCGAGGACTGGTGGCGGAACGAACAGTTCTGGGTGATCGGCGGCGTCTCGGCGCACCTCTTCGCGGTCTTCCAGGGCCTGCTCAAGGTCCTAGCAGGAGTCGACACCAGCTTCACCGTCACGGCGAAGGCCGCCGCCGGCGACGGCGGCAGCGAGTTGGGAGAGCTCTACGCCGTGAAGTGGACGACCCTGCTGGTCCCGCCGACGACCCTGCTGGTGGTGAACCTAGTGGGAGTGGCGGCGGGATTCTCCGGCGCCGTCAACGGTGGGTACGAAGCGTGGGGGCCGCTACTGGGGAAGATGTTCTTCGCCATGTGGGTGGTGGTGCATCTGTACCCATTCCTCAAGGGGCTGCTGGGGCGGCAGAACAGGATTCCGACGGTGGTGGTGCTCTGGTCTCTGCTGCTGGCCTCCCTCCTCTCGGTCCTCTGGGTGAAGCTAGACGCCTTCCTTGCCCAGAGGGACCCTTCGGCTGCTGCGCAGAGCTGCATCTCCTTCGACTGCTGAGTTTCTACCCCCTCTCTCTCTCTCTCTCTCTCTCTCTCTCTCTACCTCTCTGTGTGTTTCGTGGAAAACATCAGAGCAATGAAGAGGATGATCCTGAGAATGCGACGTTGAGCGTTAAATACGTCTTAATTCGAATGAAATTAGAACGAGATACGCGCATAAAAATGTCTGGACGGGGGGGGTGGGTGGTGATAAACAGGTGACAAAAAATAGTTTTCCGTTGCCGGGACTTGAACCCGGGTCTCTCGGGTGAGAGCCGAGTATCCTAACCAACTAGACTACAACGGATGTTTATTGATCTGCAACTTAATTTAATTTAAATTATAGAAAACATTATTTCTATGTTCCCATGTATCTTCCACTAATATCCTATCTAAGGTGACAAAACTTTTTTTTTATGCTAAAAATGTGATGATATTACCATCACAAACGAGCATATGCTACCATTGTAACATTTTTTTTTTTTTGTCACATTCTGTATATCGCTGACTGATTTTTTTATATTTTTATTATTTTGTATGATATATTATTATTACTACTATTACTATGATTTGGCCTCTTAGTGAACGAGTCTATAATGGGTGATTTGAATCTAGATCTTCCTCACCAAATAGAGTCAAAGTTAATTACATATTCCTGAAAAAAAATCACAAAAAAACTAAATCATGTTTTTATTAAAAAAAATGCAAGATTTAAAACATCAAGCACATATCCTAGTTTATCTAAATGATAAGAGCTTGTTTGATAAATGTACACCAAATAACTCCCGTTTGAAAGATATGGGCCGCCCATTGATGGTTTTAGGCCCAAAGATCTGTGGATAATTTCTAGTTCCTATTGCTCATGAAATTGTCATAAAAAATGCACTAAATTATCAACACAAGACTTAATGAGCTCGTTCCAATAAAGTCAAATTATTGATCATAGGACAACATTATTAGATCAATAACCTCATTAAAAGTGGATATTGACAGGGGCACAAGGCTCATATTAGGGTTTGAGATGGAGCACAGAGCCCACCAAAAAGACGATTACCAGCACTAGATTGACAAGCGGATGAAGGAGAGGTCAAGTGAACCGTTAGACACAACATCCACACTAGGGCGATGGGCTTGAGTGTAGTCACTGGGCGCGGGGCCTGAGACCCAGTTGGGTCCACGTCCGTATTACTCGATGGGTCTTTCTACTAGCCACAGTAGCTCAAGTGGCCTCCCTTGCGTCGTTCCTCCTCTCTTCTTCCGGCAGAGCTTCGGGCGAGGGACGATGGCGTCGGCCTGAACCCGCCGGCTTCCCGTCTTCTCTTCATCTGGCGCAGCGGTGGTGGTGGCAGCAGAGGCGAAGGCATCCTCTTTCTGACGGAGCTTCCTTCCGTCTCATCTTCTCTTCTCTGGGCAGCGGCGGGTGGCGACCCCGGAAGCACAGCGAAAATCGGGCGGCGTCCAGAGTAACCAACGCGAGGATACTTTTTAGGGATGATATTGGCGAGGGGGCAGCGGCGGGTTCCTCCTATTCTTCTTTGAAGCCCATCGGGGTATGTGTTTCCTTCTTTTGGGAGGGGATCCCTGCCAGATTTTCCCCATCCCACAGTCACCTCATCGTTGTTCTGATCCATCAAAAAAGCCTTTTCTTTTTTATTTGCTCGCATCAATCCTTTGTATGTTCCTGTTTCGGATCGAATTGCTTGTATAGCTGACTGGGTGTATTTTTTTTACGGAGATGCAGATGAATCGGTCCTTTCTTGGGAAAAGGACTTATCAAGCAATTTCTTCTTCGTCGCCTGATCTTACTGCCAGAAGATCAGCATCCTCTCCTGCTAAATTCACCTCTGTTCATGAAGGTGATCGATACTGGTTGGGAAGACTGGATCATAAAGATTGGCTTGCACCTAACGAGGTCCTGAAGATCTTCAGGGGGCTCACGAACCCTGATTTGCTGGTTGATGCCTTCAGAAAGATCTCAAGCAGAAAAGACTACAAACCCAGTGAAGCTCTCTATAGTCTACTCATCAGTAGACTTTCTCATGCTAGAAAATTTGGCATCATCGAGGATCTGCTGCCGATGATAAAATCCGAGAGATGCAGGGTCTCTGAAGAATTCTTCTTCCAGTTGATCAAAATCTATGGAAATGTAGCCAATCATCCCGAGCAGGCCATTAAAACCCTGATGATGATGCCCGATTTCCACTGTTGGCCGACGGTCAGGACCTTCAACTATGTCCTCAACATGCTGGTCAACGCCAAACAGTTTGACGTCATCCACGAGGTTTATCTGAACGCCCCCAAACTGGGTGTCGAGCTCGACACTTGCTGCTTTAACATCCTCATCAAGGGTCTGTGCAGCTGTGGAAATCTGGCCGCCGCATTCTCCCTGTTCGAAGAAATGCCCAACCAGGGCTGCAAGCCCAACGCTAGGACATACTCAACGCTGATGCATTCTCTCTGTAGGAACGAAAGAGTCTCGGATGCCTTTGACTTGTACAGGAGGATGGAAGCTGATGGGTGCTACCCTGACACAGTGACATTCAACATCCTGATCTCCGGTCTCTGCAGGGAAGGGAAAGTGATCCAAGGGATGGAGTTCTTGAAGAAAATGAAACTGAAAGGATGCTACCCGAATTCAGGAACATACCAGGCTCTCCTCTATGGGTTTATCGACGCAGGGCGGTTCGTGGAAGGCAAGGAGTTCATGGGCCTGATGCTCGCCGACGGCTACTGCCCGAGTTATTTGTCTTACAAGACGCTCATCGAGGGCCTCTGCAGAGGGAGCTTCATTGCAGAAGCCGAGGAGGTTCTGAAGCAGATGGTCCGCCATGGTTTCGTTCCTCGGATGGGCACCTGGAGGGAGATTCTTCAATGCCTGCTTTTGAGGACCGAAGCTCCTGATTCCTTCGATGTTCTGATCAGAGATCTCGATCGATGAACAATATGCCTTTTGGGTGATCTCCTGATTAACCCTGACAAAATTGTAATTGCTGGGGTGCGTGCGGTAACAGCACACCAGAATCATCACTGATGAACAGCACGCCACATCTTCTCATCCTCCGGGGCTTCTCAGGCGGGCCATTTTGTCACTGGAAGACAGTAAGGAGAGAGGGGAGGCCACTTGTGCAAAGGGGATCGCTTTCTCTTTCTGCAGAAGGTGGCGGGGCCTCCGAAAGTGACGTTCATCTGCAGAAGGAGGTTCTTCTGGAACCTCGACGAAGGGAGATGGGTAACTGTAAAAAAATCGAATATTCTCTCTTCGTGCTCGTCCACAACACTCTCGCTCTAGTTGGGAGCTCGTGAGGGAGTCAACAGACAGGGCGGCGGTACATCACACGTGCGAGCAGGTCAGAGATAATGCGCGGGTGCTAAACCGGAGCACGTGGCAATACTTTCCTATCCTCATTTGTTTTTTAACATTAACACTGATTTTGAACTTTCTCTTACTCAAAAAAAAAGGAGGAGAATTTCCTTTTTTATATTACCTTATATTTATCCAAATTGGGCAATTGAAGTGTATATCATCGTGGCACGTGCCACACCGCCTGCCCTGCTGGAAAGATCCCTCTTTTCCTTGTCCGAAGGCGCCCCTTCTGCTGTCGTAAACGGTCAATCTCCGGGGCGGCGCTAGATCATCATCGTAGGTTAGTCTGTGGTCCCCTGAAATGTCGGGTGGGCCCAGGTCAACCCCGTGCAAGTGAGGAGGCTGGGGAAGCCTGAAGTGGGCCCCACCACACTCACGGGTCTCCCTCTATCTTGCGTGCGAGGATAGCGACCACCGGAAGCCCCGGAACAAATGTGGTCCCTTTGATCCACCGCCTGAGTATCAGCAATTAAGAACACCCCCTCCCTCTTCCCCTTCCTCCCAAAAACCCTTGATAAATATCAGCTCTCTGTTGTTTCCAGCTGCTCTCTCTCTCTCTCTCTCTCTCTCTCTCTCTCTCTGTGCTATCATCAATGGGGCAACCTAGAGGGGGAGCTCTGGTGCTGGTGGTGTTGGTACTGCTTCCTTGCGCAGCGGCGGCGGCGCTCCCGCCGGCGCCCTCGCCGGAGGCGGCGCCGCCGCCGGTGGTGCTGGTTCGGCCGATCCCCTCGCCGGCGGCGTCGTCGGACCTGGACCCGAAGCAGCTCACCGCCCTCCAGTCCATGAACCTGCCGACGACACGTGACCCCTGCTCCATCCCTCCGCCGCGCAACTTCACCGCCTGCGACTCCGCCACCCCTTTCCGGCGACTGGTGGCGCTCACCCTCGCCAACTGCTCCTCCGACCTGGACATCTCCGCCACCGCCCTCCGCGCCCTCGCCCCCAGCCTCCGCTCCCTCTCCTTCCTCTTCTGCCCCGTCCCCCTCTTCAAGCTCCCTCCTCAGCTCTCCTCCTCCCTTCGCTCCTTCTCCTGCGCCGCCTCCCTCCGCCGCCTCACCGGCGTCTGGCTCAGCCGCCTCGCCAACCTCACCGATCTCACCGTCACCGACGCTACCATCACCGCCAGCGGGCCCTCCGTCATCCTCTCGCAGATGTACAACCTCCGCAGGCTCACCATCTCCCGGACCAACCTCGCTGGCTTCCTCCCCCACCACTGGCACTCACTCAACCTCACCTCCGTCGATCTCTCCGCCAACCAGCTCAGGGGCCCTGTCCATGGCTCCATCGGGCAGCTGCAGTCACTAGAGCTGCTGAACCTGAGCTCCAACTCGCTGTCTGGGGTCTTGCCAGCCGCCGTCGCCAACTTGGTCTCCCTCAAGAACGCATCTCTCGCCCGCAATTCCCTGTCCGGGCCGATTCCGGAGACGCTGTCGGAGATGGCGGCGCTGGTCCACCTCGATCTGAGCTCGAACCAGTTTAACGGCACCCTGCCCAGGTTCTTGTCGGAGATGAGGGCCCTCAAGTACCTCAACCTGGGGGACAACAACTTCCATGGAGTGCTCCCCTTCAATGCTTCCTTCATCAAGAGGCTCGAGGTTTTCAGAGTGGGGGGCAACAACAACCTCTGCTACAACCATACCCTTCTCTCCTCCAAGCTCAAACTGGGGATCGCCCCCTGCGACCGGCACGGATTACCGGTCTCGCCGCCGCCCAGCCGGGCGGCGCCTTCGGATTCCTCCGACTACACCAGCGGCGACGACGGCAGCAGCGGCAGGGGGAGCGGGGGCGGCGGCGGCGGGCACCACGGGCCGAGCAGGATCGTCCTCGGCGTGGCCATCGGACTTTCTTGTCTGGTCTTCCTCATCATCTTCATCGTTTGTCTGTCAAAGGTCTGTGGTTGATCACAACACGGGATGACGGAACACGAGAAATTAGAGGCACAGATGACGGCCGCGGAGTACCAGGAAGAATCAGAGCGTTGACCATCTGCATACTCGCTCGGTGGTTCTTCTTCCTTCAGCCTTGCCGGCTGCCCTGCGGAATGCTGGTTGGAGAATAGATGGGATCTCTGTGGGGGGAGGGGAGGTCCGTTGAGTTGACCCGGCAGTGTCGTCTCGTTGTTCCACTACCTTCTTCTTCCCCATTTTTTCCCCCCATTTTTCCTCTGCTGCATGCGATCATGTGGGTGTGTTGCTCTTCTTCCTGAACTTTTTTTAAAAATCCCAGTCGCAGTTCTTCAGCATTTCATGGCGCATCAGTCTTCCTCGCATCCATCCTCGAAGAGCTGCGCAGTCCTCCCAGCACGACATGGCCTTCTGGAGCAGCTGCAGACGGACCGTGCCCTTCCATGTCAATAGCTGATCTGAAGCATATCTGTCTGCGGCCTTGGATAGAACCGGGATGAATAAGACAGGCTTGTGAAATTAAATGAGAAATTTTTTTATGCAATCGCCGCTCCTGTTCTAGCCAATCTCCAGCCTGTAGACAAGAAAAAAATAATTTCCGAGGAAGATAATTCCTCGCAAAAAAGGAAATAATCTTCCCTTTTCTGATATTTCGGTTTGCTCTAGTTGATCCTCTTCTGCATCTATGCAAACATCCGTCTGTACTTCATGATTCTTGGAAAGTGTTCATGAAATCATGATGCTTACTCCGGTGGCCAGAAATGTATAGCACGAAACTGTCGGCCATTTAAGGCAATTGAAGGATAGTAGAAGGTCTGATTTGCAGGAGCCGCAATGGAGAAAAATGCTTAGATCTTGCGATTCTTCCGCTAGATCATCCCAGGCAGTTGTTGCTTCGATGAGGAGGCTCGTAAATGTTTCTGCCGTTGGTAAAAATCTCGGTGGTCTGAGCAGAGAACGTGAATCACAGAATCCATTTCTTCATCCGTACTTGCGTTCGTGTTCTGAGAAAATTCGATCGAATCGAATGAAGACCTGATTATCAAACTGCCGCGGTTTATCAAAGAAAGGAAGAGTAACCTGATTGGAGCGGGAGCAACGACGAGCAGGAGTGAGTTAAAGTGGCCATCGATCTCAAGAAGAGAGAGGTCGGATCATTCGATGACTTCCTGTCCCTGGTTCGACTATTTCACGTCTGCCTGTTCATACGCAGACAAAGAGGCCGATTTCCCTCTCTCATCAGACTGACAGACGTCCGGTTTGGAGGATGATGAGACGAAGTAGCCGCAACGAGGATGAACGCCGGAGAGACGGAGACGACCGCCGCTCCTGAGCCGCAGTTCTTCTCTCTCTCTCTCTCTCTCTCTCCTCACCTTCAAGCACCTGCATTTCTAGCCTTTCCTCAGCTATCAGACCCAGGCCCGGTCTGAGTGGGCCGTTGGGAGCCCAGTTTCGTCCGAAACCCTAGAAATACAAACTATTCCCGCCTAATTCTACATATTTCCCTCCTTTCTGCGGCAGACGCTATCGCGGCAGGGAGAGGGTGGAGTTGGGAGTGAGAGGCTGCTTCGGATTGGAGGAAGAGGGAGAATGAGGGAAGAGGAGGTGGAGAAGCTGAGGGGGGTGGTGAGGGACTGCGTCAGCAAGCACCTCTACTCCTCCGCCATATTCTTCGCGGACAAGGTGGCGGCGCTGACAGGGGACCCCGCCGACATCTACATGCAGGCGCAGGCGCTCTACCTGGGCCGCCACTATCGCCGAGCCCTCCACCTCCTCAATTCCTCCCAGATCGTCTTCCGCGATCTCCGCTTCCGATACCTTGCTGCGAAATGCCTGGTACTTGATGCTTCCAACCTTTTGCTCCTCTGTTTTCGCCTTTCTCTTTGTGTTGGGGTTCGTCTCCAACGTGACGCTTTACAGAACGTTGCAAGCAACCACTCGATCAAACCTCCAATAATGTTTGCTTGTTTATATATGTTTTCGGAAGAAGCATACCTGCAAAATCTTGAGTTCATTTCCAGCTAGAAGGACTCGAAAGGAAATTGTCTTTCTCTTGTGTCCGAACATTGTGAGGCGAAACGGGAAAACCTCTTTGTCGCGTTATATACTAATCTACATACTAATAAATTTTGAAATCAAGTGTATCAGAAGAGCGCATAACAATTTACAAGCACATATAATCACCAATTTAGTCCCTTCCCAGTGAATCCTCTTACTCAGGGGAAATTGCAGGGGCTAGTTTTCCATAGTGTTTGCCATACTCTGAGAATGATGCTGTCTTACCTCCCCCTGGGCAAAGCTTCGTAGATTAATCTCTGGTATCTATAGGAAATTATTGAGAAAATTTTCCCGATCAGTTCTTGTGTCAAGCGTTCCTATTAGTTTAAAGCTATGTGACATGTGAATAATTCTAATCAGAATTAATCTCGACTTTTGAATGAGTAAATTTACTTTCATTGTATCGCGGATTTGTGTGAGTTTATACGTCGAAGAAGAAGATTGGATGTATCCATCTTTTACTATAATAAATTAACGAATTCTGCAGAGAACACTCCGAAGCAGGATGAAATTCTGTTGCAACTGGTAAAATGTCATCTCAACTACTTAATGGGAGCCATATGTGCTGTATATAGAAAACAGTCCAACTTTTCAGTTTTTTCACAGATCAAAATATCATAAAACCTGGTAAGTTCCGAATGTATTCCGACAAATTAAAATTTTAAGTCTAATAACTACTTATAATCTTGAAAATAGCCATAAAAGGGAAAATGAATGTGTATTTCACAAATGGAGTGGTTAGCAGCAAAGGCCAAGTCATGTAAACAGATACTACTGAGGAAATATAATTTACCATGAGAAAAATAGTTCTCTGGTCATGTATGCTACTGCGAAATTTCTTCCTTCTGTTGATCGCAAGTAGCATTAATAATAATACCTTCTTAAAGTTTCACTTTTGTAACATGAATAACTAGTCAAAGTAATATAACAAAAGAAGGGAGATGGAGATATGGTTTGACTTAAGTTGAATGTGAGGATACATGAGAGAATCAGGGGATTATATCATGCATGGGAGTTGGAGTAGTGGAAAGAAAAGGAGATATGGCGAGGAATTAAACTCTATTAATGGTCATGTTTACATTTTGAAGAGTCATTTAATTGCACACGGAATGCATTTATTGATGTATGGAGAATGACACAGAATTTAAAGATTGGCAACTAACCACCCTTTTGCTTGTAGAAGGAATAGGCCAAAGTATGAACAATAATTTTCACCATAGAAGTATTGCCCGAACTGCGATAATAAATAATCTGTGCGATTTTCATATGTGATGGAATCAATCTTTTCCGGTATGCAGACTCCATTAAGCTACAGTTTTGGTTAAAGTATTTCATTCCTAACAAGCCACATAAGTAATCTACATACATTGCTTACTTTTGATACTAATGTCCTATGAGTTACATTCTTTTTTCTATTCATCCGAAGCATATTTCACCTGAAACTGTCTTGTTTTACCATTAGGAGGAACTTAAGGAATGGCATCAATGTTTAACAATGCTTGGCGATGCTAAGGTAGATGACCAGGGAAACATTGATGGTCTTAAAGATTGCACTGCAATGTATTTGGAGAAGGATGGAGAAGATCATGAAATTAATGTAAGTCACTTCTGCTGATAGGTTCCATTGTTGTGTAAACTCGCACAGTATTCTTCACTGTTGTCTGTCTCGTCCCTTTTTTAAATCCCCACAAGAAAACTTTCATTTCTATCTGTTTGATTCGTATTGCTTTAATGAGATCCCCACTGTTTGTCATGCTCAAATGTGATGGTAGTGAGTACAAATAATTTTAGACGTTATTTGCCATGCAAGTTCATGTTTTATATGCTTATTGAATCCATCTTATGTTCCACAGCGCATCATTGCATGTGCCACTGCATGATTTACATTGAAATATTGGTAGCATCTCGTATAAATGGTTTCAGAAATATAAGTAAATATAGCCATTGTATTGAATGGCTTCTCCAACTTGTATCATCGCCCCTTCACGGTCACAGAATCGTCATGTTCTCTTCTGTACTACTATATATATTTCTGAGCCCTCATAATTTACAGTGAGCATGATAATATTTAGTCTTCTTTCCTCTTATTTACATACTTGGTAATTAATATTTTAACGTCATAATTGCTTGAAACGTGTCTTTAATGTTATTTTATATTTCCGGACGTGGCAGATCATATCTGCAATATGCTTTTTACGTGGCAAGGCAAGTGAAGCTTTGGAAAATCGCAACCAGGCTCGACAATGGTGAACTTTACTAATATTTTCTCTAGCATAAGGAACATATGTATGTTACTGTCTGCACTAAACTAAAATCTACGTATGATATTTTCCTGTCCCGTGCCATCATGTAGATGGTCTTATGTTTCAGTACCATTGGGTCAAATATTTTGCTTCTTAGATATTATACTTTTGTGATGGATGCGATGATGTTCACAGGATAAATAAAGTAGGGATATTGAATCGGGAATGAAATACAAAATGGATGTACAATAAATTTTCTTTAAGAGCATTGTTTTGACTGATCGTATGCACTTCTTCATAATTCACCAAATGATAGTTTTTTCCATAGATTGCAGTTTTTGACACTAAATGAGCTGTAAATCAGTTGAGATTCTTGAGAACTCTCATGCAATACTTTTTCAATGATAATGTCTCATCTAAAACGTCAAGAGTGAATTGGTGACATTTTGTATATGATTTAAGTCTGGAGTGTTTGAATTATTATTTTTCGAATATTCTTGAAAAACATCCCGAGCTATGTTAAACAACATATCTAGTTTTTCTTTTCCAATATTTACCGAGATTTTTCTGAGTCATTAGTGGATGAAGTTTTATCAATCTGAATCATTCTCTCTGGTGGCAACCACTTGTTAAATACGAAAACATTGTTCACAATGTCTTGGTCTGTAAAGGCTTAAAAATAGCTTGAAATGGTATTCATCTATTTGTTGGAAACTCCTGTATCTTTGATTACCCTTGTTGTCAGTTTTAGTGTATGCTGATTTTGTAGAGCTTGAAGTCCCTAGTGTCCTTGCGTGATTTTACTGGCCAAATGTTGTAAGCATTTTGTTAAGGTTGATGTTTCTCGTAAAAATCATCATTGTACTGGGGTTTTCGCATATGAAATTTAGAGTTGGTTTGGATAGTCTCGGCCTCCTTAATATTCGGTTTGGATTTGAATGTAAGCTATGGGAAGTTCTTTTATGTCTCTGTGTGGATAAGTCTTGGCGAGAAGAAATATACCTTTCATGGAATATTCTCATCAAACATAATTTTACAGTTTTTTTCGAAGCTTTTTGATTTCTGTTGAAATTTAGCTAGCGATTTCACGATTACGTAAACTGATTTTCTGTTGCATTATCAATATTGGTTCCTTGCCATATTTTGCATGTAGCCTTTTTTGTTTTGTTTGGTGATGTTAACTGTTCCTTCTGGAGTTCTAATATGTGTCTCTCTATAGGTACAGAGCAGCTATCAAGGTCGATCCCTTCTGCTATGAGGTGAACTGCCTCTTTGTTGAGTTCAGGTTTTGATTCATTTATTTTTGTTGTTATAAATTGCCATTCATGAAAGTAGAAGGCATCATTAAGGATAATGCTGATCTGTGTGATGAGTCCTCGGGTGCCGATGAGCTTGCTGGTGGTGGAAATCCTTGATCTTCTTTGTATTTACTAAATGGCCATACCAGTTTTTTTTCTTTTTTGCGCTATTTTTCTCTTTTTGACTTTTAATCCCCTCATAGCAATTGCCATGCATTTTCCTCATGAATACCCATCATATGCCAAATCTTTCTGGTTTAAAATTGTGATTATAGCATTCTTCCTCTGCGTTTCAGGCTCTGGAGTGTTTGATCAACAATTGCATGCTAACATGTGAAGAAGGTGACGGAAGAATCCTAGTCTGGCTCATCTCAGTTCTACTCTGTAATAACGTTCCCTCCATCTTATCACGTATTTTCACTTCATTTTACTGATGTTCATCTGCAATTTCGCATGCATCATTTACGTTGACTCTAGATAGCTCCTACTGGTTCGTAACTCTTATGTAAGACGCCTGCTATTTATTTTTTATGTGACCAAAGTCTTGATGTGTTATTTTATAATTCATCTCAGAGTCAAGTTTGTTATCGTCGTTACAGTTTGCTGCAGAAGATGGATGGCTATCAACATTTTATTCATGCTTATTGAAGAAGGTAAAGTTCTTCAAATTGCCATACTGCAACATAAGTTGTGATTTTCTAGGATTACTGTGTAACTGGTGATCAGGGCATCAGAATTGGTGTTTTTTCCCCCTTTCCTTCTTGAAGTAGGAATTATGATTTCTGAACAATTTGTCCCTTTATTTTTAAGTGTGACAAGGAAAGTACTGTAGAATCCAAATTCAGTGATCTTGAGAACGAAAAGTGTGATATCAGCTCCACAGATTCAACATTGTCTCGCACACTAAGAAACAACTCGGACTTGTTGACTTGCAAGGCTGAGTATTATCATGAATGTGGAGAGTATCAGAAATGTTTTGAACTTACTTCCACGTGAGTTTCCTGACACTCTAAATTTAATAAAGAGAGCTGTGATGTTTCATTGTGGATGTTGACCGTCATAAATGTTGTTTCTTGTAAAGGCTGCTAGAAAGAGATCCCTTCCATTTGAAATGTACGTTAGTCCACTTAGCAGCTGCTCTGGAACTTGGTCGCTCAAATGATCTGTATCTTATGGCATGTGATCTGGTGAAAGAGTATCCTCAGAGGTATGATGTACAAGTTGCCTAATACCTATTGTACTAGGCATATCGTGATGATATTTCAAAAGCTGGATTCAAATCCTGAATAAGCACGACTAGTTTTGGTTTATGCTCTGGTTCATGTCTGAATCATGGATTGCATATGCAAGCTGTTATATTGGTTATATATTTATGAAACGTATAATGGTTTTTAGAAAATAATGTATAGGCTGTGTCAGTTTTAGGCTTTTTGAGTTTTTGGGCTAAACTTATAGTTTTTTTATGTAGTTGACCACTGAGACAGTTTAGCGGTATTTTATATTAGAAGACAGGTTCACATACGTGGTCAGTAGAGTCAGACGTCCGGGAGGCTGAGAATGCTGCTAGCTTAGGTGTTGGTTTTTACTATTTGGTAGTTTTTATTTCTTGTTTTCTTTCACTTCTGCTAAACCTTGTCTGTTTTCCATTTTTCTGATCTTTTCGTTTTTTTTAATGTTTTCGGCAGTTCATCTGGGACGAGCAATTTCACTTTTGAATTGGCCAATATAGATCACTTGATCTGATTTTGGAAATGCCAGCTAAGATTAGAACTAGCTCGGCAGGCATTCATGGGAGGCTTTCTCCACAGTTTTATTTTAGTTTTTTTTCAGTATTGGCTACATCAGCATACGTAATGGTTATACTAGTATTGTACGAAACATGCCTCGTGATTCTTTCTTTTAAGCACTGATTTAGTCTGAGGAAGCTTTTTTTTATTAATGAAGATGAAAAAGCAGCGTATAGTTCACGTTAGTAGTTATGTTAATGTTTATCATTCCTTTGCCTCCATAAGAAAAATGATTTGCTGATGGACCATTTGCCATTGAATAGAGCTCTATCGTGGTTTGCTGTTGGTTGTTACTATCAGTGCATCAAGAAATATGATCAAGCACGGAGATATTTCTGGTAATAGGTTGTTTTTTTAGATTTTAATGATACCTTTAGAGCAATTTTGTGTAATGCATTTGGAATATTTATCCAAGTATTCTTTTTAATTTTATATCTTCCTCTACAAAAAGCTTTTAATATGCACTACTACGCCCAAACCTTTTACTTCTTATGGTTTATGGGGCACTCAGCTTACTATGAAAACTTTAATATTATGGTTTATCTAAAATTGGCTTATCTAATTCCTATGTGAACAGCTTCTAATTTCCAAAGTCATTTGTCTAAAATATTCGTGATATAACTAGGAAGGCGTTTCAAGTACCCCACATGAGTCACTGGACATGCGAGCTTTATTTATCCCAATGATATCTCTATACGTGAGAATCAACATGTTCGGCCCTGCACTGTTCACAGAATTTCGGGTCACCCACATTATCGTCTCCATTGATACGCATGAAGTACACATGAAGTTGTCTAAAATTTTTTGCAATTCAGTAAACAGAAGATACATCATTGCTTTCGGAATATTTGCAGCATCCATTTTTTGTGGATCTCCTTATTCATCTTTCCAAAGCTTGGATTTAATCAATTTATTTGGCAAAATAGGGCCTGAAACTAAATAAATTTTTTGTTGGACATAATTGCAAGTGCTGTATAGTTTACTTGCATATCTGTTTTAGACTTGTCCATTGGTTTCGGAATATTTTTACTCTATATGAAAGAAAATATACAATCACGTTCTGATACTTCAATGAGATTCTCATGTTTTCCTGTGGCAGAGATGGGCACCAGGCTCCTTGAGTTTAATGAGTTTATTATGTCGTAGCAACTGAATATTTCAATAAATCAGTTGGTCACTACACTTGGGGACCTTTAATAAAAATAAGTAAATGAATGAATTGAAATAATGTTTGAGTAATTTATTCGAAGGGTAAAGGATAATATTCATTCAAGAAACGAATTTTCTTTGACTGTCTAATATTTGTTGGGATGAGAAATGTATCTTCCATATAAAAATGATTGAGCATTATAATTAATTATTTGATGTCATCTACAAACATGCGTCACAAAGAGGAACAAATCTCCTAAAAAAATTATTTCTTATCCCCCTACTGTTTGTGGCTGTAACATCAGTAGTCTTACTTTCTTTGATATAATAAAACCTGTGACTGCTTCTTTTATCGATTTTGCAATATTTATTTTTAATTGAAAGTACATATTAGTGCACCACTCGAATCTGAATGAATATCATATACTTGCTTCTCACTTTTTGCGAATTTACCCGTACTTCTAACAAGACAATTCGATGCTTTTATGTAGTAAGGCCACAAATCTGGATCCAACATTTCCACCTGGTTGGTTAGGATTTGGGAATGCATATGCTGCCCAAGAAGAGAGCGATCAAGCTATGGCTGCCTTTCGCACTGCTGCTCGCTTGTTTCCTGGGTAAGATTTTTCAAAAAACTTCATAAAATCATTTTCTTTTGATTTCCTTAATGAGTACCATATGCATGAGAAGTCGTGAAATGCTGATCTACTAGATATAATTGGTCAGCATAAATATTTCCTACTGTTTCATCATGTAATCCGGTGTACTTATTTAAGTTGTCACTTGGACTAAGGGCTCGAGGGAATGGTGTGAGATAGATATGCCAGACGGCATTCACCGGCCTGGTACAGTTTAGATGACCTATGAAAAGATTCACTCAGTGAGGTTCAACATTTTCTGAGATTTTCTGTCTTTGAGCGTCAGGAAACGTCTTGGACTAGAAATTTTTCGCTTTAAAAGATTTATAAATAATTTTACTGACTTGATGCTTTTAGAAATGACCCTTCTGTCAATAGCGGTTAATCAGATGCCTGTTAAAGATGATTTAAGGGCAGTCTGGGCTTACCTCGGTAACTAAAGGGTATTTTTCCGCCTCACTTATGGCGAAAATACCATAAATTACTTTTACACTTGGGAAGCTGGTCGAGCCTAGTCCTGAGCGCCTTGCTGAATGGGTTGGTCGATTCTGCACAAACCCTCATTTTGAATGCCCTTTTGAACCCATTTACTGCCTTTTAAAGGTTGGCCAAGCCAAGGTTTGTTAGGCCTGCATTTCGAGGAGCAGGTAAGGGCTGCTCAGACCTTAAAAAAACCTCTTTGTCACGCTGTAAGGGAAGAATTTAAGATCTTATGATGGATGAGTAACAATATGTTGTAATGTTCAGAGATTAGGTCCAGTCCGATTTTAAACCTAATTATATCTGATAGATTTATTTCCTTTCTTGTCGGTTTTTGATTTGACAACCATGAAGTGTAGATTTTCATTCCACATCCGCTCTCTATGTCAGATTGTGATACTCTCTTATTCAGGTGTCATTTACCAAAACTCTACATCGGGATGGAATACATGCGGACACACAATTTCAAACTTGCGGAACAGGTGATTTTGGGGCTCGGATTATGGGACGTCCTCTTACATAATCACTCTGGTGGAGATCAATAGACCTCATATGGAACACATTTGCATTTGGATCCAATGAAGTTTTGTAGTCTTTACCAGTTTGTTCCTCAATTTCGATTTTTTAATCTGTACCCGTGGTTAATGAATGAGTTATCACTCATTTGGTAACTGTACTGTGTATTTACCGTGTAAATTTAGGTCTGTAAGCTAGCCTCTGTTGTTTGACCGACAGGTGCCCTTGCTAGTCAATTTTTTCTTTATTATCTTACCTGTAGTACTATTAGGATTCTGCCTAGTTTATAGGTGCATGTACGGTGTTCCTTTTTCTAATCACTCTATGAATATTTAGCCATAAGAAAACGGACGCCTTGTAATAATAGAAAAGTAATCAAATGAAAAATGTTTGATTTTTCAATGACAAGTATTTAACCATGAAGTTGTTTCTTTCTCTAGTTTCTTCTCCAGGCAAAGGCTATATGCCCTTTCGATCCTCTTGTCTACAATGAACTCGGAGTTATTGCTTATTACACCAAGGAGTAAGGAAATTCCTGTATTTCAAAATGTTGATTACTTTTACCTCTCCTCTTACGCATTACCCTGTCAAATGTGTCAGTTTCATTGAAATTTTATGTTATAGATAATTTTTCTGCTCATTTCACCATTTTTTATTGATTTTTTTCCACCGCTCCCTGCCACACGTTTATAGGTACAAAAAAGCAGTCAGATGGTTTGAAAAGACATTGGCTTTCTTTCCATCATCACCCAGTGAAGTGTGGGAAGCAACTCTAGTAAATCACGCACACGCATTGAGAAAACTGAAGTATGTACTTTGTTTTAGCAGATTATTCTTCACTTATGACGCTTGTGCTGCGTTTTACTCAGATATTACTTGCCTCAATTGTGGATTCCAGTCAGTGGAAAAATTATTGTCTAAAAATTACCCTTTTCAATGTTCAATTGTCTTTCAACTTTTTGAATTGCCAATCGACATAGACATTGGATGTCATTAAATAATTGTTCCTCTTTCTTGGATATAACAAAGCCACGTTTTTTTGTTTCATTTTTGTCTCTCTCATCAATAATGAGTCCACAGTTCAGTTTCTTTCACTGAAAGCGTGAGCGCAAAGGCAAGTTCGAAACCTCTGCTCTCACTCTATTGTCAGGTCAACATATTTTTGGCAGGTCAACGTCATGCGGCAATTGTCACTCACATAAACCTTTCAATTTTTATTCTAAAATCAGGAGAAACCGACAAGTTTCGGTTCATTTAATCCACGGAAAAGAAAAAAAAATGTTATCTTTTGAAGTCTATCATATTTCCTTAATCCTGTGAAGTTCTCTCCCATTAATAATAATATAGCAAACCTTTGGGCTACTCCGCTGTTTTTCTGAATGATTGATTTATTTCTGCTTTTAGAACCTTGAATGTTAAGGTATGTCTCAATCGTGTGAGTCGTATTTCAGGAGGTATACTGAGGCTATCACATTTTATGAGAAGGCGCTGGCGCTTTCTACCAGAAGCTTGAGCACTTACGCCGGACTAGCTTATACGTATCATCTACAGGTACCAACTCATGCTTTTCGCCATTTTTTCTCTATCGAATGATTTTTCGTTTCCTTTATTTCCACGCTTTTTATTTATTTTTCCACTCAATCTACTGGTGAATGTCCTTGTCTAATGGTACGAATCATTCGTTAATTATGTTCCAATGGTTTGATGTTCGTTTGTGTTGGGCTGGGCTTGGCCAGTTCCGGGCCTATTGGAGCTGAATGTTATCCCTCGGCCCCACTGTAAGAAACCCCACTAACCATTCACAAGAAACCCTCATGGAGAGCTGCTCGCTCCCTCCCTGCCGTCCACAAACATCGTTTGAAAACCCGAATGTACAATTAATTTCCTAATTGCCCTCGTATTATTTCATCGAGGTCTTATTATGTTCCTTGCTGCTCTTGACGCATCCTAATCATTTTCTCAGGATGATCTTGATGCTGCAATCAACTGCTACCACAAGGTACCAAGCTGTCATTTACTCCCATTGGATTTGTAATAACGAAATTATGCCCAGACCCGTTATTTGCTGTTATTTTTTCCGAGTCTTTTTTGCCATCGTCACGTGTGGACCGAAGGCTGAATGTGCGCCACTCTGTTTTCTAATCAGGCCTTGTGGTTGAAACCCGACGACCAGTTCTGTACGGAGATGCTCACAAAGGCCCTCGAAGATGAATCCCGCGGATCAAGTAACTGGTGAGAAAGAACTACTTCAAATGATCTGCTTCGTCTTCTGATTCCGCCCCATCAGTTCTGTGAATAATTTATATAGCTTGCTCCATGAATCTGGGATGATGTTCCGAGTCATAAAGGTAGATGTTTTTTGAGAAATGAAACCCACCCACTAAACAAATAGTTCCAGAGAGTGCCCATCTGCTGCTAGTTGATGAAGTTTGGAAGATTTCCCCACGGCAAATAGGATCATTTGTGAAGGAAAAACAAGAAAAAAAGAAAAAAGGAATAGCTTACAAAGTGTAATGGCCAGTGGAGACAGTCCTGGTGGTCGCTACTGGCCGTGCAGCAAATAGTCAACAATGGGAAAGAACATGGAGAAGAACTGCTTCTAGGATCTACTAGGACGCCTCTGACCTAACATGTACAATGGCACTAGCCCAAAGCGTATCAGAACCTGTGGTGGGAAGAACCGAACCTAGTTCATCAGAATGGCTCTCTTTCTTATCATCTTCTTCTTCCTAGATTTCTTGTTCTAACCGAGGGCCACTTAAGCAGGTTCGTAAGAATGGTTCTCTCATTCTCCCTTGATTTTCTGACAATAGCCCAAGTTCACTATTAAGGTCATCCCCTCGTGTCTTCCTGCTTGGGACTGTTCTTCGGCTCACAGACTCGCCTCAGAACATGTTCACGCGGAAGAACCAAGGGAGGATGAAGGCGATCACCAGGCAAGCCATCAAGAAGTTACAGAGGGGCTGGCTCCTCCAGCATCTGGCTCTGTGGGGCGCTTCTCCTTCCCCCCCCTCGCCGCCACCATCGCCGCTGCGCCTTTCGCTCCACTCTTCCAGGAAGCCGCCGTCTTCAACTCCGGTCACGTTCTTCGCCACCAATCCACAGATTTCGCAGGTTCTGGATCACACCACCGAACAAACCCATTCTCATCATGTTAATTCACAGAAGATCCTAGGGTTTCTGGAGTAACCCACCGGAAGAGGGAGAAGCCGACCCGACGGGTTCCCCTTCACTGGGGAGTTCTTCCTCAATGGATATGGTAGAAAGGGGGGGAAGATTTCCAGAAGACGTACCTGTTTCCTTTCAGCTTGAACCAGGCCTCAGAACAATGCCGGTGAGAGAGAGCCAGATCGTCCTTGCACCCACAGCCGAGACTGATCAGCTCCGAGGATTCCGAGCCCTCTAGCCGCTCCTGAGTAAGGTGGCAGATCCTGCACAGCTTCTCGGAGCCCCACTCGCCGCCGCCGGGCCCCTTCCCGGCGTCTCCCTTAATATCCAGAACGACTGAATCCTTCTCCCCCTGTCCACGAGCGTCGCCACCGTGCAGTGGCCCTGCTTTCGTCTCCGGCGCCTCCAGCGGCGCCGCCAGGACCTTCCCCAGGTCCACAACCACCACGCCACTGCCGGCCACCGGAGAATCCACCGCGGAGGCCGCCGGCATCGGCGCCGGATCCGGCTCCGGCGGAGTGGCGAGGGGAGTCGCCCCTGCGCGAGCGCCTTCCCCCTCCAGATCCATTGAAATCCCCCTCTACTTCCCCGCAGCGGCGGCGTGGAGACAGGAAGACGAAGGGAAGACCCAACACTGCATCTGAGGCCCTGAAAATGGATGTAGGCGAGCAAATGGCCGGCAATATTTGACCTCCGGAGACTGCCGTCGTATAAAAATCCCGATTTTCTCGAGCCCACTGCAGCTCGACGGAGACCAGAGTAGTAGTACCCTCGCCCCAGGGGATGAGAGATGTGGGGGCGGCCGAGGGAGACGGGTATGGATACAAAAAATGCTACCAGATGCGGAAAAGGTTGACGGCCGCGGAAATCCCGCTCGGCGGGGTGCGTAAATAATTGCAGGCCGAGAAGATAAGTATCTCGCCATCGCTGTCGAGCTCGGAGCGGAGGGGACAGGATAGCTGGTGAGCTGTGGTGGGGGATGGCGGCTCCCCACCGGACACGGAATATATGGCACGTCGTCCTCAGATTGAAGGGCACAACTTCGACCTCTGCGGAATCGCAGGGGGAAGATTCAAGCCTCGATCTTTTCCATTAAATCATCTGACCGCCCCATCGGCTATGGAAGTACTTGCATCCGCACAATGAAGACGTTAGCAGGGCAGCGGAAGACCAAGGGGTGGCGGAATCTAAAGGGAAAAAGGGAAAGAACAACTGGGTCAACGGTGGGCAGTACTCCATTGGAAACTATCGAGCAGAATTCTCGTTTCCTGCTCTGGGTCTCCGTTTTACGCCACAGCGTCTGATAGGAGAGCAGGGTTCGAGAAGATGGTCATCTCGATTCGGAGGAAGGAAATTCGTTCAATGAAAGCTTTGGGGATCGCCATTAATGGCCGGCTGTTATCAAAGCCTAAACACCGTCCATCCCTCCGTCTTCTGCTGCACTTACACTGTACATCCTAGAGGAACTCGGGAACCGGTTGATTCTGACCTGAACTAAAATACGCGATAAAGACGAAAGTCGGCAGTCATGAAGCGACTGATCAGCGAACTCCGCGTCAAATATGTCGGCAGGGGAACCTAAGCGGCAGCTTCCCAGTGGGAACTCAAAGGACGGAGGAAACTAAAACCTTTTTGTCGAAGTCAACGAGCCATCGGGTTACGTGTTGAACGCGTCTAAGCCAATTGACTCTCCGGGATAACCAAGCTTGAAAGTCGTCCGCCGCCATGTAGAAGGATCAGTGCCGACGCCGGGTTTGGCGGCGAGACCAGGACCGCGCCACGTCCTCTTCCAGCGCCGGAACTGCGCGTCTGCTCCTGGGAATTCGACGTCTTTACAGACCAACTACTGCATCAATCTCTTCTGGTTCTCGAGGATGAAGGCCCAGCAGGCGTTGAATCTGCAAAGAACGCACCTTTCATAACATAAAGAAGAAAACCCCCAAATCCTTACCAACTAAGGAACTCATTAATTGAGTCCCAAGGTAGGGGACGGAGATCGCATGCATCCAGAACCGGGTGGACAGATTCTCAGATTCCTTGCAATGCTAGAAGACGAAGGCAAGTATCCGGCGGTGAATCGATCAAGATCATATTTTGCATCGTCAATCATTCATAAAATAACAATAATTGACAAAGTCGAGGGGCCAGACTAGACCCGTGATTTTCCATGGTCGCCCAAGTCAAACTCCTTTGACAATTCCTACACCTACCCAGTTGGGGGGGGGGGGCGAGAGAGAGTCCGGGTTAGTGATGATGAAAGGAACAGGAAACATATTTTCATGCTAGACCCTATCCTGATGGAGTCGCTCAGCGGTCTCACTTCTCTTTTTGGACTTGTATGGAGGCCCAATATCGTAAAAATGATCCAATTATGTTTGGTTTTTGGGCCCCAGACTATTGATCCCGCCGCAGCAAGCCGTGAGGAAGGCCCAACAGAGAAACTTTGGAACCTCCCTGAGCTCAGCTGGGCCGAGTTCAGGATTTATGGGCCCGGCCCAAATCGCAAATCCCAAGTAGAGCCGGTGGGGCCTGGTTGTCACGTCAATGCTTACGTCACCTTACCCGATCATTGCCGCCACCGCTGGGCTCTTTTATTAATATTATTGTGTATATTAAATATATCATCTGTCTCCAGCTGCATTGAAAGTGAATAAATAATGATAATAATTGATTTCTTTCCAGGTTTTGTCATTTTCTTGCGGCGACTGGGGGCGGCATTTACCGTTGTCGGGTTTCGGACAGCGAATGGAAGCTACTGACGGGGGCTCCGCCGCCGCCGCCGACTTTTTTTCCCCATTCCGAGATAGTGCGGCCGTTACAGACTGGCTTTTCCCGGGTTCTTCTTTCCACCTTCTCGGGGGATCGAGATTGAAGGCTTTTCGCCGTTTGGGTTCGGGGGCGGGAAGGTCGAAGGAGATGGCGTTGAGTGGCGCGCTGTTCAGGGGGGCGGTGGGAAGGGGGGTCGGCGCCGTCTTCTTGCTGGGGAACCGGTCCATGTCGTCGTGGTGGAGCAACGTGGAGCCGGCGGCGAAGGATCCCATCCTCGGTGTGACCGAGGCCTTCCTCGCCGACCAGAGCCCCGACAAAGTCAACGTCGGAGTTGTGAGCGTCTCCTTGTCTTCTCCCTTCGCGGCGCGGTTCTCCGATCGTCTTAAATATGTTTTTAATTGGAAACGAAGTCGTCTTCGTTTCTTCGTTTCTCTCGTCCATCGTCGTCGCTCCGGGGCAGGATCAAGTGTGGAGATGATCTGTTTTCGGTTACTTGTTCGGTGATTCTAGGGTGCCTATCGTGACGATAATGGGAAGCCCGTCGTCCTGGAGTGCGTCAGGGAGGCGGAGAGGAGGATCGCCGGGAACCAGAATATGTAACTTCTCTGTTCCATTTTCTCGTGAATCACGCCATATTCTTTTTTTATTTCTTCTTATCCTTGTATTTGTTAATCTGTTATTCATCCGGATAGCCGAACAGCGTGAACACATGTAGATTCATTACCTTAGTCTCCTCTTCTTTTCGTCAGAAGCATGTTGTTGGTCCATCTGCTCCTACCTTTTTCGTCCGTCACAGAGAATTTGCTTCGAAATCTTATTCCCGGATCAATCTTCTGCCGCCAGTGGGAACCATTTAAGTCATTCAAAGAACGAGAAACCCGTTTGCGTGTATTGAGACTCTCTGCCTTCCGACTGTGGATTTCGGGGGTCGATCTATTGTCTGTAACTTTCCTGGACGTACATAGATTACTGGTTGAAAACTCGCAGCATAAGAGGGATGGCTCCTAACAAGGAATTAGTTTTTGATGCTAGGGTGGGGAAGTAGATGAGCATGATGGACAGCATATGTTCCATGGGCCAGCGTCAAATAGTGTAAAGATTCGTTTTCTCAATCTGCCTGTGATCTACGTTAAAGTCAGATAGAATTGAATAAATAATATAGTGGGGTGAGACTGCGCCATCTGTTCCCCAATTCAGCAAACACATGAAAAGATTCTCTTCCCACAAGTCCAATTTGAGTCAACTTGCAGACATTTCAATCCCCTGTTATACGTCATCCTTGAGAGTTCTTTTTTAGGTTTTTCCTTCCATGTTGGTGTTCTATTTGGTTGTTCTAAACAAGATGGAATGACAGGGAGTACCTGCCTATGGGAGGAAGTCTTAAATTTATTGAAGAGACATTGAAGCTAGCATATGGGGGCAATTCTGAGTTCATAAAGGACAGAAGGATTGCAGCTGTGCAAGCTCTTTCAGGGACAGGCGCATGCCGACTTTTCGCAGACTTCCAGCGGCGCTTTCAACCTGATTCCCAAATATATATTCCTGTTCCAACCTGGTCCAAGTGAGTTTTCCTCCTTTTTTTCTTCATCACTCTAGCTCCCGTTTATAGTAGTTCACTTTTCTGAGATTCCACTGTAACATGTCTACAGTCACCACAACATCTGGAGGGATGCCCAAGTTCCTCAGAGGACCTTCCACTACTACCATCCCGAGTCAAAAGGATTAGACTTTGCCTCATTAATTGATGATGTGAAGGTACAGAAGCAAGGATTTGATAATGGTTTGGGTCATTGATTTCAAGTCAAGATGATCTTACCAAGTCTCTGTCATATAGAATGCGCCCAACGGTTCATTCTTCTTGCTACATGCTTGTGCTCATAATCCTACGGGAGTTGATCCTTCAGAGGAGCAATGGAAAGAAATCTCATACCAGTTCAAGGTAGTCTAAATTTATTGTGTACTTTCTTCGGGGTTCGAGGATGCTTTTCTTTGGCTGGGGTTTAAATCTGTGGATTTAATGCTATATAATGCTGTCTAGGTTAAGAACCATTTTGCGTTCTTTGACATGGCGTACCAAGGGTTTGCCAGCGGTGATCCTGAAAAAGATGCAAAGGCGATCCGAATCTTTCTTGATGATGGTCATCTGATAGGATGTGCACAGTCCTATGCTAAAAATATGGGGTTGTATGGTCAGAGAATAGGTTGCCTCAGGTATTCCACCTTATCTGTCCTATATAAATATTACCCTTAGAATTTTTCATGGATTCCCCATGTTTTCTCACTTTAATTCAGCAGCTTATTTGCAACCGCCTAACTGTTTTATTTGAATTATGCTCCGTCATTTTATTAACCTTTTTAACAATTTTTTTTTGTGGTAGATAAAAAAGTTCCTTCGTATTGAAAATGAAACAATAGTTTTTTTCCTGTCTTTTTATTTTATTTTTTACAATGGCAATCTTTTGTAACAGCATCCTATGTGAAGATGAACTCCAAGCTGTTGCCGTGAAGAGCCAGCTGCAACAGATTGCACGGCCCATGTATAGCAACCCACCTGTTCATGGTGCTCTTGTCGTTTCCACAATTCTTGGTGATCCAGAACTAAAGAATTTGTGGTTACAAGAGGTGAAGGTGAGTTACCAACGACTGTTCTCTCCCTTGATATTAATTATGGAGAAATCGCTTCCCATTGGTGATCCATCTGGAGAAGACTGGGGAGCTTGTTTATTTATTTAATTATGAGAGAGAATTCTTGTATTATGTCAGGTTATGGCTGACCGGATCATTGGGATGAGAACTGCTCTTCGAGAAAGCCTTGAAAAGCTTGGTTCAACTCTTCCTTGGGAACACATTACTAACCAAGTAATGGTTATGTTTCTTGTACATTGTTCAATTGCATCAACTAGCTTGCAAGAACGCTTCTCTCTGCTAATACCTTGTCTGTTTCCTTGATGCCATCAACAGAAAACCCCAAATGCAGTTATATTTTATTTTTATTCCACAACGTCATCCATGTGAATCACAACCTAATCATGTCCATTTGTCATCTAAATAACTTCTACTGTGTAGATTGAGGAGACCCTTTTCATGATTGTTGGCTGAAATCTATCACACAACGATCATGCTTTGATTTGTTTTAACGGAATACTGCTTATATCCTTCTTATTGGACAGCCTGTTTCAAATATTTGATTAATCCAACTCTTAATCACTGAAAACATCCCAAGCACATTTAGATCCCTAGTGTCCCTTTTCGCATTGGATCTATGCACACGTTTATTCTAGGGCAAGACCTAATCCCACTTCTAATATCGATATTTACTGTTAACAGCAGTGGAGCTTCCATAATCTTGACAGTGTCATCCCTAACATATGCATTACCCTTTTCAACCAATTTTTTTTAAAAAAAATGTAATCTTTTGCCCTACTCTATGGGATATTGTTGTCACATTTTTGAGATTGTAGGACTCTCCCAGTTGGGTCCATTCCTGACTTCACTTGTGCTTGTCATGGCCTCTGTCTGAAAAACAGATTGGCATGTTTTGCTTCAGCGGTATGACACCACAACAAGTTGACCGGTTAACCAGTGAGTTCCACATTTACATGACTCGAAATGGTCGAATAAGGTCGGTGATTCTTTCTTCCTTCCTTCCTTCCTTCCTTCATCTACCTTTTGGCTTAACATAAATAAAATTAGTACACTGTATATTGGGCTCAATTCCAGCCATCAGGATCATCATATCATTCTCAATTCTGCAGCATGGCAGGAGTCACGACAGGAAATGTTGGCTACTTGGCCAATGCAATACATGAGGTCACAAAGTCCGGCTGAGGTATTTGCCCTGCCTTCTCTCTCATGCCCTTCAGAGCAATGAAGAAAGAGGCCATTCAAGCCTCAAGAGTAACCTTACAGCTATATGCAAAATAAGGGCTCTTCATGATCCCAACCCTCAGTTTTGTTCACTCTCTGGAGAGAGAAACGAGTGAAATAATTCAGAAGAGATTGTCTCCTTTTTATTCGTCCCTGTTTTTGGTTGGGACGAGTTCTCTCAATAAAATTCTGGTTTGGAAATCCAAACCAGATGTGAATGCTGGGAAAAACGATATTTTTTCATAAATGCGCAGGAAATATCGAGAAAATGAACTCATTAAGGTTATTGCATTCGTTATAATGCTCACAATCATGGCGATTGGAGCGACCGAAAGCTAACTTTCAGCCTGTGGGATTGATTTTATATGATTTCCATGAACAAATGTTCTTGCAATTTTGTTGATGTTTATTTTTTCATGTTTCTATAAATTTTCCGGTGGGTTCACTCAGATCTTCTCATTTAATCCTCCGCATCAAAATATGTTCATCAGACGAATGGAGACTGCCTCCGTCAGTTCCTTCACTCAATTAAGCTAGGTTTCCACTTCTCTTCACAGAAGTGTAAACAAGAACAAGTACTAGGGCAACAGAACCACTGTACTCTGCCTTTGCATAACATGTTATTACAAAAGAACGTGTTATTTTTGTTTGGAAAGAGCACCTCAGATGACGAAAAAAAAAAATCCGAAAAAAAAAGATTGGAGTTATCCTCTACATACATTTCATCTGTTCACTCAGGAAGACGAGCAGTCTGAACAAGCTCCCCCACTCAGGGTGCTGCTCTCTGTCCTTTGCCACAAAGGAGTGCACCTGCTTGTTGACTTCTATCCAGCTGCAGCCTGCCCCTTTTTTCACCCCTCTCTCGCTCATCAGCTGCCTCGTTGACTCCACCTCCCTCCATCTCCCAAACTCCGCCAGCATATTAGAGACCATCACGTAGTAACCCGAGCCCCCCTGGTCTCCGCCATGCCCGATAATCTGAGCTCCAGAGAAGATGCCCAAGTCAAGATTGCAGTGGATTCTGCAGGCCCCAAGCAGAGATCCCCAGACGGCGGCGCTGGGCTCCATGGGCAGCGTCCGCACCAGCTCCATGGCTCTCTCCAGCCTCCCTGATCTTCCCAGGATATCCACCATGCAGGCGTAGTGCCCCTCTCTAGGGCTGACGTGGAACCTCTCCATGCTGTCGAAGATCTCCACCCCTTGCTCCACCAGGCCCCCATGGCTGCAGGCCGATAGGGCGGCGATGAAGCTGACCTCGTCGGGCTCCTCCATTCCCCGGAAGATCTCGAGGGCCTCCTCTCCAAGCCCATGGAAGGCGTACCCACCGATCATGGCGTTCCAGGTGACCAGATTCTTCTCTGGCATTTGGTCGAACACCTTCCGTGCGTCCCTTATCCGCCCACATTTGGCGTACATGTCGATGAGGGCGCTGCCCACGAAGGTCTGCTCGTCCAACCCTCTCTTGGCCGCCCAGTGATGGACCTCTCTCCCCTGTCTGAGCCCCGACACGCCCGCGCAGGCCGCGAGGACGCTGGTGATGCTGATGGGGTTGAGCTCCACCTCCGCCATGATCATCCTACTGAAGAGCTCCAGCGCTTCCCGGCAGTGCCCGTTCTGGCCGAAACCCGCGACCATGGAACTCCAGGAGATTACGTCCTTCCCCTCCATAGTCTCGAAGATGTGCCACGCGCCGCCAACCATGCCGCACTTGCCGTACGCCGAGACGAGAGCATTCGCCACCCGTCGGTCGGACCCAGTTCCTCGCCGGAAGGAGACGCCGTGGATTTCCCTGCAGTGGCCCGCCCAGCGGAGGTCGGCGACCGCCGGGAGGACGCTGGCCGTGGCTATGGCGTCTGGTGCCAACCCTGCGCTCAGAAGCTGTCGGAGTACTCCCACGGCCTCTTTGGGCCTGCCAGCCTGAGCCAGCGAGGAGATGATCCCGCTGTAGGTGATCACGTCTGCGCGCAATCCTCGGGCTCCCATCTCCTGGAGAAGGCGGAAGCTCTCCTCGAAGAGGCTGTTCCTGGCGTAGCAGGAGATCAGGGCGTTCCAGGAGACCCCGTCGAGGAGGACGGAGCTACGGAAAATGAGCCCAGCTTGCCGGATTTCACCGCACCGGCCGTAGGCGGAGATGAGAGCGTTCTGCACAGTGGAGCAGGACTGCAAGTCGCTCCTCACGATATAGCCGTGGGCTTCCCTGACGGTCTCGGTGGATGAGCACGCAGTGAGGGCGCTCGCGAGGGTCACCTGGTCGGGCCGCAGCACGCCATGGCCGACCATTTCTCTGACCTTCAGCAGCGCCTCCTGGTGCAGCCCCCGGTTTGCGTAAGCGGAGATGATGGAGTTCCAGGAGACGACGTCCTGTTGAGGCATTCTCTCGAACAGTTGGACCCCATCGGAGAGGCTGTCGCACTTGGCGTACATGCCGACGAGGGAGTTGCAGACGAAGACGTCCGACCCCAGCCCGGAGGTCACCGAGAGCGCGTGCAGCTGCCTTCCCCGACGAAGGTCCGGCAAGGCCTTCGCCATGCACGAGAAGGTGGACGAGTTGGGCGCCAAGATTTCCCCCCTGCTCTTCCTGCAGAAGAGGGCAACGGCTCGCTGGTGCAGGCCATTGCAGGTGAGCCCTCTGATTGTCGCGTTGAGGAGGAAGGCGTTGGGTTCCTGGAACCCTTCGAGGATCGCCTCCGCCCCCGACGTGTTGCCGCTGAGGGAGTAGAGACTGATGAGCTTGGTGGAGAGGAAGGAGTCTTTCTGTAGCCCGCAGGTCACCACCCTCGCGTGGAGAATAGAGCCCAGCAGGGGATCGTCGCATTGCCGGAGATAAAACTCCAGCAATCCCCGGCAATCTCCGACCGCCGGAGGCTGAGGAGTCGGCCGGTGAGCGGGGGAAGAGAGGGTACTGCGGAACCACAAGCTTCTGGGGCCGGCGGCGGTGGACAGGAAGGCTCTCATGCTCTCCCATTCCCAGCCCCGGACAAGGATCGCTACGACAGCCGAAGACTAGTACTCTTTGCTCGATCCCCCTCCGCCATTGCCACTCTCAAGGTCAACCATAATAATCTTAAACTACGAACTAGCCGGGAGATTCAACCAATCCTTCTTCCACAAAATGGCATATCTCAGAACATGGATCCTGCCGACAACAAGAAGAAATCTCAGGGGAGAAGCATCATGGAACCAAGCCAGCCCACCGGCATCTCTATTAACAACTTCTCTGGCTTCCATCTCCTGTTTCTGTGAAGAAGGCTCATAAATACACTGGAACCAGGAGCAGCAGGGGAAGGAAGAAGAGTTCATCTGGGGCCCGAGAGCTCAATCGGTTCGATGATGAAGGAGGACTCATCCGGTGGGGGGTACTCGTGGCCTCTGGAGAAACTGCACGATCTTTCGCAGAGGTTGGCCGCCATAGATTCCTCTCCTGGGGCCCCGGCGGCGGACCCACCTTCCAATTCCTTCACAATCTCCGACATCTTCGGCCGGAGGCCAGGGAGGGCCTGGGTGCAGAGCAGGGCCAGCCTTACGGCATTCTCCAGCTCCATCTCATCAACAGACCCACAGAGCTCCTTATCCACCAATGTCTCCAGCCTCTTCCCCTCGTACGCACCCCTCACCTGCGAATTATTAAGAACATCAAGAATGAAAGACAGGTCAAGATGAAAGGTAAGAACCGAACATCCAAGAGACTGAAAGGAGAGGGAGACAAGACGCCGCCGCCGCCGCCGCCGCTTACCCAGTCGAGGAACATCATCCCTTTGTGGGCATGGCCATTGCCGGCGCTCAAGGACTTTCCCCCCGTGACCAGCTCCAGGAGGAGAATCCCAAAGCCGAAGACGTCCGTCTTCTCCGAGGACTGCCCGGTGGCCAGATATTCCGGGGCGATGTGGCCGACGGTGCCCCTCACGGCGGTGGTGACGTGGGAGTCCCGGCGGTCGAGGAGCTTTGCCAGGCCGAAATCCCCGACCACCGCCTCGAAGCTCTGGTCGAGCAAGATGTTCGCAGCTTTCACGTCCCTGTGGATGATCTTCGGGTTGCACTGTTCGTGAAGGTAGAGAAGCCCCCGTGCAGCTCCGAGGGCAATGCCCATGCGCCTGCTCCAGTCCAAGGATGGTTTCTCCCCGCACCTGCCTGGAAGAACAGAGTTGACTTTAGGAAGCAAACTCAAAAAACAAATTAAAACCCGGCGATGTGATGTCGTCTCAACAAGCAGAAGAATGAAATGATATTTTCAGTTGGGAGTCATCTTGTCTAGTTGCGAGGAGGCGCTCAGAGACGGACAAACCTCTCAGCTGGTCTGCGACGCTGCCATTAGGCATGAAAGGGTAAACCAGTAGCCTTTCATTCGTGGTCATGCAAAACCCATACAGACGAAGGAGATTGCGATGGAGGGCTAAGCCGATCATCTCCACCTCCGTTTGGAACTGAAGCTCGCCGGTGAAGTTCGGATCCTTCAGCCTCTTCACGGCCACCACCGCACCATTCCGAAGGAGTCCTTTATAAACCACTCCGAAGCCGCCCTGGCCCAGGATGTTCTTCGGACTGAAGTTATCCGTGGCCATTACGAGCTCCCGAAACGTAAACCTTTTCAAGTGCCCGATATCAAACTCGTAATCTTGCTGCTCTGCAGCAAAACAAAACAAAAAACACTGATTTACCGTTTAGATGACAGGAAATCGATTTTCAGAGAGGCTACTGCCGTGGTGAGGAGTACCATCTAGAGCGAAACCAACAGGGCATCTGTTCCACTGATGCCAGCAAACGATCACCATTAAAGAGACCGCAAGGGCTGAGCCAAGGGTCACAGAGACGGCAACCACCATTTGGTGATCGCTAGCCCTCGATGAAGCATCCATTTCTGCGAAAATAAATGGACCAGATACCTTGAATGTACGTCAAACTAAAACAGAGAGCATTGGCATATCAACTCAACGCAGAAGGGATTATTACCCTTGACTGGCACTGGGACTTCCACACACCCTTGCAAGACTGACGGAGTGCACAGAAACTTGTTCCCTGCAACACTAGAGAGGAAAACGTCGTTTAAGGGAGACCCATGGGAAAAGGGAAAAAAAAAAAGAAGAAGAAATTGTACTACATGAATTCCCCACCGGGGGAGGGGGGTTTCTTGGATCCATTCAAAGATTGATATTTATGTGCCCAATTCCGAGATTTGATCCATGTTGAAAGTATGAATTCTCAAGGTTCATTTTCCAGAGCGCTAATCACTCTAAAGCGGTCCGGATTCCCAAGGGGCCGTTCAGATTCTAAAGCAGCAAGATGAAGGCTTTAGGAATCTAAAAAGGGTGAAGATTTGAATTTTGGATGCAGATTTCTATTCCACTCCGTTGCTTATGCTAAGAGAAGACTCGATATGCTTTTAACGGGGAACAACTCAGGCATGTGGCCCTTAATACTTCTTTCATATCCTCGTCAAGATCGCCGAAAAGAAAATGTTTTGAATGGGTGGCCAATACACCCATCTTACCTGTAATCCTTAGCAAGTATTCTGGGAGTTGGACCGCTGAGATTGTTGAAAGATAGATCCCTGCACCATGTTGGTCGTGCAAATTTTAGCAATGAACCTTGAAAATAAGTCACAACCAAGCATAGGATGGGAAGCATACAAGAACGAAAGGCCCGAGAGACCAGCAACAGTTCCAGGGATAGGCCCGGATAAGTTGTTTCCATTAAGCCTCCTGAAAAATTTAAATGGGCCAGGGGAATTTTTTTTTATTTACATTCCCCTCCGTAAGCGCAGCAATCAGCGGACATAGCGAGAGTCTCGACGCACTTACAGGTAATTTAGATTGATCAGGGACCCTAGAGAAGATGGAATTTGCCCAATAAACTGGTTACCGGAGAGGTCAAGAGTCCTTAGCTTCGACAGCTTCCCAATCTCAGGAGGAATCGGCCCTGATATCCTGTTGTTCTGCAGTAACCTGCGCCAAAAAAAATAATTCATTCACTAGTTGTGAAGCATCATTCTACCGACGAATTTCATCCACGGTGCTTGAAAAAGGTTATTTCTCGACTAAACAGGATGGCATCTATTAGATCTCGGAAGAAGGATCGGATGAACATCAGCAGGATTTTCTTCCTTGTAGCATCAAATCGACACCTAAGAATATGAAAGATCAGCAGTAGCAGCATCATGGGATCACTGATTTTTTTTTTTAATTATTTATGAATATAAAGCCACACTGAGCAGCATTGCAGCAACCAAACAACAGATTGCTGAAGAGCCCACGAAGCCACCGTTGTGGGGCCTTCCACTGTGAGGAATCGGACCCTTTTCAACCCTCCTTTCACTGCTCAGGCAGCCACCAGGTAGAGAACAGATTTCATCGTATGGTTGTAAATTCGCTGAGGTTTTTGATTTAGATCCGAACTTCTCGGGAAAAAAAAGATGTAGCCCATCCGGCCTTCTCCTAGAAACATGGACGGAACACTCACATGGTCTGGAGGTGGCTCAAATTCCCGATGCTCGGCGACAGCGTCCCGATGAACCCATTGCTGGCCATTTCACTGCAACACACGCCGCCACCATTTCACCACCACCACCACCAGGTCAGGAAGGCGACAAAGAACCCGAAAAGAGTGGAACAGGAGATGCTGTAGAGAGAGAGAGGGCGGGAGGGATACGACGCTTACAGGGAGATGACGAAGCCGTCGGGGGAGCAGCCGACCATCGACCAAGTGCAAGGGTCCACCGAGTTGATGTCCCACCCGTCCATCGCCCCAACCGCGCACCTCATCTTACTCTTCACCGACATCAGCGCCGCCACTGCGTCAAGTCGAACAGAGAGAGAAGCATTCGTCCAGTCTATCCATGTACGCACTCCATCCAACTATGCACATAGGAAGACCTTACCTTCATAGTTGACGCCCTTGGGGGAGAGGAGGGGATCAGATGACCAGATCAGAGGCAGGTGAGAGAGCGCCACCACCAGCAGATGTCCCAGGAGCCCGCCGGGAAGCTCATTCCGAAGCTCCGCCGCTCCTCCCATCGCCGCACAGCCCCGCCGCCTCGGCTCTCTGCAAGTAGAGCAACAGTGGGTCTTCGAGATTAGCGGCAGATGAGAAGATATAAAGAGCCCATTCTTGATTCTGAGGTTGGGGACGGTGGCGATGGAATCTCTACACACCTGCCTAGCTCGAGCTTCGCAACCCGAGGGCATTTAAAAAACTCCGGCCAGAAGCGCCACCTGCGCGGCTCCGCGTATCGGGCGGAGGGAGGAGGGCGAGAGCATGGAGCAGGGCCCTCCGCCGCCCTTGAAATGCAGAGTGAGACTCCAATGGTCTCCCTGTCCTCCGCTACCCACTACTGTTACATATTTTTATAATCAAATATAAAAACATGCCCTCATAAATTAAGCACATGAACATCGACCCGCTGGGCACACGCTAGCTTGAGCGAGAGAGAGAGAGAGAGAGAGGAGCTTCCAGTCGCCTCGGAATGGATAAAATATTTTGACCAGAGGAAATAAATAAAATTTCAGTTTCCAGCGTCAAAACAGGTAGATAAATTACAGAACAAGCTTCGACGAGATTTCTCTTGAGCCTCCAGCCACAGAAAATCCGCTCTTCGTCATTCTCAGACACTTGCTCACAGTTCGTCCCTATGACAGAACTATACAGATACCAGGAACGCTGGCACGATCATCCACCACCCCCCGCTGGGTTTCAGCGTCGGCATCAGCGAAACCCCAGCAACCCCATCTGAAAAAAATGAAGAAAAGAGGATGCACGTGCGACAGCAGTCAACGATGGGCTTACGTTCCAGCAGGGTGGAGGATGTTGAGACCTGATTGGCGCCTCACATGGTCGGGGATCGGATTCTTGATTAGTTCTGGGGAAACCCCCGCCCCCGCCATCTGAAAAAACGTTCGAGCGACGGGCGGTGAGCAAATCCAATGGGAACGCAGTCCGCCAGACATGCGAGAAGATTTTTATATTCAAATGCCATACGGCAACAGAAGATCGTAAGAAAGATAATTAAATGATAAAGAATGGGGGGGGGGGAGGAGGGGGGAAGGGAGGCTCACTTCCTCTTTTAAGTTGTAGAGCGGCGGCAGGCGGCGACCATTCGGCAGGCAAGCATTGGGTTCTCGTAGCTCGTCGAAGAAGGGATGGGCACATGCCTCTAGCTGCGATGAGGAGACACGGATTAGCAACAGCCCCGTGGCGCCAACGTAGGCAGTTCTGCGAAATGCAATTGAAGCTGTGGCAAGCGAAAATTTATCCACAGAAAATGGAGCAGATCTTAAATGCTGCCACCCTGCAGCTCCTCAGACAAGTCGCTTGCACGTGAAAAGGGGAGGATTGTCTTAATCGTGCGGGAACTCACTGCGGTACAGCGGAAGCTTGGTGAGTACTGAAGAACCCTGGAGGTAAGATCGATCGCTTCTGGAGGCATTCGTTCACGGAAAATCTGGAGAATAAGACCACATATGCATTAAATTGATGTATAAAGATGGTGCAAAGGAGTCCAGCGGCACTACTGTTTGTGCAGCATGAAGTCAGAAACGTTTTCCATTCGGGTTGTCCTAAATATGTTTTCAACAGGGGAAAACTGTATAAAAAATTAGTTCACTAAAAAGCATATCTATGCAGCGCTCTTCGAAAATAGAAAAAACTATTTCATTTTAATATAATGCTATGATAAATTTCAGGCGAAAAAACCATAGCAAGACCTCATAGTTAAGAGTACGAGGTCATATGCTCTGAAGAACATGAGTGAGGAATTCAAGGACAAGAATTCATCTTTTTTTTCTCGGAAAACAATGTTGCTGGCGAGTAAGGCAGAGGATAGAGGTGCTATATGGTCCAATAAGTGCCTTCCAGCACCCCCGCTAACCATTACCTTATGCCATGGGTGAGGTTTTATCTGTGGGAACTTAAACTCCGTGTGATTCGGATTCATGCATCGAATCTCCTCTCGGGTTGGAGTACCAAGGACCTGTCAGAACAGACCTCATTGTTAGCAAGACAACACCATTAGCAAGATTCACAGAGGTGGAAACATATGAACAGCGTACGTTGATTATTTGAACAAGCTGGTCAGCAGGGCTTTCACCAGAAAACAGGGGCTACAGCAACACCAAAACACAAGTCAGAAGAAGAGTTTTGAGACGTTAGAATCACATTCCAGATTTTGCATAAAGACGCTCAGGAAAACAAGCTGAAATGTTACATGACCAAGAAGTAATTCTGCAAGAACACAGCCAGCAGACCATATGTCAATCGAAGTTGTATACTCTGTCGCACCAAAAAGAAGCTCAGGCGCACGGTAATAACGGGAGCAAATGTAGGATATGTTCGCTTCTCCTTTAACCTAGAAAGCCCAAAATTCAGCAATGTTGAGCACACTGGAGTGCAGACGTGCAGAACATAAGACCACAACGAAGATTCTAGAGAAGATTGGGAAAATATGAGATACCTTGATAATTTTCCATGAGATCTAACAGATAAAGAGGAATATAAATGCATTCCCACCCCTAAAAGCTTTTAAGTATTCTACCTCACACTCTATTTAAGATTTTAAAGAATGAACTTTTCCAGAAGCCTAACGGCAAATCAGAAAGAATGACAGGAAATAAAGAAGCGCGTACCAGAAGTTTGGCACTGCCAAAGTCGCAAACCTTCACCTGGTGGGTAAGAGTGTCGACCTGTGTACCACAGATACAGGTAAGTTTTCTTTTTACTTCATTAAATTTTAGTGCTAAAATAAATGATGATTAAGCAGAGATCAACAGAATATAAAATTTCCGTGGAAGAAAAAAAATACCAGAAGATTCTGCGGCTTGATATCACGATGACACACCCCTTGCGAAGTGTGAATATAAGCCAACCCACTAAAAATCTGGGCATACATACAAAAAGAGCTGTCAGTCTGAGACCATGTAATAAAATGCATCATCAGATAGCAGGGTTATTCACCTGATAGCTATAAAGCTTCACATAGATAAGTGGCATCCTCTGGGCGTTCTTGCTGTACTGATTCAGAACTCGATACAGAGTTTCAGGAATATATTCCATGACTAAATTGAGGAAAAGTTCGTCTTTGCTCGTGGTGGAGAGGAAACAGTGCTTGAGAGAGATCACATTTGGATGATTCATCAAGCGCATCAGTTGAAGCTCACGGTTCTTGTACCGTTTTTCTTGCAGAACCTTTTTAATGGCGACAGTTTCCCCAGTCTCCAAGCATTTCGCCTAAATGTAATAATCATGGAAGACATCAAAGGTAAGACTGATAGAAAAATTGCAGGAAAATATCTCATTATCGGTGTCGTTACCTGAAAAACAACTCCAAACGATCCAGTTCCTACAACCCGCTCTGCCATGTAACTTATTGTCTGCAAGTAAAGAAAATGTGCTCCTTAATTACCTTCAAGAAAACGTAAAAAAGTACAAGAACACTCCCAAGGATCCATTCAAATTATAAAAATGAATCCAATCATTTCTCTAGGGTGAATATTGGCGGCCTCGCCTGTTTGGGTTCACCATTCTTTGACTGAATCGTCGTTGAAATAATGTGGCCAGTGACTGAGTCATTCCCCCCTTCCTCTAATGGTATCTGCAGAAAACATTATATTCTGAGTTATCATGCAACAATCCGTTGCAATGCTCGAGAAAATAATGAAATGCAAGAGAATAACATGCAATAACTCTACGAACATTCCAAACCTGGAGAGGGGATGAAATCAATGGAAGAGAGACAGACAGACAGATCATACACGGAAATTTATCGCAAAACGAATGTACATTCTCTAAAGGAAGCAAAAGGATTGTCGATCTAGACAAAGAACATGAATTTTCGCTGAGGCACGGAGAAAACAAGCCTTGTCGAGCATCAGAGATCGCAAATCAAGGAAGCCGTGAACAGTGGTGGCGAGGCAAAGCGACTAAGTCACGCAACTTTCACAAGATTGAGTGCCAAGAAAGGATAAGGTCGACAATGAAAAACGACCTCACGTAAATTACCAAAGCATCAGCAAGAGTTTCGCGTAGTAGGAATGCCAAATGATTTCGCCACGAAAGATTACGCTCTAAATTAACATTAAAATTAAGTAATTCAGGGTAACTGAAGAAAAAAAGGTTGAGAGCCAAAGAAATTGGAAGGAAATCCCTGGACCAAGGAAGAAGAGGGAAGTGAAAAGTCAAAATTCGTCTTCCTCGATACTCAAAGGCAACGTGTACCAGGGAAGATCATTGAAGAGGGAAGAGGAAAGGAGAGAGAGAGAGAGAAATTCAACCACAGACGCGTGGGAGATCATAATCCTCCCCTTTGTAATCAAAGAAGAATACACGAATAACCGTCAGTTGATCAAATAGGCCGGATAATAAAAAAGAAATCGTCGCAAGAGTGACAATCCTTCGTCAAATCTTTAGTCAACGGAACAAAGGATGGAACCAAGAGAACGGAGAAAACGTCAGCCAAACTCAGGGACACTCCTCGCAGTGATCTCAGAAACGAAGACCTCCAATCTACGCAGATCAAACACACAAATCCCCCTCCGGTACAATAGACAGAAGATTGCAGAACAGAATCGCCCAGCGTTACCTTTATGTCCCCCATCGTTGGCACCCGAGGCGGGGCAATTCTCAGCAGCTCCCCGAGGGATCACCGTCGAGACAAGCGGCAGCGCTGCAGCTCCTCCGACCGAGGACGTGCCCGCAGAGGGAAGGAAGCAACGTCGGAAAACCAACCCCCCCCCTACCTCCATCTATTCTCCCCCGCCACCGCCAGCTCCAACCAACGATGATCAATTACCCAAAACCCCTCATTTACGTCGCATACGACAACCCCCCCCCCCCCCCAACCCAAAAGTCGAGCGTATTTTATAAAGTCTTGCTTCGTCTAGAATACAACCCCCGCCCGCATCCTTCTTTATTCAAATACCAGGAACCGCGCTTCCCTAGGGCTCCGCCGGCGGCAACCGGAAATTCTCCTTTCACGGCTACTCCTCCCATGTTTCTCCGGCATCCTCCTTCCTCAGCCTTCCACCCCTCGGCGAGGCCCCCGTGGCAAGTGGCGCACGGAAGCCATAGCCGTAGCTATGGCTTCTTCCGGGGCAGATCTGGTCGCCTTCTTCCGGTGACAGAATCTTCTGCGAGAGCGGCTCTAGCCGTAGCATTGGCAAGACTGCCGGATGTTGCTGCATCTGCAATCCTTCCCCGAGTTGGCAGTGGCGGTGCCGCCACCGTAGCTATGGCTTCGCCTCCTCCAGAGCTCGGCGACCGTGGGAGGTCTGTTTGCTTTCCTCCAATGTTACCGGCTTCTGCGAGAGTGGCTCTACGGCAGCATTGGCAAGCGGACCAGACCCTCCCTTCTTCCGGATGCTAACCTCGAACAAGCTCCAGCGGATTTCTTTTCGTGGGGGGAGAACTCTGGTGGATGGAGCAGCGGCCTCGATCGGCATGCTGAGCTCTTGTGGAATTTGACATCGCATCTAGCGGGAAGAATTGGAGGTAATGTCTCATTGAATTCATTCGTTGAAACGATGAACATGAGCGAGAGAGAGAAAGATCTGTTGACAACGACTGGATTCTCAACTAGAATGGCCTTCGGCTGAAGTTCAGAAGTAGTCTGCATACATCGGACACAAGACGAGGACAAGAGGCTGATGGAATCGTGTGCCTTTCCAGATGATCTGACCAAATTCCGAAGAGAGTACTGCTCTAAAAAAAATAAAAATCAGATGCTGTGATGGAGCTGAAGAACAAAAAACCACGGTATTCATGGATCTGGATGCCAGTGTCCATCGGCGGACAGAAGCCAAACGATTTATGAAGGAGATCTGCCCCAGCCTCATCCTTTGTGAGGGTCGAATCAGACCCATGTCAGGTGATCGCAAGCATCTCCCTGAGAGAGTTATTTCCCTTGAACCTTGGTGTAGCTATCTGCAGCGGCTGATATCGACTGTATAGACACAGGAAATCCAGGACCCATCTACAGAAACATCAAGAGGAGCGTGATTAGAAAATGGTGCGGTCTCATCCTATGATAATTCATGGAAAACCACCATAGTTGCATGGATTTTTACGCTCACCGTACTGCACAGTGAGAAGGAGTTCATATAACCAGCATATTTGGAAGCTGCACCATTAGAAAACGAAGAAAAGGAGGTCATCTCAGCATATTCAGGTTGGGTTCACCGAAGGGCATTGAAATTTTCGAGTAATTTTTGCTTTAAACCCTTAAAAGGACTTTGTAGAATGCTTTCTGAGATAGCGATTGGATTTTATTTAATGCGCATGAATGATCATGATTTTGAAGGTGATTTTTATGCATGTTGAATAAAATTACATAAATTAGACACAATCGATCACTAACTGTTAGGAAACAGGTATATTTTTTTACTAGTAACTACGAAACTTACTCTTCTTTAGTCCCACTGGTTTTGCAAGCAGGAGCGCATTGACAAAAGCCGCTATGTTCTCACGCAGAGCCTCCTCGGAGAAGCTCACCTGTTAATGATGATGAATACCCCATCAGAAAGATAACTATATATATATATATATATATATATATATATAAATGTATAAACCCTTTGAAAGCTAGGGGGCTTCTTGAATGCAATTAGCAGTTTGCCAAAATATCCAGATTGAGTTTTTGAGAGATATTAATTACATAAAAAAATGAGTATCCGAATTGAAGAAATCCATGTAATAATATGCATACATAATATAGTTGCACATTCATTTCAGACCTTAACCTTGCACAAAATGGCCATCTCCTCAATGTTTTACCCAATAATCACGAATGAGAAGCTTGAAAACTTTTTAGGAGAAACTTTTTTGGGGGTAAAGTATGTAGCACATGCATGAATATGCCCACAAAAGGAAAATAACACAAATATATATATAATTTATATTATTTATATTATTTATATTTGTACTTTTGAATTGAAGAAAGATAATGATTATACGTACCTTGCCCAGTCCCACATGTATAATAGCAGTTTTGTCAATCTTAAAGTCAACGCGTCCACATTTGGCCGCTTTGACTGCCCCAGAGACGTCACTGGTCACAGATCCTAGCTACGCAGAGTAAGGATAGGAAATGAAAACAAGGTAAAGCAATGATCCGAAATCTAGACCGGCGAAGATGATGGGGAGAGCATACTTTCGGGTTGGGCATCAAACCACGGGGACCCAAAATCCTAGCGATCTGGTAACACAGATGCAATCCACAATAAGTCGCAAGTTGTCCAAACCCATACCAATATTCATGAATAAAACACATATAAATAGCATTAAATTGGTAGCATTTAGCGAATTAACATGCAATATAAATATGAAATATGAGAGAGAGAGAGAGAGCCGAACCTTTCCAAGACGAGGCATGAAGGAAGGAATGGCAATGCACTTGTCGAAATTGATTTTGCCACCTCCTGCATTCCCAGACACAGAGACTAGATTAAAACCCATGAATTATATATAACTTAGAACCCTAGATTTCGGAACTTCTTCATAGGAACAAAATATTTATAGGGTTATTATGGCGAAACAGATCTAAGTACCTGTCATGATGGCCTCGATGAGCTCGTCCCCGCCAACAATATCAGCTCCAGCGGCTCTAGCTTCCTCTGCTGCAGGCCCTTCTGCAAACACGGCTACTCTGACAACCTAAATAAACAGTAGCTCGTTTTAAAGATCAAATTATATGGGTAAAACCAGTCAGTGGCATTGAATAAAACATAGTACCTTTCCAGTGCCATGCGGTAGAGTAACAGCTCCACGCACCATCTGTAGAAAAAATTGCAATGTCATGAAACAAAGTAAATAATAGCTAGAAAAATAAGAGCAATGGAATGCTTAGAAGCCAGTAAAATAGCAGACATCTTCGATTAGAGAAAGTTCTGTAGAAGGATCAAGAAATCATTCAACCTAATAATCTTTCTCTTTGCGCTTTTTTTTGTGGTAAGTGCATGGAAGCATATTTGCTCAACCAAAAACATTGTTATGTTTATAATGAGAGTCTGGTAATTATATCCTACAGGTCTCAACAACTTATATCCAAAGCAATTCAGTTCCTAAGTTATAAAGCACCTGACACCCGCTTATGATTCTTTGCAGATACCAGATGCCCAGATCTTCATTCCAATCTCTATGGTGAAATCGAACAGGTATTATTGAACTTTGATAAGATATTGCTTTTAGAGAACGAATGGCAAAAAAATAAATCTAAAGGCGAAATACGAACCAAACAAGTAAAGATCATAAGAATCAATAGGATAGTTTGCCTTTATACATCGGTCTCGACCATGAACAACACCAATCCGCAGAATAGATCGGTCTGTTAGCTGAAATCAACGGATACAACGTGGAGGCTATGAAATATTCAACTCAGGCGTAAAAAAATCATCTTTTACTAACCAAGTGTTATCAAAGAAATCCTCTAATTCATTATTTGCACCCACTTTTATATGAAGGTTAAAGTGTTGAATAGTGCGGACCACTGTTACGACCAAGTGGATCAGAAGTCGCACCCACATCCAAGCATATAGTTGCTCCGATTTCCATGGTTCGACCAATTTTGGACTCTCGTCCAGGAATTTGGGAGAACTAGCTGAAAAAGGCCTTGGTTTATTTTTCTAACACTGGTCACATAAAGAACCAGCTATAGCATTCACAGTTCTGTTTTCAAGTCATTGGTTGTGACTGACAACTATACAGGAGAATCTGCCTTTCACCACCTGGCATTAGGACCCTCTTATTAGTACTAGCAAATTTTCTAGCAAAGCCACCGCATTTCTTCCCCAAAACTAGTACACAAAAAACTACACGACGTATCAGAAACATAACACTACCAGACAAGATAACAAGTTTAGGGTTACAGTGACCCGCCAAAATGAGCGTGTACTTCCATTCTTCCATGGAAATAACCAATGGGTACTACTGGATTCTGAACCAAAAGCAAATCAATAGATATAATATGCAACACCCAGAATACTGAAATGCAACAAAAAAATTTAAAAAGTAAATTCATGTGAAGATAAAAATATATCCATTTTCCATAATCAAGGTGATAAAAATAAAAGTACGGTTGTATGTGAATAATATGAGAGTTGTTCCCTATTTACCACAATATCATGTGGTTAAGGGGCACAAACATTATTTAATTTTTCAACAGGAATCCTTAGTTCCAACGAGTAAAGAAAGAACTCAAGGAAATAATTAGACCTGGTCACCTCGTCGTGGATCAACTCCCAAGTTAACATGAGCCTCAACGGTTTCAACGAAATTCCTCTTCGCGTTAGCCTGAGAAATACTTGCAATAACCAAAAAAAATGATCACCTGAACATTCCAAAATGTGAGGTAGAAAAAGGATAGGAATAAACATTTAAGAAAAATATTTTACACCGCAAATATGCGAAAGAATATTGTGAAAGCAGTCGGATATTTCTGAAGATGAACATGAAAGCAGCATCAGACTGAAGAAACGGCGGAATTATCGACGAGTACAAAAAACCACCAAGGCCAACAGTGCAGACACTTAACAATAGGTCTTCGTCGATTTCCCAGCTACTTTCGTTTAGAATGACCACTTTCTGATGGCCGAAGAAAATTTAGGATATACATGTTCCACGACGGTAACGAGGAGGAGAGTAAAGAGAGCTCGACCTTCACTTCCCTGATAGCCTCCTGGAGGTCGAGAGCCGCCTTCGGTTTATTCTTCTCCGGCTTGATCAGCGTCGGGAACGGGACGTTATCTTCCTCCTGCTGGATCAAGAGAGCCCTCCGCAGGCGAGCACTAGCCTCAATCCTCCTCGATTCTCGTTGCAGTTGCTCGTCACTGACTCTCCTGGTCTGCAGCTGCTCGTCTCCCTCGGTGATACTCTCCCCTTCCGCCATTGAATGGGCACCCTTGTCCTCTGGCAGCGGCGCAACTTTCGGCGCATAAGAGACGGGCGATATAACCGGAACATCCTTCACGTAGCGGGCATCCTCGCGGGTCCACGCCCGGACGATCCTTTCTTCCGTGCGGGGCGCCTCCGCCTGAGGATCATTCGTTTCATCCGATCCCTTCGGCGGTGCAGGAAAAGACTCCGGAGGCGGAGGAGCATCCTCCTCGTCCCTCAGTTTGACGGGGTAGGAGATGGGTTTGATCGGGCCAGAAGACGAGAGAGACCTCACCAAACCGAGCAGCGGAGCGAGACCAGAAGAGCTTGCAGCGGCATTCTCCACGTCTTGAATCGCAGAGATTGAAGTAGATCGGGGAGATTGAGGGGAATAGAGGAGGTGGCGGGAGGATTGGAGCGGAGGGCATTTGAGGGAATGGCGGCGGACATAGGAGAGCAAGATCCGCGGCGGCGGCGCCATTTCTGAAGCCCAAGTCGCCGGCGGCCCCTGACTAAGAGGAAGTGGGGGTGCAGGAGGGGCATTTCACAGAGAGGAGTTGCCTTCGAGGGGTTTAAGGGCTCGAAGCCGTAATCTCGACCGTCCAATCCAACTCGGATCCTGATGATGTGCCCAGGCTCCTGGAGGGTCCACTGAAGGGAGCTGAAAAACTATACAAATGATTAGTTACTATTTGTCTAGAAAATAACCCAGAAACTAAAATCGACGTCATTATACAAATTACAGCCCAGTAGGTTCCAGAAAATAAATTCGACATTTATTTTATTTTTGGTTCACTTTACACTGAGTTATTAAAGAGTAAATACAATTTTTAACAATAACCAAATATATTTTCCACAATTATTTAGTTTTTTTTTGCATACTTAATATGTGATTTTTATTTTACGTATACAAAATTAAGACCGTTTTTAAAATATTTTTAAAATATTGAGAACATTCATTTGGCTAAAAATTGTGTTTATATATATATAATAACGTAGATATGGGATTCTTAATGAATATAAAATAAATGCGCTCGATAAAAATAGTATTTGGGTTCTTTAAACCCTATTTAAATGGCCGAAGAAGATAATTTCTGATGGCGGGTTAGGAGATTGTTGAAATAATTAAATAACTGTTGATAAATACAGAAATAATGCCCGAGTCCTTCTTTTATAATTAAATAACTGTTGAAATAATTAAATACAGAAGAAGAATTTATAGATTTAGAAAAATGCCCGAGTCCTTCTTTTTCACAGCCAAGAACACCGATCCGTTGCCAAAAACTATATTTTTTCACCGGACCAATTTGTCCAGAGCCCACCCAACACGAATGAATCAATGAACTGCGGCTTGCCCTTCTTCTTCCTCTTCGTCTTCTTCTTCGATGGGGTAGGGTTTTGGGTTTATCAGGAGGGAGGGAAGAAGCGGTTGAGGTTGAAGGGGAGGGTGTAAAACTCCTCGTTGCGGCTGTCGCCCTTGAAGGTCCTGAATCGGTTCCACCACGGCATCCCTCTGTCCCTGGCCGCGTCCTTGACTTCCAGAGTGTTGTCCAGGAAGACGGCCACCAGCAGGGCCACCGTCGGCGAGGAGGAGAAGACGGTGTTGATGAAGTCGTTGAACTGCAGAGTTTCAGAGAGATCAGACAAGCAGAAGAAGATGAGAGGAGGAGAAGAGGAAGAAGTGGGGCAGTCGTCGGCGCACCCATCCTGCCGAGGTGTGAGCAGGGCCGTGCTGAGCGCCGGCGGTGTAGCGGGAGAAGTACTGAGGGACGGAGAGACCGAGGAACAGGGAGACGCCGGCGATGAAGAGGTTCCGCATGGAGTTCATGTTGGTGAACTGCAAGAACGAGAGCCCCACCGCGCCTGTGGAAGACGAAGAAGAATGCAGTGAGCTCGAAGAAGAAGAAGAAGCAAGAAGGACGAGGGAGAAGGGGCGGCGGCGCACCGACGAGCCCGAAGAGGACGCAGTACACGGCGGCGAATATTGTGAAAGGTATCGACGCGAACAGAGCTCCGAATTTCCCTGCAGCGGCAGAAGAAATTTGATCGAACCCGAGGCCATCTCTGCATATCTCGATAAAATAATCGATATCGGGCAGACCTAAGATGGAGAAGAAGATCATAAAGCCGGCCGATATCTGGACGACCCTGCGGCTTCCGACCCTCGTGGTGCCTAGCAGCCCCACATTCTCCCTGCATCGTCGTCAGCCTTCTCTTAGGGACTTAAATGAAATGGTGGAGAGACGATCCGAGGAGAGAAGACGATGATCTTCCTACACTAAAACAGTGGAGCCGGTTCCTGTTCCGAAGAGCCCGTCCAGCAGAATCCCCACACCCTGCAACACAGATCAAACGCCATTAGAATTAAGGCCGCCCGGCAGGCAAAGAACCTCTCCGCTGCAATTCTCAGGCGGCGAGCTAACCTGCCAGCCGATGCCCCGGCTGAGGACGTGGGCCGGCGGCGGGGTGGCGCTCGCCAGACGAGCTGCAGCCTTGTACGCGCCTGTCGACTGAAACAAACCCACCTCATCAGAGAAAGGAACAGGACGACGTATACCAAGGGGGTTTCTAGTTTCCATTCATGTTCCTCCTCAAGGGAGGATGAATCGTCTTCTACCTCGATCAGGGAAACCAGGACCGCCGCCATCATCCCGAATGCGTGCCCCGCGTCGAACGTTGGCGCGCCCCATTGTAGCGGGTAGGGGATCTTTATCCTGCATCGACGCGACAGAATGAGCAACCCAGACGAGGTTCTCTTCCGGCGGGGGAGAAGATCGCTGGCAGCCGCGGCCGCGACGGAGTTCCATACCAGGGAGCGGAGGAGACGAGGTGGGCTCTGTCGGTGCGGCAGTTGTCCTGGGTTCGCTCAGGTCGGTGTTTGTACGCGCCGCTGGCCGTCAGCAGGTGCGCGTACGCCCACGCCAACGTGATCGCCACCAGAAGGGCGAACCTCTCCATCACCGGCACTTGCTTCGCCCGTATATGCTTCAAGTACTGTAATTACCATAGCTCAGACAAGGGTTTTACAGAGAGAGCTACGAACTGGGGGACATACCTGAGATAAAGCGACGAAGAGGATGAGCATCGGTAGGCCTATCTCGACGCACCTTCCGACCTGAGGAGACAGGAGAAGATTCAGGAGACCAGTCCAATCACTCTGTCTGTTTCTTGGATAATCGTCCGTCGAAGCAACAGAGCGATAGAGGGAAGGAGCAATACCACGGGGAATCCCCTATCGAAGAGGCCGAACCCCACGAGGGAGACCACGGGGACCATCCCCAGCGGGCTGAAGAACCTGGAGCAGATTCCCCATAGCTGGCTGTAGCCCAGGATGATCTGAATGCTGGAGGCAACGATCAGAGATCCTTGGATGGCCCTCATGGTTTGAAGAAATCTCTGCAGGGGAAGACCATCCACGCGATGTAATGTGACTAGAAATCATCTACCGATTCTAGCAGAGGAGATCATTCGATTCGATCCGCCAACCTGGTGATCGTCGGCAATCTGCGTCAGGGACGAGTCGCGGATGATGGAGATGATGGGGACGACGAAAGCGTAAGACCCGCCGACGACCGTCGGAAGCCGGGTCCCGAAGAGGGTCTGAACCAGGGTGTTGATCCCCCCGACGAAGAGCAAGGTCTGGACGACCCTAACCTTGTCGTCCTGCAACAGTCGAAGAATGAAGCCATGGAAAAACCGAACAAATAACGGCGGAAGAAGGCGGAAGTCTCACGTCGTTTCCGCCCATTAACGGGACGAGCATGCTGGGGATCATCACTGCAGTGCCCAGGGCCAGTATATAGTGCTGGAAGCCCAGGGCGGTGGCCTCCCCTGCAAACTCAGAGTTCAAGCCACAGATAGAGCAAAAACATACGAAGAATGGAAACAAAGAGAGGAGATATATGGAGGAGTCAGAGGAAGAAGAAGGTACCCCAAGAGGGATTGGAGTCGATGCAGTACTCGAAGCCCTGGAGCTGATCCATGGGCGGATGGGTGATCTCCTCCGGCTTAGGATCCGCCATGTCCGGTGATCCCACCCTCTCCTCCCCCTCGAGAACTCTCCTGGAGAAGGAAATCAAAGAAAACGCACACGCCCAGAAGGAGAAAACAGCCCGGAAAATTATCTGCGGCAGGAATATGACCCCCAATCGATGAACTCGAAGCGACGATGAGTTCAGAACAGCGACCAGAAGAGAGGGAGAAGGAGAGGATTGAGAGCTGGAGGCCGCTCAGAGGGTGGCCAACACATGCAGCGCTCGCAGAGAGAGAGAGAGAGAGAGAGAGAGAGCTAGCTAGCTCTAGAGAGGAAGGAGGAGGACGGGGGTCACTAGTTTCTGATTCAGCGCATAGTTCGTCGTCTTCTCTTTCCCTACTTTCTACACCGTCGCCGTGGCCTTTCTACCTCCCTGCGGCGACCTGCATTAAATTCTCCGCGGATTCCTTTCTTTTAGAGCTCGTAATCTGGCAATGGTCCGTTGGATCTCTCCGTGACCGAAATGCCCTCCTTCGCGGGCCGCAGAAGTTACCGTTGGCTTTCGGCCTAGCCGGAACTTCCTATTTCCGAATAAAAAATAGCGAAAAATAATCCTGCGACTTAATTATAGTAATAATACTACCCAATTTACAGGGTAAATAATTCGAAATTATAATTCTCGTTTTTGTCTACGTATTTTTTTCCATTTTTTAATGAGCTAATATTTTTTCGCTCGAATAAGTGGTAGAATAGATGACACCGCAATCGGAGCATGGAGATGGCCGCCGCGGAAATCAATGATTCTCGGAGATCATATTTATAAAAAAAACCTCAAAATCGAGGTCATCGATGATTAAAAAATGGAAGAACACAAAAAAAAGAAAAAAAATCAACTGACGAAACTAGAGAGATTCAGCGGCCACGTGCTGTCCCGCTCGAAAGCTGCCGCCGTTCAGCTCCGGCCCCCCGACGCCTCGTCCGCCGGAGGGCGGGTGCGGGACACGGCGCCCCGACAGCGGAGGGAAAGGAAAGAAACGTTCTCCTCGGCAAGATCGCCGGAAAAAGTCGCCTCCTTCGTTGAGAAGGTGGCGAGAGAATCTAATCTTCTGCAGAGCTGACGCAACGGGGGCAGCCCTCCCCCACGGGCGGCGGAGGGGGAGGAGAGCTTTTACGATTGACTGCTGCTTCCCATGGCGGCCAAAAGCCGGGGACGTCTGTTTCAGCCCTGCCGGGGGGGAATCCGCCTCTTCTTGCTCAGCGACGCCGCCTACTCAACGTCTACTCACATGCCGGCCCTCCTTGGGACGTGAGATCTTGCATTACTCCCTCTCTCTCTCTCTCTCTCTCTCTCTTTCTCTCTTTCTCTCTTTCTCTGTCTTCATTCCTTCCCATTTCCGGTTCCACTCCCCCACCCCTCTCTCTCTCTCTCTCTGGCTCTTCTACCGCCGGTTGCTCTGCGCTTCCCTCTCTGTCTCTCTCTTTCTCTGTCTTCATTCCTTCCTACTCCCGGTACCCCCCCCCCCCAAACCCTCTCTCTCTATTTCTCTCTCTGGCCCTTCCACCGCCGATTGCTCTCTCTCTCGCTCTCTCTGTGATGGGCGGCTTTTACTGGTACGCCTTCTCTCTCAAACGGGAGCGAGGCTCGCAATAGAAAAAAGATCAGTGGAAGCGACGAGAGGGCACGTACTACGAGGATATTGGTCCGCAACTCTTGAATCCGAACGTTGGCGAGGCACGTGTTGTCAGACCCGTGACGAGGCCACTCTCTGTCATGGCGGTCAATCAGCCATAATTTAGACGTTTTAGCATAAGTATAGAGAATATGAGATGAGTATTTTAATGGGCAATACAAAATATAATTATTAATATTTTTTATATCAACAGCGGTTTAATCCAATAAAACGGCAGTGGCTTTTAGAGTGAATATTAATATATTATTATTAATATATCCATTATTATCACGAAATTCTCTCGCCGTCTGAGATTCAAAGAAGGAAGGAACTTGAGACCTACTTGCTAATAATTTATTACTATTTTATTTAATAAAATGATAAATATTGTATGAGATAGATTGCGAGAGCGAGAGAGAGAGAGAGAGAGAGAGAGAGAGAGAGAGAGAGAGAGAGAGAGAGAGGGAGCGCTCCTCGGGGCCGAACGAAACAAAAGGGGAGGGAGATGTGGAAGAGGGAAAGGCTGTAAAAAGGGGAAAGGGGAGGGAGTGTGACACGTGGAAAAGAGAGGTGGGCCCCGGCTGAGATTCCCTCCTGCCTTTCGGCGGCTTTGCTCGGGGCGGACCACGGGAGGAGCCGGGGTGTTGACCCGTCCCTCCCAAGTAAGCCTTCTCCGGCTCAAAGAAGAATCTGCGGCCCCCACTTTCCCAGATCGGGGCCCACCCTCCCCCCAAAGGGACTTTTTCGTGACAGTCCTCGGAGGAAATCAAAACTTTATCAAAACACCCCCAATCGGGTACTTATTCGGCCTAGAGACGCATGAACTGGGAGCGGGCCCCAACGCGCCTTATCCGCATCAAGGACGAATCCTCCACTCCATTTCCCGAGATAGAGGGCCCCACTTGACGTGTATCTTGCAACAAAAACGAAAGGAACGTTGGAACGTCACCCGACTCCCCCTCAATCGCTTATTCGGCCCATGACTAATTGGGCCGTCGCGCAAATAGGCCCAGTCCAACCGAGGTTGGGTAGCTTTTACACAAAATATAATCAGCACGGTTGTAAAGCCAATATCATATATGGGCTGGTGTTCCCTGTCGGGCTGCCTGGCATGTACCCTGAGAAACAGGTCCACTAAATAGAACGACGGCCCAGTAAAATCCAACCGAGAGAGAGCGAGAGAGAGAGAGAGAGAGAGAGAGAGAGTCCAGTGAAAAGGCGGGTGGGTTTGTCCCAACCCGAGTTTCTCGCTGGTTAGCCGGACAAAAAGCAAATATTCCCTCTTGTTGGCTGCCAAAGGGTGTACCCATCAGACGGTCGTAGTCCGATAGTGGAATCCACGTGTCCTGCGGAGATGCCTTCCAAGAGCATGAGGACAACCCTTGTTGGCTGCTTCGTCAAAAGATCTCTGTGGCTAATGAAAATAATATAATACTACACGTAGGATTTTATACTCGGTAGGAATAAAGAAAGCCCGAAAATGTCTCCGGACAGGCTATTTTCCATATCCGGGCTTTAAAGAGAGTTTCGGGCCCGTTGAAACAGCCTCAGATTAATTTCGCGAAAATAATATACCACATATTTTATCAAAAAAGATCAAAGACGAGTGGAGGCAAGGTCCTGACTGGTCAACTGATCCCACCAAGATGCTGGCATTCCGCACAGATCACTAGTCAGCGCACGTGCGGCTGGAGGAGTGAGAACGGGCCTTTCACCAGGCCGGACAAGAAGGGCGAATTTCCTTGAGCAGGCCGACGACCTGCCTCATGGTGGGCCGCTTCTCCGACGACTCGGCGGTGCAGAGGAATGCGACTCGGAGGGCCTCCGCCATCTCCTTCTCCGCCCGTTCCTCTTCCTCCGAGTCACTTGCGTGTTGACTCAGTCGCGGGTCCAGGCACCGCCCCGCGTCCTTCTCCCTCACCAGGCGGCGCACCGCCGCCACTACCGCGGGGGACGCCACCTTCCCCGTCAGCAACTCCACAAGCAGCAGCCCGTAGCAGTAGACGTCTTCCTCGGTGCTTCCGCCGCCGCCGGTGCCGAAGTCGGTGATGCGGGGCTCGAAGTCGTCGTCGAGGAGGACATTGGAGGGGACGAGGCGTCCGTGGACGACGGGTTTCGACCCGGCGTGATGCAGGAAGGCGAGTCCCCGGGCGATTCCGATGGCGATTCGGTGCCGAGTCGCCCACCCCATGGCCGCCATCTCTTGGGAGGGAAGGCTGCTCGAAGCGAGAGCTCCTCTTTCCCACGCGTCACCGCTGCAGTCCTCCACGTTGGGGTGGCCGGCGGGAAGCTCCTGCAGCCACCGCCGCAGGTCACCGTTTTCCATGTACTCGTACAGCAGCAGCTTTTCTCTCCCTGACGAAGAAGAAGAAGAAGAGGAAAGAAATTTAGGTCGCGAGAGATTCAAACGTTGAATCCACTGTACCCTCTTCCAGAGTTCAACTTTGTGAATTTACCTGCAATGCAGAAACCCAGAAGAGGAAGGATATTAGGGTGCTTTAGATGCTTGAGCTCCTCAAACATGGCCTTGGCCGCTGCCGCTTCCATCGTGCGCGCGCTGTCAAGCAGCTTGATGACGACGTCTATCTCCCCCGGCAGTACGGCCCGGTAGACGGTGCCGCTCCTCCGGCCCTCAGCCAGCTGGGTCTCCTCCGCAAACCCTGAAGTGGCGGCCACGAGCTCTAAGAACGTCAGCTGCAGCAGCGGCTTCTCGAACATCACCACTGGCGCCGCCGCATCAACTGGGCCGCCGGCGATGATTTCTGCGACCCAAGGCGGCGCCGCAGCTCCTCCTCCCGTCATCACTGTTTCCTTACTCTTCCCTTCGCTCCTCCACCCTTTCCAGCGCACACAAGCTGCAACCATCACCACTGTCAAGACTGACAAGAGAGCGGCTGATAACGCCAGGCCCCACACTAGGGGACGACTCAGTTTTCTATGGCTTCGCTTCTGTTCCCCTCTGTGATCTTCGGGAAGGAGAGAAGGCGAAGGAGTCGAGGTATTTTCTGAGAGAATCTCAACCCCGGCGTGGACGAAAGCCCCGGCGCCGAACTTCCGCAGATCCATCGCCGCCACTCTCCCGGTGAAGTTGTTGAACGATATGTCCAGAAACTTGATTCTTGAGAGCTGGGGGAGATCCGCAGGGAACGACCCACTTATCCAATTCCTCGAAGCGTCCAAATGCTCCAAGGAAGAAAGGCCAGCGAGGAGCTCGCCGTCGCCGGAGATGTTGCAGCTGGATATATCCAAGTACGACAACTGAGTCAGTCCTCCGAGCCCAGAGGGCCAAGACCTCAGGTCGTTCCTGGAGAGGTCCAGGAAACGGAGCCGGGGGAATCCCGACAACCGGACCGAGTTGGTGAATCGGTTGCCGGAGAGGTTGAGGACGAGAAGGGAGGACAATGGACGCCCGTGCTGCGCGTCGAACCCGACGGCGCCTCCAAGGTGGTTGTCGGCGATATTCACTTCGGTGAGGAGGGGAGCTGACCAGAAGCCAGCGGGGATGGAGCCCCTCAGCGAGTTGCCGGAGAGGTCCAGGACGCGGAGGGAGGAGACATCCCGCATGAACTTCCACGAGACCGTCCCTCTCAGATTCCTCGATGGCAGCCTTATCTCCGTGGCGGCGCTGCAATCATCTCTGCCGCCGCGGCCGGTAGAGTTCTGGAGCAACTGCGATAATCGGAAGCCAGAGACGAAGGCGAAGGCGTTGGAGAGAAGCTCTCTCTCTGTGGCGTTGCAGGAGGGATCCTGCAGTGAGGGGCGGACGTGAACAATCACCAAAAGAAGAAGGAGCTTAGAGGCGAAGCTATCCATGGCCTCCTCCCTTCAAGGTCGCCTCAGAGATCCTTCGGAGGAGGAAGACGACGGTATGGTGGAGGAACTCTATCCACCATATCTCAGTGGTCCACGGCCTTAACCTTGTAAAAACGGGCCTAAAAATCTCCCCGAGTCCATAACTCTCATGGGGTTCCTCCTAGTCACAGCCATAGAACCTCGTGACGGCGGCGTGAATCCCCTGGACGAGGGTCTGCAGTGGTCTGCAAGCAACGCCCGCGGAGAGAGAAGCCGGGGTCTCTACGGCGGCACCGCCGTCAGAAGCGGGCCTCGAGGAAGCTCAGCTTCCATGATGAGTCCGAGGCCGACTGGATTTCCGTCGATGTTTCGTTTTTTCCCAAAAATTAACCTGAATACCAGAGGTCAACGCCTTTGAAGAACGGGTCGACGGGTTCTCTTCGTCCGGTTGCGCCGCCTCCCGCTTTAGGGTAAGCAGTTCAAAAGTAAACCCGGTAGTGGAGCGGTAGTTGAAGGTTGTCTCGGGGGGGCCATGCAAGACTCATCATCTGTCTATTGTTCTAATTATAGAGGTTCCCTGGTAACTTATCTATACCCATCGCCACTGGTTGGCTCATTGTAGCGAGGTGGGTGCACTTAAAAGTTGAATAATTAACACATATAAAACTTTTAAAATGTAAGTTAAATGAGAAAATTAGATTTGATTTTCATCGGCAGATTGTTTATTTTATCAAAACTATATTCACATGTTCACTTCTGGGGTTACTATTGCTCGATTGCAGCGACGAAGGTTTTCAGAGAAGATGCGGGCAGTCTCTGCTCTAACTCTATCAGGCTAACACCATTGACTTTCTGTGTTCTCAAGTAAGAATACGACCAGGCACCCCGTTGTGCCATGGATTTTCTTTGGAAGGTCTACCATTGTCAACGATAGGCATCCACTCGATATCTCATTGGTAGGCACCTTCTCGCGTCAAACTTTGTGTATGATGCTAAAATAATCTCAGACAAGAAGAAAACGAGTTTCAGATTCGTTTTGAACTGGACGATCCGGAATTCCAATGAGACGATGGGGCTGTTACGTTATCAAGTAGGGTCCAGGTGAATCAAGAAAAAGTGTGGGGCTGGGGATCAAATGGCCGGATTTATGAGAAAAAAATAGATTATTATGTTCTAAATTAATCAGAACCAGTGAACCAAATCTCGACCTGATTTTTTTTTTGATTTGATGGTCCGATGCAAGACCAAAGCAATTAATTATCTCTTTTTACTATCCGAGTTACTCAGATTGCTTTGAACCGGGGATGTTGCAATGATATCCTTAGGAAACACGGGAGCAATAAATTAAGTAGCCTAAACTTAGAGAACAGGCCAGGTCAACCTCTTAAACTCCCGGTGAATCAAAGGGTTGGCTAGAGGCGTCTTTGAGAACTGACCCAGATTAGTATCAGGAGGAAAAAATAATAAAAAATGGGGCCATTTCGAGTAAATCATGCATAAGTTCATGTTGGCCTGAGTCGAGATTTCCTTCAACAATTTTTCAAGAACATTAACCCTTTTTCATTGGTCGAGATCTCTCAACTGTGGATACCATTCCGTCATAGTCATACATGGATGACATTATTCTTATTCCGTCACGATTTTGAAGTCCAGCACTTGAAACAGCGGCCTCTGTTGTCATCTTCTTTCCTTGTTGACTTCGGAGGCTTGTGCCCTGCGTGTTGCCTTTGGGCAAGCGGGCCCGTCAACAGCAGAGAGACCCATTTTAGGAATACGAACACCCCAATTTCCTGGAGTGCAGCTTAATCATAGCTTCTCAAAGAGTTCACGTGTGGTATCTACTTTGATCGATATAGTTGAATCCCAATGTCGACCGATTTGGATGCGTTGAGAATGTTCTTCATAGTAGTAAGCACTGAACAATTTGCAATCGGGACCGTGATATTTCCAACCTCCAACAATAGAAATGTACGAAAATTTTCGTCGATCGAACATAGCAAAGGAAAGTCTGTGAGGTGAGCTAGAAGAAGAAGAAGAAGAAAAGAAAAAGAGGTAATAGTAGCTGTGATTTTAGATCCTCTGAAGACGGACGGTGAAGACGAAACCACTTTTGAGGCTGGGTTCTTCCTCTCTCGGCACCGCGCTGGTCTTCAGAGCTCTGACTGTTACTGTGAGGCTGGCTCCTCCTCCCTTTTCTTGCTCTTTCCGGAGAACTCGCGACGCAGCATTTCGGCCAGCTGGGCATACGCCGCCGCCGGGCTACCGCTCCCGAGAAAAGTCTCCGCCACGGTGGCCGGTGTAACGTTGACCTTGACGATCAACTCTTCTATCTCCCTCCACTCCGCGCCCCCGTATGCACTGTGACCTTCGATCCCTTTTTCTTCTCCGGGGAATAGGTAGTTATTGGCTAGGGTTCTAAGTGCATGGACACGACAGTAAGAGAGGTGGATGTGGACATCCAGCCTCCCCGGTCTCAGCAGCGCCCGGTCGAGTCTGTCCTTGTGGTTGGTCGTCACCACCATCAACCTCTCCTGCCCACATGAAGACCACAACCCATCCATGAAGTTGAGAATTCCAGAGAGGCTCAGCTCACCTGTCCCGCTCCTATCGTCGTCGTCAGATTCGACGTCACCAACGCGGAGGCTACCGTTGTTGCTTCCATGCTCCGCCAATCTCCTGGTGCACCTCTCCACAGCGTGGATACACCGGTCTATGTCCTCGATAACGATCAGAGACCGGCGCCGGGTCTCGAGGAGGAGCCTCCTGAGCTGCGAGTTGCTGGTCACCGCCGACAGGTCCAAGTCGTAGAGGTCAAACTCTAGGAAGTTGGCCATGGCGGCAACGAGGCTTGTCTTCCCCGTTCCGGGTGGACCGTAGATGAGGTACCCTCGTTTCCACGTCCTGCCCACTCTCTTGTAGTAGTCTTCCTTGGTGGTGAACTTCTTCAGGTCGTTGATGATGCTCATCTTCACTTCGTGGTCCATCGCGAGGGTGTCAAACGTTGAGGGGTGGTCGAAGACGACGGACGACCAGAGGGAACCCCGGTCGCCGGAGCTGCTGTTGGTGAAGAGCTTCCTCGCCCGAGTACAAGCCTCCTCTTGACGTGCAACGGCCAGCATCTCTGGGAAATAATGGTGCCTCACGTAGGCGTTGTGCTCCTTTCCAAAGGACAGCTCGAGAAACCTCACTCTGTTGCTGCCGCCGCGGCCGAGTGAGGGAGAGTCCTTTACGCGGAAGCTCCACAGGATCGCTACGCCGTTGGCTTCGTCTACCAGGGTCTGGTCAATGTCGATGGCGAAGGAATACCCTTTGGAGCTGGCGCCGTCGTCAGCCACCCTAACGGCGGAGGCCGAGTCGGAGAACCGGATGCTGAGGTACTTCAGGGCGAGTTCGAAGGTCTCGGAGTAGCCGCGGTAGTCCAACTCCTCGATCACGATGCAGCAGTCCTGGTGAGGTAGGAGACGCTCCTTCACAGCTTTCTTTACGGAAGAGAGGAGCCTCTGAGGAACGAATTCTAAGATCATGGATCGGAGGAACATAATGGTGACCAGGAGAGATCCCAGGGATTGCAGGTGGAAGTCCATGACGGAGCTGAGGACGGAGGGGATGCGACTTCGGATTTGTACATGCAGCTGCTGCGGATCTGTATTTAAGGGCATTCGTTGGGCTTCTACAGTTTGTCTCAATTATTGACTGTCAGGCTGTCCAGTTGTCCATATCATGAAAATAATGAGTCCTCCGTCTCAACAGTTTCAGAGAGAGAGAGAGAGAGAGAGAGAGAGAGAGAGAGAGAGAGAGAGAGAGAGGCAGAGAGAGACTGCACTCCATATTATAATAAGGAATCAGAATGATGGAAAATTATCCGGCAGAATCTACACGCGATCGGGAGAGCGCATTTCGATTTAACATATTCAAGTCAACTCAAGGCATTTCATTCCATCAGAGACGACGAAGCAGGATAATTTGACCAAGACGACCAGTTTTCAAGTTAACTATTCGAAGACGAGTTATCTTGAAACTTGGGATGAAGAGGATATACTGATAAGAGAAAGAGGATTACCAGAGAGAGAGAGAGAGAGAGAGAGAGAGAGAGAGAGAGAGAGAGAGAGAGAGAACTCCTAGGTGCATGAGGCTCTTCGTTTAAGAGACTGATTCCTTGCTCCATCCATCCCATGCCTTTCGGCTTTATGTAGTGCGGCCCCGCCAGACCTATTCACGGACGGAACGGATATCCTAAACATAGGTTGACAAATACTCTTTCGTTTTACGGCCATATTTCATGGCGTCTCCCCCCGTCGTCCTGGATACGACTGCGGATGCCAAAACTTTGTAACCTAGCCTCTAATGATTACGCCATTAAGCCTGCAATCAGATAACTCTCTTGCAGGAGAAATCGTTCTTGTGAAACGCTGGTTGCAGTTCTTCATGTTCCCAACTCCTGTTTAGACAGTTCCAAGGAAACAAGACGCTCGAGTGTCCAGCTCTCTTCTTTCGGAGCTATTCTAGTCGTCTCTCACCCAGAGACCACAGTATCTCTCATCGCTAAAGCGGGGACAAGCTAAAATATACTTAATTTTGCCTATTTAAAAAACCATCGTCGGCAATAAATCCAGATATGAGAGAAGGCGGAGAGGGGGCTCTTATCGCGCCCGCCTACGGCTACCCTCTCTACGCCAACAAGCTGGTCTACTTGCTGCCTGAAAACTCAGCGTCTACCTAGGAGATTCTTATTGACCGATCGCGATGCCATGGGCCGGTTACGGCAACGAGAACTCTGATGAGATGGGAATAGGGGGGGTGGGGAGGGCGGCGCCTGGCCTTTTATCCTTCATTCACGCCGATCATGAACAGAGGACGTCAGAACAAGCTGACTGACCAGTCGTTTCAAGCTGCCCTGAATCCGATCGCGAAGTCTGTAGGTTCCGTACGGATCTCCTGTTTAATTGCATGAGGGGCACCGACGACATGATGCAGATAATCTTGGGGGAAGGTGGGTGTATCATAAAATTTTGATAGACATTTTAGTAAGCGTCAGTAGCTCCCTTGGAGTGTGAAACGAGACGAGGGTTTCTCGCATTCCTATCCCACAGATCACAAAACTATTTTGCTAGTAACTCAATCATTTATCATGGGCGCCTGTAGATTCGCAAAAGGGTCAGACAGATGACGAGCATTTTCGATCAAATGCAAAGAGACACTCTTGGAAACCAGAACAGAGGTGGTATCATTTTCGGGCAAATTATTTTGACGAGGGTTTTTGTTTGAGCTCTGGGCAATCCTAATTGGGGTTCTGATGAGGTCCCTTGGACCTCATCGGGTTCCTAGGACTTAATAATGACGTTTACCATGCGCTAAGGGTGCGATTAAACGTTTATTACCAATGTGACTAATCATTTTAGATCATCTCGTATGTCTTTCTATCTCTCTCTTTCTATCTATCTATTTATCTTTATCTGTTTACCTTCGTTGCTGGCTGATAGGTAAAAACCTTATCCTATGCTTCTCTTCTCCTCTCCCACACTATGGCCTTGGAGGGTTGACGGATTATAATCCAGCCCAAACCAGTCTTCACTTTTTCTCTCTTCCTTTTGAACAACCCACTTAATTTTCGAAATGATTGTGCTCAAGCCAAGATCCACGAGAATAAGTCGCCCTCTATCTTCGACTCAGCAGATAATGCTCCTCATGGTTATCCGTCCCCAACCCCCCGCCCCCCCCATACACCAACCTAAGCTCAGATTATCCCGCGCTCGTGAGAACACAAGTTGGAATAAACGGCAGGTTTGTTAGTTCCGAACCATTTATGGCAATTCTTCAAGAACTGGTGTGAGACGGAACGAGATAACGCCACGCCGAGTACAAGTCCCCGATGCGCTGTCAGGAGATCTACTCTGCCGCCTCGGCTCGCTCGACGAAGCAGCTCGTTTCTGACTTCGTGGAAGAGTCCCCCTTGATCTCAACTCGAAGAATCGGTGTCTGAAAGGCGTCTTGGGGTTCGCGAGGGATTTAATGGGCGTGAGAGATTGCGTGGAAGAGTCGACGTGGAAGGGAATCAAGTCCACACCACCCCCAGTGTGACAAGACCCGTGTCTTGCACCGGCGAGCCTCTGGAACCTCTCCTTTGGGCCTCCGGAGCCTGCTGTCCCTTTCGCAGCGGCAACATCCATCTGATATTAGAGTTTGACGTCGATATTTGGATAGATCTTCACCTCCGACAGTCCGTCATCCAAGGATCGCAGCCATGAGTTTCAAGGATCAGGAACGCAGCAGGTGCTGCTTCCTGGAATGGATGCAGCTGCAGGATGCCAATCTGGAGGAGCTCGTTGGGGCCAAGGCTGCCGCCGCCACCGAGAACGACCTCCGGTTGCTGGTCGCGAAGAACGTGCAGCTCTACGAGAACTACTCTGCGCAGCGGACCGCTCTGGCGAAGAAGGACGCCTCGTCCATCTTCTGTGCGCGGTGGTGCTCCTCCTTCGAGAGCACCTTCCTCTGGATTGGCGGTTGCCGGCCTTCAATGGCCGTTCGCCTCCTCTACACCCTCTCCGGGATGGAGCTCGAGTTTCACCTCAACGAGTTTCTGCGAGGGTTGACGATAGAGGTCAACGGTCTCACGGCGCATCAGATGGCCCTGGTCAACGATCTCCACCTGAGGATCATGAGAGAGGAGGACACCCTTAGCTCCCGCGTGGCCTCTCTCCAGGAGGATATCGCCGACAGGCCCTTCGTCCCCATGTCCCGCAACCGGGAAGCCCTTGACTCTGACGAACTAAAGAGCGCCATGGCCGTGTACGAGGAGTCTCTGGCCAGGATCACGGAGCAGGCCGATGGGCTGAGGTTGGAGATGTTGAGGGAGCTGGTCAAGATCCTCTCCCCTGTCCAGGCGGTGGACTACCTCGTCGCCGCCAAGCAGCTGCAGTTATCCCTCCACGAATGGTGTTCTAGGAGGGACCGCCCGCTCGGCGGTGAGTAACTGGATCGGCTCGGCCGAAGCGAGGCATGGCGGCCGGGCTTCTCTCCTCCACGTAGTGACTCACAGACGCGCGTAGGCCGGATGGAGAGAGAGACAGAGAGAGAGGATGATCTTCGTTCTGTAATTTTTTAATAGAAGAATAGTTAGATAGCAAGTGATCAGAGAGATGATGATCTTGTTCGTAGCAGGTCAGGGTTTGCGCGAGAGAGGGTTGAGCTGTCGAGTGTTCTGGACACGAAGGCGATCTGCTCATGCATGCCTGACACGTTTGGTCTTGGCAAAGCCGCAACACGTGCCGGCCTGCAAGATCTAACAGCGCCCATTTAAAAACGGCAACTTTATCACAATTAGATCCGGAGGAGATCAGAAGCTTTTGCTTCCCTACTCTTCTATCCTACCCATTCCTCTGCCGCCGCCTTCTTCCTCTGGCCAGGAAGACCCGTAGAGGAGGTTTCCTTTGTCCTATTTATTTTACTGCTTTATGGAAATTTAAATATGCGAATAATTACATACACATGCATAAATATAGGTATATTGTCTTTTGAACCATTTACACATACCCTCTATGACTTCACGAGAGCCGCAAAAAATGTTTCAAACCATGTAAGATAATCCCACATTGGATATCCCGCATGCTTTTTTCTAGAACCTGAAGAAGCATCAGTGGGCCAGAACAACTGACTGGTTTCAGGTTGGATCCTCCAATTCCTTCAAAATTTTAACCATTTTACATCCAAGACCGAAGATCAGAGCTTTCTGTGCATTATTTTCCATCCAAGATGATAATTTCCTCATAAGATTTCCTCCCAGAAGGCAGATGCATCTCCTAGGAGACTTAAAATCTTACCAGAAACTATGGACCTTTATGCAGTTCTAGGAACAGCTCTTTCACCTTTGAACATCCATGACCCAGTAGAGATAAGGTTGAGATCAAATATCATGGAAATATCCAGACTAGATAGCAGTTTTGACGAACACCCACCCCCTGGTTCTCCTGATCGATTGCAAGAAACTGCCATGGAGAACATAGAAGAGCTGGAATAGGGCTCGAAATCAAACAGCAAATACAGGGCTAGAATTTTCAGTGTCAGAATGTCAGATGTGCTGCTCTTTCATTAAGCACGGATTTTTTTTTTTCGGTTGTTGTTGTTGTCTCCAATGAAGTGTCTGGCATGAACACGTCTATGAATCAGACAAGAGAACAGCGTCTGAGGTCTCTATGAAAGATTATCTTGTGAGGAAACTGGCGCTGATATGATCTAACTTGGGAAAATAATAAAATTCATCTGTAGTAGAAGCATGGTGACAGACTTTGAACCAGCATGTGTCGAAATTGTGAGTATTTTTGAGGGGTATTCCTCCAACAGTAGATGCGATCTTATTGAATTGAATACAATACATAGTAAAACAAAAACAAAAACTAATTGGTCCATAGAACATAGCCCAATAACCACACAAAAAATTATTTTAAGCAGCATGCGTCCGCTATCAGTGACCCAGTCCGAGCTCAAAAAGATCCCCCCAAATCCAAAATTTCCCCCATTAATTCACTGTCTCCCATAGCATCTTACAGTCTAAGAACAGCACTTGATCATCCCCACGACCAGTTATGATTTCTTCCTTTAATTCTCATTCTCACCGGATCACCAACAACAAATCGTACTACTCTCTACCTCTAAAACCCAGATCACGAAAACCATAGTTCATGACATTAAAAATTCAGGTTTTCAGTGATCATTTGGATAATCTAATGACAAACCACTCCTAAATGAGGGTTTGAATGAAGCAACTAGCCAGTGTAAACAGATATCTGGTTCTAGTGAAGATGGGATCTGGTTTGACTTCCTCTCCAAACCTATAATAGCTGGTAACCCCAAAAACGAGGCCCCCATGGGGTCCATCAGTCTCACTGGCTAGAACAATTGATAGCCGTCCCTACAAAAATTCATCACTGAAATTGGCCAGCAAATTCTAAACTCATATATATATACATATGGTTTTATTTTTATTTTTAGGGGGAGGATTGGAGAGAGAGAGATAGGGAACGTGGAGAAGGGAAGTGTTCTAGACAAAATGGGTACTAGTGTTCTGCTGCGGCGGTGGCCGCCGCGTTTTCGCTGGGGATAGTCCCCGGCTTTTCGGAAGCCCCTTCGACGGCCTTCTGCAGAGCGGCTTTCCGCTCGAGATCCCGCCACATGTTGATCCCCGCCGTGCAGACGACTGGGAGAGCAGGAAACGAGCGGATCAGCAGTCGGCGATCGTCAACGGGGACATCGACGACAAGCAAAGACTGAGGAACGACAAGCAAATAAGAAGAAGAAGAAGAAGAAGAAGAAGAAGAAGAAGAAGAAGAAGAAGAAGAAGAAGAAGAAGAAGAAGAAGAAGAAGAAGAAGAGGAAGAGGATGCCCCTCAATGGTTTAGGGTTAAAACCTCCGGCGCCGGCGAAGCTGAGAAAACGTAGGAGCTTCGTGCTGACCTCTTCACTCGCCATGGCCCCTTCCGCCGCCGCCGCCGCTCACCGCCGACGATTAGGTCGCATTCTTCTAGGAAGAGGGAGAGTTGCCAAGCCCGTACTTTTAAATCACAACGTCCGTCTCTCGACCCATTTCAGGCCCAGGATACCTTATCGGAACCCATGAGCGGGGGCAAAGAGTTGACCTTCCACGCGCCGATTTCTGATTGGAAGTCAAAGGCGGCGAAGATTTCCCGGAGACCCGATTACGTTGGCCGATGACGACCGAAACCCACCCACCTCGCCGTCGCCGGTGGAAGGCCCTGGTCCGGGTCCCCGACGGAGCAGACGCGAGAGGGAAAAAAAAGGGAAAAAACTTACCTTTTTAGAAGACGGGGGAAGAATAGAATTGAAGATGACGACGACGGAGAGACTACACCGATGGTTTCCGCTGTGGTTCTATCCTTGATCTCCTATTTTTCTTCTCGTTTCCTCTCTGCCTTTTCCTATCCTCCCCCCCCCGGTCGTAAGGGATTAAATCTCTCCAGCGAGAGAGAGAGAGAGAGAGAGAGAGAGAGAGAGAGAGAGAGAGATTTTTCTGACGGCAGTCAAGACCCAAAATCACATTTTAGATGTCGTCGAAGAAAAAAGAAGAAAAGACGTATTTTTATAGCAATTCTAGAGATCCGAGCCATCCCCAGTAAGTTCATCAATGGAGGTAGGGGGCAAGAAGGTCAAATCGAACGTATAAAGGCTATGTATGCTGGCTCAGAGATACGGAAGCGTATTGTATTAAAGGCGCCAGGAAAAGTCGGCTGGGAAAGTGTTTAAATAATATATTAAAGAATGAGTATTTTATGTAAGTATTTTAAATAATGTGGATATAATGGCAGGCACAGAGACCACGCGGCCGCGGCCCGGAAAAGCTGATCCAGTACTCAAGAGAAAGAGAAAGCGAGAGAGAGAGAGAGAGGGAGAGAGGGAGAGAGCTGTAGTTCCTCTTCTCCTCTCCCCGTCCCTTCTCCGGTGACCGGCGACGGAGTAAGACCCGAGCATCTCGGATTGACCACCGTCGCCTCCTTTTCCTCGACGGGTGCGAAGAAGATGTCTCGGAGGAGGTCCCTTCCGCTGAGGAAGGGCTCCTCCTGTTCCACCTCTTTCTCCACTGCTTGCTCCTTCTCCTCCGGCGTCACCGAGCCAGCTGGGAGGGACAGCGGCGCTGTGGTGCCTTTCCATGGGAAGGAAGGTCAAGAGGAGGAGGAGAGAGGGAAGGGGGGAGAGGGTTTTGTGTTGGGGGCGGCGGGCGGGGAGGAGGACCGGTGGTCTCGGTTGCTGCCGGATCTACTGGGGGAGATCGTCCGGAGGCTCGAGTCGAGCGAGGATCAGTGGCCACTGCGGAAGAACGTGGTCGCCTGCGCTTGTGTCTGCAAGAGGTGGAGGGAGATCACGCAGGGGATCGTGAGGCCACCTCGAGAGTCCGGGATGATCACCTTTCCTTCTTCCCTCAAGCAGGTACCTCCTCGGAATCTCCGCGTCTTTGAGAACTTGCCCTGGTCCTCTACGAGAACCCTTGAAAAATTTTGGGATCTAATCGCTGGATCCCGGATTTCCTTTGCAGTGAAAACAAGTACCCATTCGTTAAATTTATTTGATGATTCTGTTCGACCGGGGAGGGAAATCCTCCGCTGCTTTCCTCCCCAATGCTTTTCGTATAGCATGTTCACTCTTCCTTGTTCTTCTGATGTCATACAGCCAGGGCCGAGAGATTCTCCTCTTCAATGTTTCATCCGAAGGAACAGGAAGAACTCCACCTTCTATCTCTACCTTGGCTTGACTCAAAGTAAGTATACGCGATCATAAAGATTTTTTCTCCAGTCTTGATGCGGGCCTTCTGAAAGCGACGCATACCTTGACTTGGTCGCCCAAAAATTTCTTGTCGACTAGCACAGTTCGTCTTTCTGCCTTCATCTGTTGACCAGGAGATTTTTTCAGAACACAGACGAAATAATTGCGATGTAATTGTTGATCTTACGTCGGACTCATTGGTTGGACTCTTTGCGTTTTTCCTAGCACGAACGTTTTGGACAGTCCCTCAAGCTTCCTGATTGGAGGTGCCAAGTGGGTTGTCATTTACGTCAACTTTATCCTACTCCTTAATCACCGATTAATCACATTCTTATGCACATTTAAGTGGCTTTGTCAACCTATTTTTCTCTAAAAGTAGGAATTCGGATCGAATTGCGTAGGCTGTGAGTCATTGTGTGATGTTTTCTTGTCTGGTTGGTCGTGGGCACACAGCTTAAGATTGATTCATGCTTGGTGTCTTGCAGGAAAGATACCATTAGGCATGGGACTTTGTGGTTTAAGTTACTTAGTGACTCTTACCATTTTCTACATGATTCATCACTCGTGTTTCTAACGCATTGAAGCTTGAACAATCGATGTTCGGATGAACTCTGGTTGAAGAAATCTATGGGATTTTTTAGCAGGAGTGTACATAGCACATGGTTCATATTATTTGAATGAATCTGATGCATATTCGTTTCATGAACAATTATTGAGATCTCTGAGGCTGTACCCACTGATTTGGCACCGCTCATCTGGTTTCTCCCTGCAGCAATCATGGACAAGGGGAAATTTCTCCTGGCTGCTCGGAGGTACAGGCACGGTGCTCACACAGAATACGTAATTTCCCTTAACGCTGATAATCTTTCCCAAGGAAGCAGCGCATATGTAGGAAAGCTGAGGTAAATCTCGTTTGTTTCTTACTGAAATTTTTTATTCTTCTTACTCGATCGTCTAACCGGGTGGGTCTATTCACCATTAGTTATTGCTGACAGAATGAATTCAGATAGTTTTTTATACCTACCCAGGGAGCTAGAGAACCCCCCCTTCGATTGGTCTCCTAGACCTTGCCGATCAATTCATGGAAACCTGACCAGTTCGCTTTGCAGCTCCGATTTCCTGGGCACAAAGTTTACCATATGCGACAGCCAGCCGCCGTTCAGTGGCGCCAAGGCATCGAGCAGTGGCGTCCGCGGCTGCTTCAGCAGCAAGAGGATCAGCCCCCAGGTGCCCTCTGGGAACTTTGAGATCGGCCAAGTCTCCTACAAATTCAACGTCCTGAAGTCAAGGGGCCCGAGGAGGATGGCCTGCACGCTCCGCCGCCAGTCAACCGGCGTTGACGCTGAGAAGGAGAGCCCATCGTCTGGTGCTGACCCAGTCGTCCTCCGGAACAAGTCCCCTAGGTGGCATGAGCACCTGCAGTGCTGGTGCCTGAACTTCCATGGCCGTGTCACGGTGGCCTCTGTGAAGAACTTCCAGCTGGTGGCGGCGGCCGATCCTGCCAGCCTTGGCGGCCCAGGGGACGATGAAACCGTGCTGCTCCAATTCGGGAAGGTCGGCGATGACGTCTTCACCATGGACTACCGCCACCCGCTTTCAGCTTTCCAAGCCTTCGCCATCTCCCTCACCAGCTTCGGCACAAAGCTGGCCTGCGAGTGAGGAGGCCATCATGCCCTGCAGAGCCCCCGCAGGCGTGGAGATGTGATCCTGACCAGAGGCGCTGTACCTCCCAAACCCAAACATGGGGGTTATCATAGTATGCAACTAGGTTGTACATCCTGCCCACTTCTTTCTGAGCTAATCGACGCCTTCGTTGAAACTGGAAACTATATGTGAATGTTATGGGTAGAACTAGGATAAACATTTTATCAAACCACTGCCAGAGTCAACAGGCCGTAAGCAGCTCGAACTAGTACTAAAGTCAAACCAAAGCTTTGAAGACTGTTAAGTTTGGAGGTCGCATAGCAACATGAGAGAGCCCACATGTGGGGTAAGTCTTTCCACACACATACCACTGGTGTTGACAGCGGACGCTGACCAGACGGTCGGAGGACATTCGGCAGAGCTTCTGTTGAGTTGGATTTCTGGGATGGATCATTTTTTGCCCCGCAACTTTGTGCCGAGAACCCTCTCCAATTTAATGATGATTTGCTGGTTTGGGATGGCTTTCCCAGACTCGTACTCTTGGATCACTTGAGGTTTCTCGTTGATCAGCTGATCAGAGAATTTAGATCCTCAGATGAGAGATGCCAATCCGAATACGATAGACAAGGAGGAGGGGGGTGGGAGGATGAATTAGAGAGGTCTACCTGTGCAAGTTGGGCCTGCGTAAATTTCTTATCCATTCGAGCTTGCATGATGTTCTTCTTCAGTTCTAATGGTACCTTCTCGTCTGATGCACCAGTCAGAATAAGAAGAAACCGATGATCATGTATACATATAAGAAATAAATAATTCAATCCACATTGATTCAGTTAAAAAATTAACAGGATGCAGCACATAATGGCTTTGTATGATCATTACTATTGAATAATCACATAGATGTGTGGATGCGCATGCAAAACTGGAAAAAAATTTAGTATGAGTGACAAGTTGAGAGAAGCTCACGAGTGAGATTTTCTGTTTCTTCATCTAGCTTCCTTGTATTCAAAGAGGTGCTACTTGAAGCAGCTTTATTTGTGCCAGCATTTGCTGCAACAATTAGCCGACAGTAAGGACCCACCGATAAAATAACATGCAACTAACCAATGTATCGAGAATTGTATACAGTTCATCGATTTAGACTAAAAAAGAGGAAAAGATTTTTTAAAAATCCCAAATGTTGGTACCAGTTTAGTTGCAAGGACAATAAAACATAAGTATCTACAGCATATCAAGTATCCATGAAGCCAAAATATAGATTTGGCCGCGAACTAGCAGGCCACGTACTGAATATGCTAAAGATAGCCGCTTGAACAGTATATTGCTTGATTCATGGCATGAGCCAGAACCCAGAGTGGAATGAACAGGTGAGGACAGCGTACTTATTTTCGCAAGTTTATTTTTAGTCAGTGGAAGACAAAATAATACAAAATGATAACCATTAATTGAACGTTATATCATTCAGTCTTAAATATTCTCATGAACACTAGCCAATGACTTCTAAGATCCAAGAATGGCTACCATTGGAATGCTTGCTAACTCTGTTGAAGGACAACTTCTCCCAGAGGAGTAGAGGAGATTCTGTGGCGTAAACATTAACATTCATGTTTCCGGAGACGATTGAGTTTGTCAACAGTTCTGATTTTTTTTAAATAAGCAGGCCAGAAAATTTAACCACAGTCTACCTGAATCGTTTTGAATGAGGTAGAATATCATCATCTATGGTAAAACAAAAAACTAACTTCTGAACTGTAAGGAAAACCGATCTAAAGTTTAAAACACACACGAACACACACGAGGAAAATGTGGGAAGAAGATATTTAAAGAGATACATATTTTCCGTCTGTTGTCTCTCTGGATACCTCTTCTCAATCCCCTTAATGGAGCGAGGAGAGAGAAAAAGAGAAGTGTTTTCTCACTATTTTCCTCCATGACATACAAAAGAAAAATCTTCGTCTTCGGCTATATTCAGTACGATGTAGAGAGAGGGATTTACCAGCAATTCTCCGTGCAAGCCACGGTATTAGTGAATAGAATTTCTACTACGACTAATTCCCTCTCCTTTCCCTACCTATGATTAGACGGACGCACAGTACAGCAACGAAAGAATAAAGCCGAAGTTCAATTAATCGGATCAACGTAGGAAAACTCATCGAAACGGGAACACTACGGAGCCCTGAAAATCGAAGGCGGTGGCTAAGCCCTAAACGGCGATATGTGAAACGAGGAACTTTAGAGATAACGATCGCTTTACATTTCTTCAGCGTCTCAATCTCAGCGCCGCTCCGGCGGGCGGCGTTGACGGCCTTCTCGTCCTTCTTCGCGGCGGCGGTTGGGGCCTTCTTGCGGAGCACCACGGGTTCCCAGTCCTGCGACAACGGACCGATCCCAGCCATTCTGGTTCCTTCCCGAAGATCGGAATCGCCTTAGGGTTCTTAGATGGCCTCTTCGCTACCCTGATCGACCCCGACACAGAGAGAGAGAGACAGAAAAAGAAAGATGACTGATAGAGAGAGAAAAAGAGAGAGATATGAGATAGAAGGTATACGATTCCCAGCAGGCGTAGGATCGCTTGGCCCTCAAGACAGTCGCACGTCCATCAGATCTCTGTGCCCCTCGTGGTTTCATCAGCCTCCGCGAGCCGTCTGATGGATTAGTTTCTTACATAGAAGGCCCATCTGTACATGATGTCCGATTTGACTTTTCCATTAACCCGCCATAGGACCCCTTATGTTGTAATAAACCCCCAGATAAACTGATATTTCATATAACTCCCCGTAATACATCACAACGCAAGCATACCAGGTGTTAGTGGAGACAATAATCTGACATGTAGCCCCTTATTTTGAGAAATATTTATTATAGGTATTTATTATTACTTGTGTTTGGTCCTTTCTCTCCCCCCTTCTTCCACCGCAGAGCTTTGCCGACTGCATCGTCGTCTTCGTCGTCGTCGTTCTCCTCTGGATGAAGTGATCAAGAGGGGAATGGCGAAGCGGACGCACGTCACCGCAGTGGGCTGGGTCGACTCCGACGAGTTTGCCGAGATTGGTGCTGGCCGGTCTGAAGGTTGGCTCGGTGACTCTTCTCTCATGGCAGCCATCCAGTCCCCCTACCTTGTTCTTGCCCACCGCAACCTCGGCGTCGTCGTCGGCTGGGATGAGGACCCGGATTCCTCATCGGCTGGTCGGTCGTTCAGGATTCGGCCCGCTCTATCCCCGTCGGAGGGGGATATCACGGCAGTTGAGTGGATCGCAGTCGATGAGTTCCTTGTTCTGGCTCTCGGTACCTCTGGGGGGTACCTCCTCCTCTACTCCAAGGAAGGTGCTCTGATCCTCAAGCAGGTATTCTTCTGCTTTCTGTTGATTGGAATCGGGAGATGTTTACATTCGACATACTTGGAATTTTCCTTTTTACTTTCAAATATCGAGTTAAAGGATTTCTGTGTTGCAGATCGTACATCCCGGTCGTGTGCTGAGGTTAAGATTTCGAGAGATCGAGTCCCAGCCATCGAGTGGGTATTCATCGCACGAGCTTTGTGTTGTCGTCCCCGGTGCGATCGCGCGCTTTGATGGCTCAGATATCAAGGTCTGCTCTACTCAATTTTCCCCTTCCTCTTTGTCACCTTCGTCGTAAAACTTGGCATTTTACGTTTCGTGGCAATGTGGCACAGAGCTTGTTGCAGAAATGGTTTGATGGCACGCGACAACACGCATGGGAAAGCAGAATTCTGAAGGAAGATGGACGGGCGGATTCTTACGGGAGGATCCCATATCAGCTCTGGAACGTCAGTAAATTCGGCTTGTGCGCTGATGCTGCGATTACAGGGATGATGCCGCCTCCCTTATTGGAACTTCCGGTGAGGATTGGGTTCCACTGTTATTTTTTTCCTTTTTCTCATTTTTTGTCAGAAGATTTATGGAGAGTTTCATGCACTTGAATTCGGCTTGTTTTATTGTTGGGCAGTCACAAGAACGTTACTATTGTGCAGTTACAATAGGGGATGATGCGGTGATTGCGGCTTACAGGTGAGCTTGTTTATCATCGTTGCATGATTTCACATCCTTGTTCCATTGGTGAATTTCTTTTCATTGGTCCTTTTTTAGTAATGACCTCACACTGTTGCTTCCCTTTAGACTATCAGAGGATAGAAGCAGGTCCTTGGTCGGAGCCATTCTATCGAAAATAGTTCCTACAGCATTTTCGACCTTATCATCTCTCTCCAATATTTTCTGGAGGAGAGAACAAGGCTCAACCAAAAAGCCTGAAGAGACGGTACAACCATTTGCCAAGGGTCAGTGCATATTTATTGTCTAACGATGTCATGTTCATGAACTTGTCTAATGGAAGTGATTGTCCTCATACCCGCAATATTTTAGATCTATGATGTACCAATTCATATTTAAAGTTTACATATTTTCTGTCTGAATAATGCGCATACCTATTTTCGAGTACATTCAAGTTAATTTTGCGTTAGTACCCCTTTGACATCAGGCTTTATACTTAACACTCGAAGCCTTTCTGACAGATTTTAAGTTTTCTTTGGATTCTAAGGAAACTAGATGGGATCTAATCACAAATCTGCTAGGGATAATACACTATTGTGGGACTACATGAAATGGATCTCTCTCATGCCTACCGATAATTGAATTTGGCATGATATTTAATAATACGATTTGAATCCGCAGCGAATGACAAATTGTTCTCATACATGTCGGCCATGCCTTGGTAGAAAAGTTACCCTCTCTCTGATAGGCTAAGGCTTTATGATTGTGATCGTTATCATAATGGGTTACATTGCCTATATGGTTTTGTTTATCTTGAAGTGAACTTTTGGGCCAAATGAAACACCCTAAGTTAATAAGATATTGGTCCTTGTATTACTATGGCGCCCTTAGATGGTTCTACCAGACTTGATGTAGACAGGGTCATTGGCTTGACCCAATAATTTTTTCCAAGTTTAGTTCATTTTTTCATGTAAATAATGAGACTAAATGTAGCACGGAGCAGAAGTGCATAGTGCATACCACATTCAATGAAAATAGCGTCCATTGCACTTCTAGTCAGAGGAATGTATTGCTTGTTGAGAACTACAAAGTATGAAGGAAAGACAGCAATGACCGACAATGGCTATGTAGGTCTTCCCGACATATTTGCACATCAATCAGTACTTGGACGTGATAATGGATACCTAGAACTGCTTTAGAGCTTGAAAAATGAGATACATTTCTATAGACACGCCTTCAAAGAGCTAGATGAGACTGGATAATTACTTGTTCATATTGCATTATGTGCTTCCTTGTAGATGTCATATGTCATATCTCATTTACTTGTTTTTTGAATTACCCTAATATTGGGAATATCTTTGTTACTAGACAGTTGCTTCGTTTGGTTCATCCTCAAGCTACAGAATATAATATGGGCTAGTGGCAACAGAAGCTAAATGAGATTTTATAAAGAACAACATCGTTCAACATTTTTAGTTGTCCCTTTTTTTTTTGAGAACTTGCCTATTATTAAAAATATAAGAGAATAGATTTAAGTCATTTATCTAAATTAGCCCTTTTATCTAAACACCGGCTAATTCAGATCACCCATTGAACTAAAAAATTTACACAGAGATTAGGTCAATGGATCAGGGATCTGATCCTGATTCTGCTTGCAAGTCCTCGGTCAACTTTAATCTTCGTTATTCAATGTCAACGATATATTGGTTTTTTTTTTTAATATCTTAATCATATTGAGTCTTGATTCTAAACTTTTTTAATATGATGTTCCTGCTATGGAGCTCTAATAATAACAATCTTATGAAATTGCTTGATTCTTCAGATGGATAAAGCATGATCTCTATTGACATCGAACGTTGTTAATCATGGACTAGGGTTTTGAATTGATCTCCTAGATTAGAGATCTGTTTCAAATAGTTATGCAAATATCTGAACATTTTAAACAAAAGTTATGTTTAACATAATTTATAGTATTAGACATCAGATATGTTTAACGACGTATCAATATGTTGTTATATAATTATATAGAGACATCTTTATACATGTTTTATGTACATATATTTTAGCGATGTGCTTTCTTTCCAAAATCTTTCTTCCTCGTCCTCATTCTGGCTTTTTCAGTAAATGATAACTCCAATAGGAATGGAGAAGGGAATGAATGATGGGTAGCTGAGGTTATGGTGGGCAAAATTAATTAAAATTTTACTCTTTTATTTTTGGTTCTCCTTATTCCATTTAAGGTTACTAATTCTGGATTCAACCTCGTCCTTCTTCTTCTGCAGACAAGTCTCTTCACTTGTTCCTCCTTCAATTGTTCTGGTGAGACAAGAGTCATTTTAAGAGCCTAGAACAGTTGAGCCATCCGAAACATCTCATTGGAATTAATTAATCCGAGTGAAATAAACCAAATTGTTCCCTTTTTAATAACAGTCCCATTTTTAATCAGGTCAGAATTGTTCAATTCTGCAAACCATGGATTCTACAGTTGTTGTTTACCTTGAGCAACACGGAAAATGGAATGCCAAGAGCAGAGTTAAGATTTGCATCTTGTTCGTTTGTTGAACTGAGTAGAATATTTAGTTTTAATTCTTCAGTGTCTTTTTTAGAGAGTAGTCTTTATGTAAGTACATAAAACAATTATTTGTGACGAGGTTGATCATAACTTGTGACCATGGAACGTTATAGCCTTTTTGTGTCTCCTGTGGATGGTGGAAGGAAAGCGTGGTTCTGAACACAGTGGAATTTGTATTAGCTCTGTTGACAGAAGGTTTGGAGAAATTAGGGGAGTAGGAAAGGAAGATAAGAAATATGGATAGCTGCAAGATCTGTCTTGCAGAACTGTGTTGAAGCTTTCTAAAAGGATCTGATCTCAGGCAAAGTTGTTGTTATTCCCACACAAAAGCAGACACAAAAGAAAGTGTGGTGGGATTCATCTTTGTTGAGACAACTGAACTATCTCAAATTTTCGAAAAAAAAATCTTCCTTGAGCTAGGAGCCTGGGAACCATATTCAACATTGGCCTAGAATTGGCAGTCCTGCTCTAAGTCATGCATTCGATAAGGGCTCTCTGAATTTATTTTCCTCAGTGATCTTTGTCTGAGTGCATGGGTCTGATACTCTTTTCTCTAACTAGTAGAACCGTTTTACTGGTACAGAAGATTTCAGTTTTTCAGTGTCCTAGATTTACAAAAGTTGAGACATTCTTGCACAGGTTAATGCACGCTTTCATCTGTATCATGATAATTAAACCGATCAGATTCTAGTTTTCAATACGATGCTGGAAACCAATAATCATGTTCACAACAACAATAGCTGCTCCGCTCCTTTCTTTCCTGATTAATTTAGCAAAATATTATCCATAAAAAAAAATCTTTGAACTTATTTATTGGCAGTATAATTTATGGCAGCATCACATTTGACATGCTTGAAGGATCACCCCAGGAAGGGAGAGAAGCTTACGTTGTCTCCAAGTGGCACACTCGCTGCTATAACAGATTCCCTTGGGCGTATTTTGCTGCTCGACACTCAGGCTCTTGTAGTCGTACGCCTATGGAAGGTTCTCCCGGTCCTCTTGAAGATCCACTCGCATTTGCCCTTACAGTATCATACTAAAGTCTCCAAGTCTCCAGGGCTACCGGGATGCATGCTGCCTGTTCATGGAAGCGTCTGTCGGAAGAGACGAAGGCTCGTCAAGCTCCTCCTGGCATGATGAGACGAAGAGAGACCATTGCCTGTGTCTCGCCATCCACGCTCCGAAAAAGGGAATCATTGAGGTACACTCTCTTGCTTCGTTCTAAGAAAATCCAGCTCTCGCTACTTGTTCTTCATCCGCTTTCGACAGTCCCAACAAACGTCTGCGGGCATTATCGATTTTCTCGTAGATATCACGCTGAGAGATCAGCAGCTTCTTGGGTTATTCTCGCAGCATGATTTTGATTTGATAATGCCATTTGAACGGCATCTGGACCTGCAGATTTGGAAGATGCGAACTGGGCCGCGCCTTCTGACAATCCAGTGTCCCAGGGGAAGCAAGATTCTGCAGCCGTCAGCTAGGTCTGGTTCATCGTCGTCGGCCTACAGCCCTCTCGAAGTTTTCCTCTGGAATGGGGACTCTGGGCAATTGTCCTTGCTGAATGGGTACATAACCTGAGAGCTGCTGCTCATTTCCTCGGATTCATTGGCTTCCGCTGTGGGCGATGTATAGTCTCTGATTGAACCGCCCGAGTTGACCTTTAGTTCCGTGGTCAACTCTATCGCTTGGTCTTTACTAAGATTTGATAAAGAAATATAGAAAATCTCATTGTCATCTGTTGATCATGATCTTGAATGGATTGGATTTCGGGCCGTTGTGACCCATTTTCGGCCCATTTAGCCGGGCGATCCAGGGTTACTCTTTCTTGGATAAGTTCTCCTTCAGCATACCTTCGGAACGGGGATGATCTGGTGAGGGCCACATCTGTCGCCGTCGATATGGACTGATGGGTCCAGGTAGTGGCCCGCATCGCGCCCATTGTCAACGCTTGCGTAGGGTTGCTTTCCTTCTGACTGGTTCGTTTACACATGTGCACCGGTGGGCTACTATCGTCTCCTTTCCCACAAGTTCGTCACATTGACATCTGTACTCCGATGGACTGGCATGTCTCCTTTCCCATCAGTTAGTCAACCCCTCTGACCGCGTCCGAAGGATCGCTGACCGTTGGATGATTGAAGGGCGTGGGAGATGTAGGAATGCGAAGCCAGGCCGCGGGTATGAGCTCGGCAGAGGCATGAAGTCGCCGTTGACCGTGGAGCTGACTGGATCGGGGCGTTGAATTTTTCCCCAGCCGGACTGAGACTTGACTCGACGTGGCGGGGCCTAGTCAGAGGCGACTAACATACACTTAAGGAAATATTGGACGGATCCCCATCCAGCAACGTCAACGTGGAGAAGCCGCCGTGGGGTCTTGGGTTAGGTTCTGAATCTTGTTCTTAGCCTGGTTTTGGTTCTTCTCCCCCTGAGGCCACCCGACAAGTAGATAAGATCGAAGGACTACGACGGCCAGCCCAACGCACACTGTCGACACGGTGGTAGATCGCCAAAAAAGGAAACGAGAGAGAGAGAGAGAGTGAGAGAGGGAGAGCGGGAGAGAGGGAGAGATTTCTTTTGTTGGCTTCCAGTCTGGATGCCAATTCCGAAGAAGAGGGGGGCCTCAGTTTTTAGGGAATTTTTCGTTGCGAGAGGCGATTGCCCGACAGAAAACTATTTCAAGTGTGGCAGAGAGAAGAAAACAAGAAAACCAGAATTCTCCGATTCGTCTCTTTGCGTACACATCGTCGATCGATGAGAGACGGGAACACCACAGATCGACGACTGTGGGCACCTCATAAAAAATTACACCGCAGCAGACGGACGGACAGCTGGAGAAGTAGCCTATCAAGGGACACAAAAAACTTGGGACTCGATGGATGTGGGGGAGGGGCGAGAGCACCAGTCCGGAGGCGGATCAAGGCATGTGATGAACTCTGGGCACCCTACGTTCGCGGTGACTCTCTAGCCAATAAGGTCCTATAAAAGACGACATGTATGTGTATATAGACAAATAGATGAATAAACTGCTAGATGGATCGATGAGAGAGAGAGAGAGAGAGATCCGGCCTCGATCACCGGCCTTTGCATGCACAAACAAGAGACTGGGGCAGGTACAGACACCTGCACAGAAAACGTCTTCTCCAGTTCGGCGATCGAAACGGTGGGTGGGCAAGGTCCCGTTGGCCGTCCCACAGAAGATAAGACCCACACGTCCCACACCTCTTAATTACATGACTCTTTCCCTCGTGTTTCTTTGAGAAATTACCTCTCCCTCTCTCTCTCTCTCTCTCACTAATCACCGAGAGGAGAGAGAGAGTTCAAACCGTTCGTCAGTAGGTCCTCAACCGATCTCGACGGCGAGAGGAAATCGTCGGCTCGTGGCGTCGATCAGTCTTCTCTTCTCCCACGTTGACCAACCACCGTTTTTGGTCCGCCGATCAGTACGGAAGGCCCAACAGGTTCACCGGCGAGAGGGTCTTTTTATTTGGTGTCGTGAAGCAGATCGGATGCTGCTCGCGGTTGCTAATCTGATTAAGCATTTTGTCAAGCGTGTTGTATATGCCACTTAGATGGTCCCGCCGATGGCTCGCTTGCGCGCTTACTGGGTTGAGCTGGCTGTGCTAAAATTCTTCAAGTGAGATGACGTCATTCCCTCCTTCACCCGCGAAAGGAACCTGTGATAGCGGGGGAGGGAGGACAATTCCTCGAAGATTCCGTTCATTATAATAGAGGAAATGTCAACTCTCATGCACACGTCGGGACGTAAACCTAATCCTCCCTCGCTCTCTCTCTCTCTCTCTCTCTCTAAATGTTTATGTATTTGCATATAGTTTTTTAAGCTGAGGGAAGGCAGGCCCCCCCTCCGAAAACGAGGCCCGATCTCTCCCTTTCTCCTCTCCGGCGACGTACGTTGTCGTCTCTGGTTATCGATACCGTCGCCACGACTATTATATTGTAGAAGCACTGCATGTACACCTAGCGTGGGAGATTTACATATTCATGACATTCTACTCTCACTACTCCCCCGTTTCGAATATTTGTCCTGTTTAGCCTCCGTTTGGAATCTTTAGCGTGGGGTTAGGTCACCAGTCCTGCCATCCTCCCTCTCTCTCTCTCTAATGCACAAACAGTCAGATACCTTGAGATCACTAAAATAGGGTTCGATCGGTGGCGCCTCACAGGAACCGGAGTGAGACTAACAGTGTGCTGCAGCGGTCTGTTCATAATCTTCCAAGAGATCTCGCAGAGCCAATGACCCCTTCTTCTCCCGAGGAGCTACTGGAAATAAACAAAGACTCGGAGCACGTTGTGTGAACTGCATGATTCATCCCATCGACCCAGCTTATGTGAGAGGAGCTCCCGGAAATTCTCTCTAGTGTTCTTCAATCCGTGGAATAGTGAGGGGCGGGACGCATCTGGTCAAGAAAGCGACTCTCTGGGAGTTCTCTTGCTTTTCACCCGGGGCCCCGTTGCTGTCCTCACTGAGGGCGCATCTCCCGGAGAATTTTCTCCTCTTCTCTCTCTCTCTCTCTCTCTCTGCATTTCCCAAGTATCTCGTCTTGAGTTGAGGTGCAGCCAATCGTCAGACTACAGTGGCTATCACTTCCTTCTCTCTCATTCATGGGTCAAGAGCCGAGGGCCCTGCTGAGGGTAGGGTGAGGCTTCCCTGTCAAGGGCCGTTCAATCTTCGTGTCGTCCGTGGGATGCGACTCAAGATGGGTGGCTAGGCGGTGTTTGAAAAATTTAGGCGTCCAGCACCCAAAACATTTGGACAAAACCGATTGAGAGTTGCAAAAGATCACTGCCTCCACTGTCCACTTATTTTTAAATGAAGGATTGATTTAGATTGCTTCATCTTGTGCAACATGGAAAATCCTTATGAGTTGTTTTCTTATCGGAGGATCTGATAGAATTTGACCTTTTTCAGGGTTGACTTTTTTTCCTACTAATTATGGTGTTTATATTATTGTGGGTCAGTCGTAACGTACTTAGATGTTATCATTTAGAATTCTCAACGTCCCCTACCAAAATACACAAGTTTTTACCAAGATAACCATTTATTTTCATATGTAAACAACACATATTATTTTTTGTGAAAAATTCACTTTTAACGTTTAAAAGTGAAATTAATAGTCTGACGATGTCATGGTGACGTAGAATTTCGATGACCACAGCTACGTGTGACATCACTACGGCACTTGCATTAATGCAAAAAAAGAAAGGTTTCACATACATTTTAATCTAAATTCCTCTTGACATACATGCACAAGGATAGTGACCCTTCAGAGCTCACGCTCTCCACCCCTCCAGCATACGTTCCTTTCCCTTCCCTACCAACCAGGAAAAGCATTAGTCAATCGCCAACGGAGACCCTTGTCATTTCCATCTCAACTCTCTTTGTTACCCCATCCCACTCTTACCACCTATATTCGTCTCCTCAGTTTACTTCCCTGGGGTATCTCTACACACAGGGTTGTTCCATAGAATGCGTCACTACACCATGATCTGTGCAGGAGATGCCGACGTTTCTTACCCGCCAAAGCATGCGCCGAATGATGCACGGCCACATTCATCACCATTTCATTGTGCCGAGGTCGACGGCGCCCCCCCACTTTCAGAAATAAAATATCCCCGATTGGCCTGCTTGAAAGGTGTCTGATGGCGACTATAACCAAGGATCAATTATTTAATCACATGCCCGCATAATATTATGTATTTTGATGTTCTTGATGCCACAAATAAGTTAATTAAAAAACGAAGTTAAGGAAAATTTGTCTTCATTAATCTTGGTTCTTATAAGCATAGGTAGGAAATCCCACATGGGGAGAGACGCAGATAGAGACAACCTTTATTTAAGTTCCCCAAGGAGATCAGAACGAGGACACCTGTATTGAAACGACAGAGTCGCTCTTTGATTCGGTCAGATAGTCTCTCACTCCATCGTTCACGGTTTCTTGTGGCGGGTTGACATCAATGATGCAGCGGGCAGCGAGTCATGTTGCCCGTTGAAGTCCTCCCCAATTGTGTTCTATTTTCAACAAATCGAGTCCTCACGCTATGAATAGTTTTCCACTTCTTGCTTCGAGTTCATCTCTGATCAAGATCACTTCTTAATTTAGACTCGAAGCAGCCACATGCACAACGATTCTCTCATTATTGTCCAAATTAATCCCTATAAAAGGGAGCAGGTGGATCTTGCTAAAGAAAAATGTTTACATGCTGACATCTCTGTCGGCTCGATTTGCGATAATAATCTCTTTGCAGACTTCACGAGTCTTTGCGCATTTCGATTAGAAGGTTTTCGTGGCTACGTCACGGTTCTCTCTCTCTCTCTCTCTCTCTCTCTCTCTCTCTCTCTCTCTCTCTCTCTCCAACTGTATATTTTCCTATGCTATTTCCTCAAGATATTCCTCACCTTACCATCCACGGCTAGTATAGATTCTCAACTAGGGCTTTTGATATTTCCCGGTGACTTGAGACATAGACTATTCATTTCATATGATGCTTCCATCTCTAATTGAGAGGAGATGATTTCAGGTCCATCATCATCCAGCGGTAGTCCGCCGGCAGTGGAAAGTTCCGTCTGATTCATGGCAAGCGCTTCTCGGGATGATTTAATAAAATAACTTGACATCTTCAAAAGTTAACGTTTTAAATGTGCCTAATCTCTCCTTCATTCCTATTATTTCAGACTACCACTCCATCTCCCCTCGACCTCTTCCTCATTCTCGTGACTTACGTTGGATAATGACCCATACACGGATTCACAATAATGGAGTCGTCGGAAGAAGACCATGAAATGGGGTTCCAAAGTTCATACGGATAGAGAGGTGGGCATGAAGAGACGCTAGCGAAAAAGGGAAGGAGACACCAAAGGGAGGACGAGAAGAAAAGCTGGAGAGATGATCAGTGTTCCCTCGTGGGATCAGCAAGTTGCCCAACTTTAGATATAGCGAAGTTATTGCAAATAAAATATTTGATTCTTTAAATGAGTTATGTATAGTGTAGAAGAATGAATGGCTCACTGTCTTAGAACGTGACGGGTTGTTCGTTGATTCTTACTAGTAGATATAAAAATACGAACAATATATAAATACTAGCGTGAATTATGTAAACAATCAACATGTAGGGACGGGGGGAAGGGGGGTGAGGGGGACAGGGGTCAACAGACGAAGCAATCAGGAATGGAGATGAGCGTACAAGCGGAGTCGTCGGTGGGGAGGGAAGACAACCTGTCGACGGGCTGGGGTTGGAGGACCTCGCATGTGCTGGAAAGTCCAAGAACGGATCAAACTCGTCCTCTTAGCTTTAAAGAAAGGAGGGGAAACGAAGAGGAACGAAAATCGGAATTTCCCGTAGAATTGGCGCTATAATCTATTCCCATAAGCAACTTAAACTCGACCCATGCCTTCTTCTCTGCCCTCTCTCTCTCTCTCTCTCTCTCTCTCTCTCTCTCTCACACACACACACACACACACACACACACACACACACAGCACCTACCAAAACGGCAACGCAGAGATAGTTGGGAGTTGGACGATGGAGATTCTCAAATCAGCGGAAAGGTTCTGCCACCAAGGATTTCTCACAGGCGTCATCAGACCAACTGAAGTGAAGAAATACAGACAAAAAGGTTTCTCCTTTGGTCCGTAGTTGTACTGGAAAAGACACGTGCATGAATGCTATGCCCACTTTCCTGCGTCTGGTTAAGGCTTGCTGTCAGGGCCAGCCCCCTTGATATCAGTGGGAAAGCACTGTTCGTAAATCCCCTGAGAAAAGACCTCTCTCTCTCTCTCTCTCTTCTCTCTCCTCTTTCTCGATCTCCCCGCAATGTCGTTCCAAGTCCCGGAGGGTGTGAGATTGTACGGGATCTCCGGCTGCCTCATTCAATATATATGGCTTCGATATGGAATGCAGGGGATACGCCCCGCCTGCGTACTAGTCATCCTCCCAACTTACGTAGGCACTCGGACCGCCGTCTGGATTATCTCACAGTTTTCTGAATGCCTCGGTTCCGGGTCCTCCGGCTGTCTGCTCGTGGGATGGAGACAGTGGAGTTGCCTATGCATGTGTGCGGGTGCTCTTTCCGTAGCTGGAAGAGCTGATGCTTCCTCCTAATTTTTAAGACGAAGATGCCGTAGAGGCCAGCCCATGCAACGGGGTTCCTCCCCTCTTCATAGGAGAAAGAAAAAACCAGCAATAATCGTCTGTTTGTCGGTTTGTCTGCCTCTCTCTCTCTATCTCTCTCTCTCTCTCTCTCTCTCTCTCTCTCTCACTTTCTCTCTCTCGCTCGCTCGCTCCCTCCGACACACACACCCCCCCCCCCCCCCCCCCCCCCCCCCCCCCCCCCCCCCCCCCCCCCCCCACCCTATGCACCCACGGAGCATGATGATGGCAATGCTCGGACAATAGAATGTAGGGTATCCTTCGTCAGCGCAAACAACCAATTAGTGCACGCTCGGAGCCGGATTACGGACAGAGCCATCCGAAGAATCGACCATTCCTCTTTTGTTCATTATTGAGCGCATTAGAATGTCGATCCCGAGTCTTTGTTCAACAAGCATGTCTAGTTACAGACCGAGATGCCCGTAGATTGATAAGACATGAAAGGAAGAACCCAACGGAGAAGACAATCATAACGAGCGAGATATATAGTGATAGGTAGATGGATAGATGTAGAGATAGAGAGTTAGATAGACTGACAGAAGGGGAGAAAGATAAAGTTACGTGCTTCAAATTTGCGAAGACGAAGGAGAGACAAGATTTGAAGAAAAAACTGTCCAAGATAAAGCATCCGTCCGCTTCCCTCTTTTTTTTCGCCTCGTATTCCGTCCTGGATCCTGTTTCAGCTGAAGGGATTCACGGCCGACTTCTGCTGACTAGCCGTGCGTAAGGGTCAATTGCTTGGCTGGTTCGTCTCCCAGCTGAAGCTACAGTTTCTTCTGGAGGACAAATGGGAGGAGATCGAAACTCCCTGACAAAGAAAAGGCAGCGGGCGGAGGCGTCGCCGCCGCTGCAGCTACGTCGGTATGACGTCACATCTTAAACTTATCTTTTCTTTGATCACGAGTCTGAGACCGAGGATCGTTCCCTCCGCGGCTTCAGATAAGGGTTTGAGCTCTTCTTGCTGGATGGTGTTTGGATCAGAGCAAACCGCGGGAGCCCTATGTTTTCTTGTTAGATATAGATGTTTGGTTTCGGAGAAAATCAGCGAAAGAAGTCAAGAAACCACTGTGAATTTAAAATATCTGCGCCGCCTCAGTCTCGCAGTTTTCTGAGAGCTGCAGGCGTCGACTTTTCTTCAACAAGTTATTTATTTTTACGTTTGGAATGATAAAAAATGCTTGCAGACGAAGGTTCTATGACTTCCGGCAGGATTACTGGGATTTCTCATCATCCGACCGTCGCACCCTTTGGTTAACAGTAAATCCACGGAAAATGAAATGACGTACGTTTTTTTTCTGAACTCCAAGGAGACCTCGCCACGACGGACGACAGGGGTCCTACAGCATTCAATTTTCGCCGGTTTCGCATTAGATCAAACGATATAAGACAAGCCAGGAAATGGACGCAATGTCTGTCGTAATCTTCAACCGCTTAGGAGATGTTTCAAGGTAATCACGCCCCCACCCCCCCCCCCCCGCCCACCCGGGATTTCTTCTTGTATTTTCATGGTCCCGGAGGAGAAATCGATTCACCCGAGCCCTGATTATAGCAATCATCATCGTCATCATCAACTATAAGGAAAAATTATCTGATCTTAAGAGACGGTCGCGCGCTTCTTTCCGAAAGGAAACTCCACCAGCTAACCAAAATTATGAGATGTGGACGAAGTGAACGCCATGAAAAGTTTGTCACGAGTACTGTCCTAGTTATGAACATACCAGACCCTTTATGACTAGATTTAAAATCTAGTCCTGGTTTCCTCAACGGAAATCCATATGATAATTTACGTCGACTTGCGTCGTCTAGACACTAATTTTCTTGGCTGAAACAGCAGTCAACTGCCAGGTGCATCCTTCTCCTTGAGGAACTGCCTTTTTCTCTCCGGATTTAATGATTTCGTCCTCTCTAACGCATATACAGACAGATGTCGCGTCCTTACTAACGTTCACTATTTGTAAGCCTTCCTCGCGGAGTTAATTCTGTTCTCTCTTGGCTCGATAGTTTGACCACCGGGCCCGCCCGTAGAATTCTGAAGACGATCCAAAAGTAGTTTAGGGCGGGGGAAGAACCCGGAACTTTCATTTGCCGGTTATTTATTATAACCTACCGCGGTCTCCTTTCAATTCAAGGTAGTTTACCATTGATTGCTGTCCAGCCAGAAGAGTTCCGTGAAACCGGAAAGAAGAGGACAGAGAGTCTCGTAACGCAGATTCCTTTCCTCTTCTCGCAACCAAGAACATCCCTCAGGTTTATTCTTCGCATTTGAAGAACTTCTTGATGCATCAAGGACTGCAGCATTTTTCGAACATGACTGTAAATCGCCCCTTCAGTCTTAATGAATGTTGTTGGGTTCCGTTTACGCTTTGGTCGGGAAAGAAGTTGAATGAATAGAACCCATGATCCTCGATTACAGGCGTTCTAGGGGGAAGGTGGAGGAACTCATTTAATAGTTAAAGAAAAAGGTAGATATCACGGTCATTTGTGGATCCCCATCCATCTGTGTTTGGAGAGCTTCGCCCTCCCTCCGCTACCTATTTACGCACCCTCCTCGCAGGTTTGTATTCCTTTGTCCCTATGCGAAGACGAGGGTATTAAAATAAATGCCACTGTATGGAGGGTACCCTTGTTTCACCGTTTCTCCATATTCTAGTCCTCGTTGCGGAAGGATTTTATTATGGATTCTGTCTCCGCTCTTACAACACCTTAATCACTCTATTTCTTCTCCTTCAGTCTTCTTCTCCCCTTCCTCCGTCCGCCCATTGGGGCTACCGGGGAATTACAGAGAAAGAACGGGGAGATGGGAGGAGCGGAGGTGGTGGAGATCCAGGATGACGGAGGCGGAGGGAGAGAGAACGCCCCATCGCCGGCTCACAGTGGGAAACGGCCGGCTTTGGACCTCAACGAGGACGTGGGGGAAGGCAGCGAGGAGGAAGAAGATGAAGAGGACGGGGGAAGCACCACCGAGTTGGCCGGCGGCGGGAGCTCTAGCAACAACAGTAGCTCGAACAACATCACCGGAGAGGGGAGCAGCGAGAGAACTTCCTCTGTGAGGCAGTACAACCGGTCGAAAATGCCGAGGCTGCGGTGGACGCCGGATCTCCACATGTCCTTTGTACATGCCGTCGAGCGGCTTGGCGGACAAGCAAGTGAGTTTTCCCAAAACTTGACTCCCAGAACATCTGAAAAGATCGAGAGAAAAATAAACAAAATTGAGTCATTCAGTAAGAGAATAATTCGTCGGTTTTGTGAAATGATCCTTGCTTCTTCCTCGGAGACACGAATGATCGTGAAATTATCGGTTTCTGCGTATTATTATTCTGCTCTGCGCCTTTCTAAGATCATCAATTTTGGAAATCTTATATTTTGGACGATAAGGTTCGGCTTACTGATAATTGGCCTAATGATGTTTGTGTGGATGATATAGGAGCCACCCCAAAGTTAGTGCTTCAGATGATGAATGTGAGAGGGCTCAGTATCGCTCACGTAAAAAGCCATCTACAGGTAAGAAGATGGGGGCGCCAGGCATGGAATGAGGAAAGAAACACTTGTTTCATATCCCTTACCTATGTGAATAATACTTCGGCGATCTTGCGTGCTTATTTTTTTCATTATATTTTTTTTCCGTCCCTTTATCTGAAGTATTATCGTTGATCAGATGTATAGAAGCAAGAAGTTAGAAGACCCTGCACAAGATAAATTTTCTGTCTCCTCAGGTGAGCTTACAATCTTCATTCGTTTGCCTTTTGATTCTCTAAACATCAAAACTGTGCTTAAGAACTGTACAAAAGAAGGAAATAGATACTATTTCTCTCTCATCTTATCTAATTGGAGATTAATAATAGACATTATCCTTCTCTTTGGTAGACGATCCCATAGAATTAGTAGGTTTTTCCTCTATTAAGGAATCATAAAACACACAGTCGTGTGGTGATGCAATCAAATGTTAATAATTAGGAGCAGGCAGGAAAAAAAAAGTAGAACCTGACAATAAATTTCTTGTACTTCCTCATTACTGAAGATTCACGTCTGCCGTTAACGTCTTTCTGTAGGCATTCATATGCAGAGGGGAGGCCGAATCCCAGACGTCATCTACCAAAGAACAGGAGCATGCCAGGCGTTCAAGATGGATAGCAGCGGCAGCCTTTTCGTCTCGAGTAGCCACCATGAGCCGGGTGGTCTCTGTGGACTCATCCAACGGCCACCCTCTCAACAAGCGTTGGATCTCAAAAACTACGCCTTAAGGTATAGTTATGACAGACAAACAGGATAAACGAAAACCCTAACCGAGGGAGAACCTCACACCTTGGAAACCATAAGGGTTTCTAAAATTTCTTTATTTTTTATTTTTTTGTAGCCGGCATCAAGAATGGCCGTTTCATCAGCAAATGACGGCAAGAGTGAACCCAAGTTTGAATCATGGACGAGCAAAGGACTTGATCCAGGATATCATCCATAGACAAGAAATGAAGCCATCAACCTCCCACCTATTCGACGTCAGGGATGCTATCACTAACAACAACACCTGGCCCTTGTCATTGCACCAGGTCCTCGAAGATATGAGATCGAAACAAGTGGAAGTGAGAGGAAGCCTACTGATGGAGAGGAAGAGGACACCTGATAACTTTCACTGGGGTGGCAGCATTTCTCAGTCTCTTATTCCGAGAGTATCTTCTATGGAAACTCTCTACGGTGAAGTTAATCTCCATAGTAGGAACAACTTAAACCCTCACTACCACAACGGTTGCACGAGGGATCCCATAATCTTCACCCAGGGTCGCGAATCTCAGTTTGAGTTGCCATTTCGTCTTCAGGTAATCCTCTCTCTTTCTCTCTCTCCATATATTCCTATACCAATCCAATCCATCTATACAAGTATATATAAAGAAGTTTCCAAGTTATTCAATGTTCCCTCTACAAAACTAATACTGAGATATCTTGAGATCAAATTTTCAAAGAAAGAATTAAGAGAGCCAGAAGTGATGTCTTTAACCTAGCTTTCGCACCTTGCAAACTCGAAGACCTTGTGGTGGCTACCTGGGCCTGACTCGAATACTAACCATTGCAGAGACATTTGGAAATGAACAAGTCTGTGCTCAAATCGGAAGATACCACGGGCAGGAAAGAGAATATCGAGTCAGAATCGAAGAAGATGAAGATGACGACTGACAAGGGAAGGGGTCTTCACACCAACTTGCAGCTAAGCCTGTACCCCAGCTCAACAGCCAACCAGGAGAAGGATCTTGGAGTTGAGGAAGAAGCCGAGAGTGGACTCTCTCTTTCACTTTCCCCCACAACCCCCAAACGAAAACAACCACTCTCTCTACAACCCCACAATGACAACCCAACACCCACCATCCCTTTTAGGAACACTGGAGCGAGCAATAGGGCCGCTTTGGGGCTGAGTACTTTAGATCTGACCATGTCGATTGGAGCATTGGAGTGAGATCTTTCAAGTACTTGCCTCAAGGCCCTTAGTAGAAAAATATAGGTTATGCTGCCGCACCAAAATAAGGCATTAGATCCCGTTCCTTTTTGTGTCTTCGACTTCTGTTCTTTCTTCAAGTGTATTACATTCCAGTGGGTTGTTGTAGCTTCCTCAAGTCTATCACCCATTTAGTTTTTATGAATTTCGATCTTCTTCTTCATGACTTATTATTTGTGCCTCTCATCTATATATCTATTTATCTAGTTATATAGCTACTCACCTTTAAACTTTTACGACTTTGGGTTTCCCTTTACCCATGTTAGTGCCTCCAACGCTTGATCTTGAGCAAATTTCAAGCATTCTCCAGTCAAAATATATCTTAAATCGTACCGAAAAAAATATGTGATATAAAATTTAAGAAAAATAGTACCATTTAATATATTATTTTACTTATAAATGTAGCTTCTTATTCAAGGATGAAATATTAATTAATAGAGGTATGACTTTTGGAATAAAATTATCTCTCAAGTTAATTTGCAGTCATTTAATACGGTGATTAGGTGAAAAAATTCAGCGTTATGACAGTTTCAATCTTGTCAAACAATAACGTCATCCATCAAATTTTGTAATCAAAGGATGTCAAAGAGTTACCGGGTCGAATTTCTCTAAAATTTCTCCTATTTGCCTCTCATCCCAACTTGTCAAAAGAACTGTTAATTTTTATTCCTATAATATACTTAAGGTTTTGGCATTTCCTCTGGTAATATTCTATTTATTAGTATGGTTGCAATCAATGACTTCGTCTTGGCTACTTGGGAAATACAAATTTTTAATAATACAGAGATCTTAATTTTCTAATAGAATCTCTCTCTCTCTCTCTCTCTCTAGACATATATACTTATATATATTTATATATATATCCCTGCATGTATTTGCGCCTTCTCCGTCAGACCAGTCAACAGGGAAGACAGTAAGAATCAGGAAAAGGTCAGCAGGAGAATTACAGGGTGAGGAGGGCTAGGTCATTTGAGAGAGCCGTGGTTTCTTCGGATGCAAGTAGGAGATGGGCGCACGCCAAGGAACGAGTAGGAACAAGGACAGGGTGGACCAGCCGGCAGGCTTCGTCCTCCTCCGGAGACATACGGCGTCCCACAGTTGCTCCCGTCACTATCATCTGTGGTCACCGGCGTTGAAACCCGGAGACGATCGGCTAAGGACAAGGTCTACCTTACAGTAACCTACTCTCCCGCTAAATTCCAACATGATTCGCCTCTTCAAGCCCCCCAGTGGCGGCCGTCCCTTTCCTCGCTATAGTAAGAGGTTGGACGGATTCCCGTTGACCTTGACTGCCTTGTCACCCCATTCCGCCACTTCATTCAAAAAATTATATTTTTCTCATGCTTTTGTTTCGGAGGGTGTTTGTAAAATTCCCCAGAATCAACCGGGGCTAAAAATTAGGTCAAAAAGAGGCCTAGTACCTGCACTTGAGTCGTCACCCTTAATGATGGGCCAAAAATGAAGGTCAAGCCAATCATTTTAAAGAGAAAAAACACGGAGCAGAGATAGAATTCGCCGAGGGCTTCGCCGAGAAGTGACAGCGACTTAGAGCGCGGCGCAAGTAAGATGGATACCTGTCAACATACCATCGGCGGAAGTTTGACAGTTTCCATGTGATGGGGCGGATGAAGAATCATCTTCCCGACAGAACCTAGCGCCGGCGAGGAGCTTTGGCCACCACTGAAGGGAGCTCTCTGACGTCTTCAGCGTCGATCTGTTTCCACCAGTCATCTTCGACAGGACGATTCCCCTCTCTCCCTCCACGAAAGAAGGTATCGTGATCAGCCAGTTGGCTGGGTCCTCTCTCTCTCTCTCTCTCCTCTTGTCTCTTTGTCCAGATCGCCGACGATTATGCATGCATATCTGAAGATTCTAGCTTCTGGTCTCCCTGATTGACGTGTTCATCACCGACCCTTCTTCTTCGTCCAAATTAAATATATAAATTAGTAAATAAATACATAATTCGATTATTTAATTTTAGATCTATGCGTGAGTGAATTATTGATGCTTTTTTATCTTTCAATGAGGCGTCCAAGTCCCAAAATAATTATTATAATCTATTTTTTATGCTCTCGATATTTAATTACATTTAGCATTTATTTTATGTATTAAAAACTAGTAATGCTTCCCCTCTGTTTTTTAGGGTAGAAGCCCAAAAAAGAGGTCTCTATTGGGCCAATAATGTGGGAATTTGCTGCCCGACCCACAATTCCGAGTCCTTTCTCGGCGAAGCCGCTTTCTCCCCGTTTGCCGCGGGTTCTTCTCCCCGCCGCCTCCGGGAGCTGCCGGGCTCGCTTGCTTCTGGGTTCTCCTCTTGGCCCCTCCATTCCCTCATTGCTGAAGCCTCCCGTACTCTTCTCCCTCGTGTAAAGCCCGAGCGGGGCGCGGCTGCTGCCGGACAATTGGCGGACGTTGCTCTTACATTGTGAGTCCGTTTCCGGGGATAGTGACGCCTCAGCCCCTGCGCCGTCTGTCGCACCTTTGGTTTCTAGGCGTTGGCTCGCTTTCCTTTTGCCTTCTCCCTCGAACATTAGTCGCTTGGTTGTTCCGATCGTAGACGATCATCTGATAAATTATATGTTCATTTTTCACTGATATGCAGGATTACTGCTGAACTATAAATGAATTTGGCCGGAAGTGCCTTTTCTAGACGATGTTCATATCACATCGAAGGTGGGTCAGTCTTATTTGTCTCCCACCCTGGAATCTGTGTGCTCATTATATCATTAAGCTTGGGAAATCCGTGGTCGCCTTCTTTCAAGGTGAACGCATCCAGAATGACGGCGTATCTATCCTTCTTGCAATTTTCCGTCGACACTGTTGTCCTGCACCTGTAATTGGGGACTCTCTCCTCCATCTCTGTCAGATTCCGTTCCTCTGTCGTCTGTATCATCGGTAAACTCAATAGCGTAAATTGGGTTCCATGAAAACTGTTACCAGCTTTCCAGGTTAAGATAAGTGAAAATGTCCGGTACCTAGGGCAGTGGCCTCAACTGAGACCACATCCGATTTAATAAATAGGGAACGATCTATTGATGCCGATTGTGAATTATGGAAAAGGGAAAAACCGCCGTCAATACTTATTATCTCTAGTGTAATGTTCTTCATCCTTTAGATGACCTTCTCCTTTCACATCCCATTAATTCCGGGTTCTCTTGAGATAAAAGGTGTCGGGATCATTTCTCTACCTCTTTTCTATTTTGTTTTAATCCCCAAGTGGTGGATTCCAAATATCAGATAATCTATTGGAAGAAGAGGTTTTGTATTTGTTTTCCTAGAATAAATCTTCATCGTATGCATAATTTTTTAAAATAATCTTAACTTTTAACTGCCACCTCATGAATTTCTGTGCCTTTAAGGAAAGAAACCCATGCAGAAAATTCACTTTATTAACTTGTATTTTATGTCTCATATTTAATCTTCTAGCAACATGATTATGCAGAATGACAAGACCCAAGTGACATGAACTTGCTAAGTTAGAGAAGCCTGTGTGGAGATGTTTGCCTATTACATCTTTTTATTGGCAAGTGTACCCCCGAAATCGTGTTCAGGAGAAATGATTTTACGATAGATAGAGAATTTTCGTTGTTCTGCACAGAGCTCTCAACCCCTTGTCTTCTCTTTTTTTTTCATAGAAGCATCTCCTCACTGATCCTTGAATTTTCTGTACGCTGTTATGAAATTCATGCTTGGTGATATACGGACAGTGGATGCCATTCAAATGTCTAATTTGATCTCCTCTACTATCTTATTAATAGAAAAGACTGGTATCAATAATTTGTCCTTGCATTTGAGGTGATATATCTTGTTTTTGTTGACGCGCATACAATAAAATGATATTATTGTGTCACACAATCGGAACTGTGTATTATTAAATATAATTTGCCTGATTTAATATCTATTTTGTTATCCTGTTACTTTATAGAGTAAAAAAAATCCATTTTACTGATTGCGTTATGCATAGAGATATAACTTGCACATTCCACATCCCCCATTTCATGCATTCTGAAATTACTATTTGCTTTACAACTTTGAGCATCACGAATCTTTCAGATTGTTTGAGAATCCTGACCAGATTATTTTTCTAAATATTTGGCTTTCATCTGGCCTAGTTAGCTTTCTGGATTTGATCAAAACCCACTATTTATCTACCTGAATCATTGTAGAACACTTCAAAGTTGTAACTAAGCTCAGTGTTCTTTCTTTAGATGGCCTGGGGACGAATGCGTGGGATCATTGTCGCACGGATATCATAATGATTCGTTTTCCCCAATGGAAGAAAGCAGGTTGGAAACCTCTTAGGAAGAAGATGCAGATCCATTGATAGGATTCGGCAGCAATCTTCAGCCAAGGAAATCCATGAATAAGTGAACGCCGGCTTTAAAACTATCACATTCAGCTTGATCTTGGTGAAGGCGTTCATCTTGAGCGATAAACAGTACGCAAACATATGAACAAGAGAATTCTTGGATCGAACGCATTCTGTTAAGTTTGACTGAGAGAGATCAATCTCTCATCACTTGACAGCGACAGAAGGATTATCTGCTACCATGTAACAAGGGAAGCAAGTGCCCCCCAGTGCCTGGTCTGATATCACATAGGAGCAGAGGAACCCAGTGCTCCCCAGTGCCTGGTCTGATATCACATAGGAGCAGAGGAACTCAGTGCCCCCCATTACCCGGCCATACATCACTATAATCATCTTAGAGCAGAGCAGGAGGGGAGCAGTCAATCCCCGTTTACAGGGTTTACCAAAACTGCACCTTGTCCATGGTCGTCGCCCTCTCCTTGGTTATAGTTCCCCACCCTGGAATCTGTTGATGATGCCCCCGTGGTCTGCTTCTTACGGCCAAGCTGGATACCAAGGAATGGCAATGGGGCGGAGCCCTTTGAGGCAACAGTGGGCAAGGTGCGCGACAGCCATGAGTCTGAGGGAGACTCCGGCAGAGGTGGGGGAAGAGGAGCCGGCAGAGCATCATCCATGGTCTGCTTCCCTCCGCCATCAAGAAGGCGCAGTTGTTCATCAGAGTTAACGGCTCTGTGTCCTAGACTCGGTTTCTCCCCTGCTTTAGGTATGGAATCGCCGTCGCCCGTCTCCTCAATCATCGGCCTCGGGGCTCCGCCGCCGCCGCCGGTGGAGCGCCTCCAGGAGGAGGACCCGTCGGCCGTGGGGGAGTCGCTCCAGAAGGAGAGCTGGTTGGACTCGCTGGTCCACCTGCTGGCCTCCTCCCCGAGCTTCTGCCGGACTCGTCCCAGCTTGTGCTCGTAGACCTCTTCCCAGATGTGCTGCGCGGTAAGAAGCAACTGTGAGCGAATCCTCCGGCAGAGAAGAGAAGGAGAAGTGTGCCCACTGCCCTACCTCATCTTCTGCGTCGCTTGCGGAGGCTCGGAGGGGAGCTCTGCGCTGCTGCTGCTGCTGAGGGAGGAGCGAACTCCGGCCTGCTGCCGCAGGCATGCGACCCCTCGTCTTCGTCCCTGAGAGAGGACCCAGAAGATAGGATCCCTTCATGCAGAGCATCGGAAGCAAGCCGCATCCTTGAAGCGAAAGATGGCGAACGTCGCCGCCGTCGTCGTCGTCGTCGTCTTCCCCGATGTCACTGTGGGGAAGAGAAGCTTGTTCGAGGGAGTAACTAGGCCTGCGCTGGTGGGGCGAGGTGGCGGCCGGTGACTCTGCGGCGGGGCGTCGGAGCACCGGGGGCCTCCTCGGGGCGCTCTGCGGCGCGCTGGAAGCCATTGCCTGAGCAGCGGGGAGGAAGCGGCCCATCACGAAGTCTCTTCCCGGAGGGTCCTCCGAGAATCTACCGGGCGGCGGCGCTCGCCCGTCAATCTCGCCGCCGGCCGTACCGCTTATGCTGCAGGTCATGAAACAGGACTCGGTGCGGGAGAGCGTCTCGAGGGCGTCGGCGATGCCATCGTCGTCGTCCTCGTCCGGGTCGCCACCGCGGGTCCGGTGCTCCGCCCCCAGGAGCGCCTGCACCGCCGCCGCGGGATTGGCCTTGGGCTTGTCCTTGGGCTCGCCGGCGGATTGCTCCCAGAGGAAGGGAACCACGCCGGGGTTCCCCACTGGCCCCGACTTCAAATCCGACCTGTAGAAGGGGGGGGCGGCCTTCCGGCAGGTGGACGGCGAAGACGGCGGCCGTGGCGCCGGAGCAGAGGAGGCGAACCGGCGGACGGAGAGAAGGGGGGCGTCCAAGTCCAGCCGCTTGGCCTCCATCTACGGCAGCGGCGACGATGGAGGGTCAACGAGAGCAGAGCAGAAAATTGGGACAAACAAAAGGAATTGTATAAATTCATTCGGCGCAGATTACTACTATCTGTCGAAGAGACGAGGATACGAGCAGGCGGTGATGATGACGATGATGATGATGATCCTCCTCTTCACGTCCCAATCCCTCTATGGGGATGGATGACCCGCCAGGAGGGGCAAAGAATCTGCCGGCGGCGGGGGTGGGGCTCCCTCTCGGGTCATCGGTAGCCATAAAGACTAGAATCTCCGCCTTCAGATTTCTTGAATTGTTTCTAACTCGACGTCTTGTTCTGCCCCCGCCTTCAGAAGTTAATGCATCTGCACGCCATGGTCAAGCCTGAAAACTGCCGGAGAGGACCCATCTGCCATGACTGCGCCGCCGTCTGCCGGAGTGGCTCAAGGAACAAGTGCTTGCCGCCGCCGCCGTCATTTGTGATAACAGCGTTGGATTTAGCGAGGGCGCACTACAAAAACATCCTTTTGTACACGCGTTATTGTATCATTTCTTCGCCCCGGAGAGGACCAGAGCAGTTGGACCTTTCAGCCGAAAGCTAGTGTGGTCTGTCGGCCCGATCCAGGAACGTAGTTTTGCCCCCCCAAGGGACCACGCTTCACTGGCCTAACCACACTTTGTGATCCCTTTTGCCTCAGCTCCCTCGCTCTCTCTCTCTCTCCGAGCCCTGGCTCCGGACAAACGCAGTGGATGGCTACCAAACAGAGTTGACTACGGGTCTCTCACCACTGTGCCAAACCCCGGTGTTGACTCATGAAGCCTCTTTCCATCACTTGGGCCGCTCCCCACCAGAGGCATTCGATAGGGGCCCTGATAAATATGGACGAATCGAAGAGTAAGATGGCTGAGAGATGGCCGCAAAAGATGACTTCAAGTAGTAAATATACCCACAAGAGGCTTGGAAGTGATTGAGAATAAGTGCTACTTCAGGAATTCAGCATCAGGGTCATGATTTCCAAGGGAAAAAAACCCAACTTTCCATATATTGCAAGGGGTCAGATGATCGCCGTCTGACCCAGTATTACTCTTCTTCTTTTTTTTTAATTTCTCAGAATTATGTTCTGAAATAAAGACAAATCGAACCTGAAAGCCATTTATCAAATAAGGAGTTGTCCGCAATCATTCACAAGAAAAAGGATGCATTGAAAATCAGTGAAGACTTTGATGCTTTGATGCGCAATCCGTGATATCTATTCAATGAGCCAAACGTCACAATCTCAGAGCCACTGCATAACTTGAATAACACAAGATCCGCCCTGAGGTTTTCAGGGAAGAAGGACAGAACACTGGTTGAGGCCTCGAGCTTTACCTGTGTATATTTATATTCTGCAATTTCTAGCAGATGTTTGCACTGATGCATCCAAGAAGCCGCCACCTTCTCGATCAAGATCTCTTGTTCGGTCCGATACTGCTTCTTCCATCCCATGCACAGGACCAAAAGAACAAAGACATCCAAAAGAGGACGCCGAAGAACACCCGAAGAACATCCTGGGACCTGGAAAACGCCTCCAGAAGACCTGCAAAATGGGCATGAAATAAATAAATACAGAAATGAGAAGAAAAGAAGTGGAAAGTTAATAGGAAGGGTTCCTCCAATCCAACATAGTAGTGATCTATGGTGGATCTTCTGGTTCGTGAACAAAGCCATCGCCCCTCCCCACCAATATCACCCTCTCTGTACTTCCTTGAACGTTCAATGTAGCATGATCCAAGCTTTGGCACACCCTTCCCAGCCAGTATTGGCCTTCTACAAGAGTAGATCTGGCCCGCATCCATGCCTTGTCTATGGGTACAACAACAGCCGTTAGGCTGTAGATTCTGGTCACACTTAGCAGACCCATACAATTTCGATCTAATAAATGGTCGATTTGGATCAAGATTAGTGTGATCCAATATAAAGTCATTAGTTAGCCTTGACTATCACCGATTCACGGAGAAGATAATATTTTTATAGTCTCATTTTAATTTTTCAGCCGAAAAACCAATCAACTCCAACACAGCCTAGACTGACAGTAGAATTCATCCGCACACAAGCCCATCAAGTGGCACAGCCTCCTGCAAAGAGAACCCATCTCCACTATTGTACCAAGAACTTTAGAGTTTCAGCATCTTGTGCAACACAGAGGGGAACCTCACTCTGATAAAAAACTTCCTACTCACTTTCCTTGGAGGAAAGGAGTGTTACTTGATGACAACTTGGAGCTTGACAAGGACCCTCATGCGAAGAGAAGAGATCCTATATCCGCTGTTATACACAAAACACTAAGGTTTTTCAGCATTTTGTAGAACATAGAAGGGCTGGTCACTCTGAGAGAAACTTTCTACTCAATTTCTAGGGAGCAATACCTATAGCTGATGATAACTTGCAGCTTGACAATAACTCTCTCCTGTTTGGTTTTCTCTGAGACCCTCTTCTTATGACCACAGTTTTATCTTTTTTTATCATTATCTCCGTTATCACCAAGCGTCTTCTCTTATCCCAGAGGTCCTCTCCTTATGGATCATTGCATCTCACACAACACAAGCCTTAAGATATCGACAGTTTTATCTTTTTTGGCCATTACGTACGTTTTTGTTTGAGCTTCTCATAGTTTGCTCTTAGAAAAAAATTCAATATTGAAGAAAGCTAATTCGATTTCCTAAGTTTATATCTACGACTATGTTACAATTCAGTATTTTTTTTGTGTTTCTTCCTTCTCCAGCGGATTGTAGATAAAAAAAGGAAGTTTTCAAGGTGAATATTTTCAAGCACATGCCTGATAATCATATTAACCTTAACTTGTAGACTGGCTTCAAGAGATTTTGTTCCATCTGATGAAAGATTTGTTATCTTAGCCTCAGCGAAAAATAAAAGATGATGTCTGAATCATAACTTCGCAGGGCATCGCTGTAGAGAGTAGGCCACAGACATTTTGAAGTGCAACATTCCAGAGGATTTTGTGATTCACGATACAATAACTCAGTTTAGCAATCAAAGCATTACGAAAATAGGTTTCTGTGTGAAACACAAGAGTTAGGAAAGAGCAAAAATTTTAGTGCTAACTATGTCGACTGAAATTCAATAGCAAAGGAGTTTCTTGTACATCTGACCCTTTCTTCTATTGCTTCTATGGATTTCTTCCAGTGCCATTCTTTCTGTTCATTTCCGTCAGGTAGATTATATATTTTTAGTACGTTCCTTGCTACGAAGTCAAAAAAATGTAATGCGAAAGAAGAAGCAGGGAAACTAGGTCATCTTCTATTGGAGGAAAAGGAACTCTTCAACCATCTTCTTGGTAGATTATGTAACAACTCGCAGTTTTTCTTGTTCAGGGTTATATTGATGATTCCTTATGATACTTATAGTTCCAACCTGCCAACTATCATGCATCGTGAGCTGGTCGTTTCAAAATTCAAATAACCTTATCACCATCTAGGCCCAGGAAATTATTTTTTTAGTATTATTCAGACTTGAATGAGAAAACCGGGCACAGAACAGCTCTTAGAGTTGTTCTAGAGGGCTAGTTACTTGTGAAAGATTATGTTTCATGTCGATGGTTACACAAGTTTCTATGTTTCAAATTAAGTATCAGAGTTCAAGTGTAATCCAAAGGGATTTTCAGAAAACCTTAACAAGCTAACGAATAAATGACAAAGGAAATCAAATTAAAAACAGAAATTCAGAGATTTAACCGCTTTGCGAGCATATAGAACCGTAACGAATTCCCTGCGTCGAAGAGACTCTTCCACGCATCGAAAGACAGATAGGGAACTAAACCTAAGGCAATTGAGCGGTCAATAGAAGCGGGAAGAAGAGAAGAGAAAGACACCTCCTCCGGTGCGGTTAGATTCCTCTGGAAAGGGACCCTCCGGCGGCGGAGGTTGCGGGCCAGCGGAAGCGGCGCATCGCCCAAGCGATAGACGGGAAACGTGGAGCCGGAGGAGAGGCGATGCTCTGCGCGTCGTGTGACAGGACAAAGGAAGCCGCCGGCAACTCTGCCACAGCGAAGGAGCTGCCAAGTTGTCAAATACGATCGGAGAGGACGAGCTCACCGGGGAGAAGGAGGAGGAGGAGGAGGAGAGAGAAGCGGCGGCGCAGGACGCAGCCATCCGCATGGCTGTGTGGTTCTGTGCAGCCGCCTCCGTCTTCCTCGCCGCTTCTCGCTGAACTTTGAGTGAGAATGCGGTGAGCTTAACCGCCCATGTCACGGCTCTCCTCCTCCCAGGGAGCGGCACGTGTTCCTCTACCGACGGCTTTCACGGACCGCTCATTTCCACGGTCCTTTGGTTTTGCCGGGATACTGATTTCAGTAATTCTCGAATACTCTCCCCCTGTACTCTTTTTTTTCTTACCTATTTATTCATCATTTATAATTAATTTTAAAAAAATGTTATTATAAATAGGAATTTATAAAAAAAAACCTTAGATTTTAATCGTATTACTTTGAGTCCTGTTCGCTCCGCTATTTAAAGAAATTATGTACTCAAATCTTCATTTTATTGTACCTAGAATTTATATCTGCCTCTGTCGGAGGTGTATACCGAAAAAAGGAAAACTTATCCAGTTTGTGATGTGAAGTCAACGCAATCGTGTGCCAAGTGAACAAAAATGAGTTCAACAAGTTAAACATTATGAAAGTCAACGGGAGCGCAATAATTTTTTTGTTTCCCAAATTTAGTTCTATACTCTGAAAATCTATGAGACTCTATTTACACCCACTTAAACTAGTCAACTGTGGTCAATATATAATATAAATTGAAAAACCCATTTCTCTCTCCCCCCCTTCCCTCTCTCTTTCACAAACATGCCAACCATTTTTCTAGAGAATAATCCATCAAGCTAGAGTTGTGTTCATGAGGGGATAGAGATAGAGAGAGAGAGAGAGGTGGTATGGAAGCATAGCCAATAATTTATCAGAATAAAAATGATTTTAAGGTCACGATAATGAAAGAAAAAATAAGATAAATGACTGGATCCGTATTAAAGGAAGCACATTCCAGATTAAAGCCGAGATTCCACATCCGATCCAGATTATGGAATTCCCGGTTTCCGGGAGCACGTTCAAACGAAGATCTTGTGCCGTCAGCTGCGTCCCGTTGACGGCGAGCGAAGAGGGATTACAAGCTGGTGGGGGTTCCCATCTTCTCTGTTTGGATCATTTATTCGTGATCGAAACCCGGAAAGGGGTTTCCGTCATCTTCAACGTTGGGCCGCAAATCCATCTCCCTTCCACAGCAATGGCCTGTGCCGTCCGGCGGCGCCGCTGGTTATCGTCCACGGGAATCGGTGCTTGGCCAGCGTCCGCCGCTTCGCCGCCACCCCCACGACGTCTCCTGCGTTCTGCGAGGAGGAAGAGACCAGAAGAAGACCACAGGCATGAGAAACTGCAAGAACTTGCAGGCTTCACTGCCGCGGGGGGGGGGGGGGAGAGAGAGAGAAAGATGATCGAGACCTGGAGACAGAGGCCATCTGGTACGTCGCAGATCGGGTAGTCCTGAGGACAGCAGTAGCTCGTGCCGGCGCAGCAGATGGCGTTCTCGTAAGAACAGCAGCCGTAGATGAGGCAGTAGCTGCCGAGATCAAGGATGCAGCAGCAGGTCTCGTCCGCTGGGCAGTAGGAGTAGTCCCCGCACTGGGACGGCGAAGGGCTCGCCGGAGGAGGAGGAGGAGGAGGAGGAGGAGGAGGTGGCGGCATCACCGCCGGCGACGGTGGGGAGGCGGATCCCGAATTCTTGGTGGGGTAGGAGGCCATGGCGTCGATGGCGCAGACGCCGTAGGGCAGCTCGGTGTTCCTCTTGATGTATATGTAACCAAGGATGCCCCAGCTCGTGCCCCACGAGTTCTTCACGATCCAGTAGTCTTCTCCTCCCTGCTCCCCGTAGCCGACGATCAGCACCGCGTGGTCGATGTCGTCCGGATTGTCCGAGCAGTCGCCGTCGTAGATTCCCTGAGTGTTCCATGATTATTCAAAAAGTCAGCCCATCTCGTTGAAAAGTTCGATCATTTCGCCCGAATTCCTGGGATACGAGCTCCAAGATCTTACTCCGGTGTACAGCTGGAAGTCCAATGATGATCCGTCGATCCCCACGCTGACCGGCTGCTGGAGGACAGCGCAGAGGAGTGCTTCCCCGTTGGCGGCGACGTCCTCGTACCCGTCGATCGACACCACCTTCATCTCTTCCTGAGGCCATTAGAACACAGTTAGAGAGAGAGAGAGAGAGAGAGAGAGAGAGAGAGAGGGAGAGAAAGAGAGAGAGACCTTGGTGGTGTTGCAGACGCCGTCCACGCCTGTGTAAGGATAGTTGGTCTCGGAGTCGATTCCGCCATTGTTGATGACCCACTCGAAGGCGTAGTCCATGTACCCGCCTTGGCAGCCATCGTTGGTGGCGTCGCAGTCGACGAGCTCCTGCTCGGAGAGGCTGACGAGGTCCCCGGTGGTGATGGCGTTGATCCCCTCCATGGCTCCGGTGGAGGAGAACGCCCAGCAGCTCCCTGCAGATCACCATTTCTAGATCTCCTTTCCCCAGGACTCGGAAAAAACCAGCAGGTGATCAGCGGAGAATCGCGTTACCGCACTGGCCCTGGTCCTTCACCGCGGTGACGGCGCCCCTGTTCCTCCAGTCCAGGGAAGTCGGCGCCTCGCACGCCGCCGCCTCGCCGGCGACCTTCTCCACCAGCCGCTTCCTCGACCTCCTCTCCTGGATGGCCGTCCTCAACGCCCTCGAGGAGTACATCTCCTTGAACTCCTCGTTGCTCAGGTCTGCAAACACGTTCAGCCCCACGGCGTGCCCAGGCGAGCCTGCCGCCGCCGCTCTGGCCTCGTTCCGCCGCCTCACGAACTCGAGGTTCCTGACGAAGTTGCCGTACCGCCGGGCCTTCTCCTCCGGGTGGGCGTACACCTTGCGGTGCCTCTCCATCCACCGCTCGAACATCTCCACGGCGGCGCCGCCGCCCTCCTCAGCTTCCGCGGCGTCTCTGCAGGAGACCCACAGAACAGATAGGAGAAGCAGCAACGCGACGGCTCTCCCTTGGCCCATCTTGGAACAGCGATGGGTTCATCTGGAAGAGCTCCCATGGCAGCGTATATACACGCAGTGGGGAAGTAGCATGAGTAGAAAGGTAGTTGCAGAATTGACCGTTGAGCTGGGGAGGAAGACGACGGACGACCGGAATGGAAGGTGAGGACAGAGCTGCGGACTCTGTGAGACCCCCATACCTCTCGTCCACCGTTCCTCTGAGCCTGAACTACCAGTCCACGCGAAGGAAATTGGTCAACGCTTCCATGGAGTCGATAAAAGTTAGTCGAACCAGATTCATTAGTACTCAAACCAGAGAGACACGAAGGATTATTCACGAGCTATCAGCTGAAACATGCATCAACGAGCCCACAATGAGCACAATCACAATCCACTTTTTAGGGTTTCCGTTTGATCCAGCAGCAGTTCACGTTCACAAGATGCAACAGAGCCCAGTTCCGCATTACTGTTTGCCTCCTCCTCCATCATCCTACAGACTGGAGTTCTACATGACAGTTTCTTCCTAGGGCATAAACCTGGAAAGCTACTGTCAGAATTGCTGCATCAACAGCATAAGGCCGATGACGATGAACTGTCTTCACAGTCATCTTTCCTTGGTGGAGGGTTCACATTTTCTGCCATGATTGAGTGCCTGTTCGGAAATGGGGAGTGCGATACTTCTCTGTAATGTAGGTTGCTTTCTCCGCCCTGCCACCCAAGCAGGCGTAGGCAGCGCTATGCAATTCTTCAAGCTATTTGGCCGTTTCACCTGGGTACAGTTATTTCTATCCAGAATCACCAAGGAAGATGACCTTAAAGAAGATGGATATGGAACCTTCAATGAGAGACCTCAGAATCACCAAAGCTGCTTCTCACCTCAGAGCGAATGGGCCAATGGAAGATCCACTCACATTCAGGATCCACCACAGCGCTCCAAAAAGGGAAAGGATAATCTATCACTGGTGGAAAACATAGTCAAGTGGGATTTGAATTAGTAAGATGATAGGAGTACCATTTCCCCATTCGATTTAGAAAAGAAAATGGTAAACGGGCTACATGAGAGCAAGTTCTTAATTAGTGTTTACTTAATAATTGACCATTGACCAACCAATGAGATCAAAGAGTATGTGACAAGGAAGGCTCACCCAGAAAAATATCACAATAAAGTTATCCCACAATGAATATTCATCAAAGATCCATGTACTGCACAATCAAATCGCAGGATAAGTTCTTGCAAGAGAATTGACAAGGCACTAACTAATGTTGCATGAGAGTTACTGTATCGGACCTGCGAAGAGAAGCTCAGAATTGTTTCTTTGTCATGAGCACTATTGCATACAAGAAAGAAGCTGTATGCCTGCATCCTCCCTTGCAGTATCCGCAGTTAATTGTCCAAAAACAGAAAAAAGAAATAACGAGTGTGCTCTCCACGTGATGAAAGGATCATCAGAAAATGCTGAATAATAGTCAAAGTAACCCTCATGGTATGCCACACCATACAGCTTAAGCTCCTGGGAGTTGACATGTCTGTTTCAGATAACGACAAGCAGGAAGAAAGCGGAGGAAAGTGAAGTGCATAAACGACATATAGGGCTCCATGGCAAAGTATCACGCTTTTGACACTTAGAAACTCGGTTGATAAATATAAAGAAGAAGATTGGCATCTTAGAGAGTGAAAAGCTGTCAATTTCGGTATATTCACAAAGAAAAAGAAACTGATTCTGCTAAACTGGAGAGCTCTACAATCAGATGTTTATTATTTTGAAGTACATGGTTTTTCCTGAAGTATGCATGCCATATGCCCTCATCTAATTCTTCTCTACAGGGCATAAGATACAGATGATACGCGACATGCCAGACAAAGGAACAAAGAGGCAAATCACCTTCTGTCCCCCCACAAGATTCATATCTGCATTCAACACCTTTTCTCATTGGTAAGCCGTCTAAGAACGGAAATCCCGGTCCACCTTCGTAGCTAATTCATGCTCGAGGATCAGTGCCATGCTGCCAGACATAGACTAGCTCGTCCCAGCCCGTGCTAGCCAGCATCCCCTCCACCAGCACGCTCATGTCAATCCCACCCACGAACTCTGTGTGATGGTCGTAACGCGCAAGGAGGGAATCTTCGGCCTGGTAATCCCACATGCATACAGTCATATCGTAGGAGCACGACACAAGAACATTTGGTCGGTGCGGTGAGAATTTGATCTTGCGGACGGCAAATGAATGGCCTTCGAGCCTGTTCATTGGCATTCTGGTGTTCCGGATGTCCCAAATACCGATAGACTTGTCGATGGAGGCCGTAGCTAGACAGCACTGATCGTACTTGTTCCAGTCGCAGGAAAGTATCTCGAGATCGTGGGCAGAGAGAGTGAGCTTGCTTGTCGGCTCGCGAACGTCCCAGACTCGGACGGTGCAGTCGCCTGAGGCGGATGCAAAGACGTCTGCATGGCGGGGGCTCCAAGCGGCGGTGTATACACAGTATGTGTGCTCGCGGAACGTGCGGATGCTGGCGGGGCGATCCACGGCCCAAAGCTTGATGGTATCATCCCAGGAGGAGGTAAGGAAGGAATCGCGACGGACAGGATTCCAATCGGCCGAGTGGACCTCGCGGCCGTGCTCCTTGAAGGAGCAGACGGGATTAGAATTCGGGGGGAGGGCGGTATCCCAGAGCTTAACGTGACCATCGGCTACGGCGGAGACGAGCAGAGACTCGTGTGCCTCGGACCAGGCGCAGTCGTAGACGCCATCGGCGGTGTCGAAGGCGCAGAGCTCGACGATGGAGCCGGTGGCGGGGTCGATATCGATGACCTGGATGCGGCCATTGCCGATGATGCCGAAGTTCTGGGCGCTCGCCACCACCAACCGCGTCTCGAAGAAGGGACTGAACTTGACGGCGTGCCCGCTGAACCCCGCCTTGAAGATCGGCATCGCTCGATTTGGGGGCGGCGGCGGAGTGGGAAGAATGGAAGATGAGAAATTCCGGCGAGGACCAGGGGCGGAAGAGAAGACGCCAAAATCTGGATCGGGTTTCTTTATATAACTGTGTGGGACCAAGAGATGGACGGATGTGATGAACTCAAACGGTCACGATTGACCATCGGGGTTCCAATATTACATCGAATCGACTCCCCGTGATGGAAGATGATCCAAATGATCCGGTTGGGTTTTCTGGGCTGATAAATAAATGAGACAAATTTTAGCGGCCCATATAAGCCCACTCTATAGACTCTAAAGCCCACCACCCTCTCTCTCAAGAGATATGCCGACAGAGGAGACATCGTTGACCTTGGATGTCAGAAGATAGATTACATGATAGTTGGGTTGAGCCCTCCGAGACAAAAAGAAAGTCAACGGAATGGGCGCCGCGCCTGGCTATAAAGTCAACAGAATCCTCGTTTAACACCCATGAAACTTTGGAGTGAATTCCTGCAAAATATAGCCAAAAGTAGGTCATTAATTGTTTTGACTTTTAGGTGGACTCGGGCGCTGACCTTAGCATTGTAAAGCCACGTGGCTCGGCGTGGGAGGGAGGGTGGAGCCTTCCGAGAACAGCCAAGGTGATATTCCTCTCCAGCTGGATCGTTCCAAAGGTGGGCCCACAGGCCCAATAGGCGAGATCCCTCCTCATCCCTTCAGGGGAGGATAAAATCTCATCTTCGCCGTCGCTACGCTTAAGACTGAGCCCGCCGTCGACTCTGGGCTGGCCCACCTGCGCCTACAGTGCCCTCCACCACATCACCCACGCGGAGGACCACGTGGGAGCCTCTCTCTCTCTCTCTCTCTCTCGGCCCTCTTCCTCCTTTGAAGGCCTCTGCATGATACGAATAGAAGAGAGAGAGAGAGAGAGAGAGAGAGATAGAGGTTGGAGAAGGTGAGGATTGGAGAACGAGGAGGGAGGGCTCAAGCTCTGCTCAACAGCCGACACATCCATATCCGCATCCCTTGTGGCAAACGTGGAAGGAGATATCCTCGTAAATCACATCTCTCTTCGTCCTCCGTGGGCGAGCTACGAAGGATGTGACCCAGATGAAAGAATTTAAAAACTCCCGACAAAAGTCAACCTCAAGAGCTCTCTCTCTCTCCATAGATCTATCTATTTGTCATCGAAAGATGCGAGCTTGGCGCACTGTGGAGGGTCCAATCCCCCGCACTGCCCTCACAGTTCTCCTTTTGCTTTTCGCCTAAAGAGAATCAATCGTCACATTCTTCAGATCATCAACCCAGTGCTCTCCATTCGGCCAGCGCCCCACTCTTTTCCGTAGGCTCATCCGGCGAGAAAGATAGATAGAAAGAGATAGAGAGAGAGAGAGAGAGAGAGAGCGCTAGAACTCGATTATCTCAATAGCTCATGGGTTCTATCCCTTCAATCCCGAATTAGAGGACGCATTGTCGTAAATCTGACCGGTGAGGAAAGGCCCTGCACGAGTTAACGCGTGGGACCGCATCTCTCCGTCTTCCTCACCTAGCTGCCGCCGTTTAGGGTGCGCCATCGTGACTCGGGGCACGGGCTGCCACGCGTCATGTTTTATGAGGTCAACCTTTTCACCGCCGGCCCCGTGGGGACGGGGGGGATGAGGTGATAATATTAACGTGGTATCCCCCCCCTAGTTCTCGCATCATTCGCACGGCTGGTTATATATGGGAGCCGTAACGTCGCAACAGAGGGATGAGGCCGCGGGGAGTTCCTCTTCGTTTCTCCTCTCTTCTGCACAAAGAGAGAGGAAATCGAGAGAGAGAGAGAGTGAAGGAGAGTCATGAGGGAAACGATTAAGTGTTGCATGTCCTGCATCCTCCCATGCGGCGCGCTGGATGTGATCAGGATTGTGCACGCGAACGGGAAGGTGGAGGAGATCAGCCACGCGGTGAGGGCGGGGGAGATCATGCAGGCGTATCCCAAGCACGTCCTCCGGAAGCCACCGTCGGCCGGAGATGAAGGCGAAGGACGCAAGGGAGCCGTCATCGTTCCGCCCACCGCCGAGCTTCGGAAGGGGAAGATCTACTTCCTGATGCCGGTGTCCTCTGCAGCCGAGAAGGTGCGGCCGGCGTCGGCAAAGAGGAGGAAGAAGAAGAGGGACATGCAGAGCCACGGCAGCGCTACGGACATTGCGAGTCTCCTTCTCTCCGATCGGTACCTGTCGGATATACTCTCGGAGAAGGCTTCGTCGCAGAGGGACCGGCGCAGGGGGCGGGTCGGCGTGTGGCGACCACATTTGGAGAGCATCTCCGAGGTCACCAACGACTTCTAGAACCAGCATTCTATTTCGATTTTTATCTACTTGCTCCTCCCCTCTTTCTAGCGCCAACCATGGCACTCCTTGTACATAGAGAGATAGACGAAGAAACGGCCATCGTTCTGTCTGTCTGTCTGTCTCCTTGATCGTCCATCTAACTGTGAGTTGTGGAAGTCCCCTAGGACCCTTCCCGGCCGAACACAATTTTTACTCATATCTCGGGGACGGCAGTACACGAGATCTGATTTAGCTCATAATTCCCCCAGTTCATGCCGCCTCTCACTCTACCTCGGAAATGAGTGTTCTTCTCTTTCTCCCCCCCTCCCCCCCCTCCCCCAACAAATCGATGATAAGATTCTCATAGAACAGAGAGAGAGAGAGAGAGAGAGTTTGGTGCGTCTGATGATGCGGTGAAAAAGCATCCTTTTCCCGGCTCATCGATCTGGCATTTCTCATATTCTAAAGATCGCCACCACAATGCTCTAAGGATACTTTACGCCACCTCCTTTTAGATATCTCAGGGTTTTTTGTAAGTTTGATCTTGCGCCGACGGAGAGAGAGAGAGAGGACATCTCTGCATGAGAATGGTGCACACTAGTAATCATACGTAGCCCGTGTGGTAAGATGGTTCTGGTTCGAGGAAGTTTAATATGGCGGGGAGGGGGGGCGGACAGGTTGGGGAGGACGGAAGACGGCTCACCCTCCAATAATTTCATGCCACCGCCTCTCGCCTTCCGATTTCCTGTCGTCTCCCTGTCGTCCCTCATGTCACTGTCTCAACCTTTTGGTTCGTGTGGGTAGACAACTAAGAGAGAGAGAAAGAAACCTGAGAAAGAGAAATATAGATGTAGATGCGTGGAGGTATACATATATCTAGATAGATAAAGGGAGAGAGAGAGAGAGGAAGAGAATCCCCATTCCAGCTTCCTCTCTGGACGGTGCCGCCTTCATCCTCCCGTCACCTTTCCTTTTCTCCATGATGCGGAGAGAAGAAGTGGGCTCCCGAGAGGATGGAGGGCAAGCGGGAGAGGCCGCCTCCTCGCCGACAGTCGTCGACGAAAGCCAGGACCATGGCGGTTGATTGGCAGCACCCCACCGCAACCCCCGATTGTCCAGCGGCTTTATATCCCTCAGTGGGAGGCTCCTCACATGGCCTGAAGGAAGAGGAGGGGCCGCCGGGAATCGCAGGCTCCGAACTTCGCACTTCGCCGTGGATAGGGACGCCTCGGCGGTCATCTCTCACTCTCTCTCTACATTAACGTGTATTTTAAAACATCTATATATTCATATATAACAGGGGTGACCCCATCACCCATCAGGAGGGTGGCGTCCCCACGTCACGGATCATTAATAAGAACAGGGTGGGGACGATGACACCAACTTTGGTGACAAGTCACATGTGATCTCATCCCTCGTTGGTGGGATGTTCAGTTATCACAATATGTTCCAGTCCGAATCACTTGCACCAACGACGAATGGATCTTGCCAGACTGCTATATACGGATGGGAAATTTTTGATTTTCAGAACATTATTTCACGGTTCCAGTATCAACATAATGGCATCCAGATGGGTAGATCCGATCCATGGGCGTGTGATCTAACCTGATCCACTCAAGTGGTCGTGTCCACTGGGTTTCCTGATCAAGTCTGATAAGAATTATGCAATCTTGTGATTTTTTTCCATTATAAATAACAAATAAAGTAGAAGGTTCCAAGTAGGGCCCATTGGATAATCCCTTATCTTGCATCATCCTTATTCTGCATTGGAACTAAGAAAAATAGGACTGACATAATCTCTATATGGGCAAAATTTATACTTCAATCTCGGCTCAAAAACAACTTTCTTGTATGACTGCTCCTACTCTTAAAGCTCTCTCTCTCTCCCCCCCCACCGGCCCCCCTCTCCCTCCCTTTCTGTCTATTGTCTTTATGTTCATAGGGGATCTAGATTGGTGATTATTTCATCGGGTTTCCCCTCTATTTGGGTCTTGCAGGCACACCCACTTTAACCTAATTCTTTTTAAGATATGGTTTTGGATTTGATGAGATCCAGTAGACAACTTGTTTTTGATTCTCTTCCCTCCTAGTCCAATATCTTATATCTGATAATATTATTTTTATTGTAACATAAAGCTATTATTTTCTCAACTTGTTAGTATTCTATCAAGCTAACCATTCTATTGAGTATAGAAATTTATTGTAGATCCTTTGAGGTATATTCTTTGGTGGAAATATGTCATTTTTAAAATAACCACACAACCTTTGTGTTCAAGTTATTTAATCAACATTGTTCATCTCACAAGGTATATGTAATTTTGATAGTACATCATTTTTCCATTAGTATTAAGCATGGTTTTGATCTCCTTATTATGATTAGGGTGGCAATCTCACAGATCTTAGGCCTTGCCAAATGTACACATTCCTTATGGCTATGCCCAGCCCAAGATAAAACACCAGCACTCTAAGCAATTGACAATATTGTAAAACAAAGTCTATTGAAGTCTATACCATGCATATATAGGGATATATTTGGATTTGCTCTTTAAAAAGAAAACTTTATGGTAAACCATCATATAAGATACTTTAGGACATCTTAAATAACCTTTAATGGATAAAATGCCTCAAGTATAACATTTTACCGCTAATAAATTATATAATATTTACAAACTTGGTATGTTTTTAGTTTAAAATGCTGTGATATTTATGTGTACATTATCAAATATATGTTTTGATTACTAAAAAATCATTTAGTATCACTATCATATAAATGCATGGAGTTTAACACCTTATGTTGAGTAATAGGTCAAAAGTGTAAACCTTTTTTAATCATGAGTAAAAACTTCAAATTGGAAATAAATAATGGATGTGTCAAGTAGGCTCATGTTAGTGGTGGGTTGACTTTGTCTTTCAAATTGTCAGGTCTATAATGTTGATGCCCTTGGATATGATAATTGCAACTGAAATTTTATTGAGAATTTATTTTTTAATATTAATAATTCTTTATATGAGTCACTTATATGTTTTAAATGTTTAATACATTCAACGAAGTTATTATATGAATTATCTTTCTTACATTATTTTATGATCTTACTACCAACAGTTAAATCTAAGATATTAATTTTTGAGATTAAGTGATTCTTTATCTTAGAAATATTTGAGGATAAAAGATAATTAACTGAGTAATCATCATAAATGAAAAGCTAAGCATATGTTGAATATGTATAATTCAACCATATCAATAACTTATCTTTAATTATATAATTATCTAATCATATTACACTCTTTAACATTTAGAAATAATATTAGAAATAATATATTACGTGCATTAAGTCATAAAGAAAATAAGAAAAAAAAATCAAGTTTCAAATAAAGCATTTGATGATGATACATTGATCGATTATATTGACAAAAAGTGATGGTTAACTTAATGATATAGATCTTAAGTGTACATCAACCTATTCTCCATCAAGTTAGAAAATTTAATTCAAATTTGAACAAAATGACCACGGAATAAAATGATTCAAAAATTAGAAGGTTCAAATGTTGTTAATGTATATCATAAAAAATGACAAGTTTTTGAATAAAAAATTAAAATGTTAGAGGTTCAAAAATTAAAAATCCAGCATAAGATGATGGCTTACTTATAGAAGAAGAGTTATGATTCAAAAACTAATCAAACAAATATAAGAGTATTTAAGATTGAAATCAAGTTCTTCGTGTGACACACATAAATAGTTGATTCTAATAAACAATTAACTCAACCATCATGACCTTTGTTATCCATTTGGCCCTAAGATAAATAGATGGTGAGGGAAGAGTATTTTAAGTGAAAACACTAGATATTAAATATCCAATGAGACGAATTTGACTTGTTTGCGTGACTAATCCCATAAATATCAATATGTATTCTTGAGGAAAATAAGTACATATTAAAGTGAAGTTTTTCTTTATAAGACAAAAAATAACTAAATAAGGAACAAACTATCATAAAAAGCTTGGTGTTTTTTGTGAGATAATTAAGACAACTTTTTACAAAATGTATGTTGACAAGTTTAGAGGTGGCCCTAATAGTGTTGTGATAAGCAAGTTAATTAAAATAGTTTTTTGAAAGTATTTGATAATATAGATAATTTTTTGTTGTTTGAGTTTTGAGTAAGTTAATTAAAATAGTTATTTGAAAGTATTTGATAATATAGACATTTTTTTGTTGTTCGAGTTTTGAAAACCTGATATAAGTTCGAAGCTAACAAAAGATTATGATGGTAAATAAGTTTATGTTATTTTTGTTAGGGTATCTCAATATTAATATTTAAACACTTTCATTATCTAATAGTGTTATACATATATCAGTGTATGAAGTTTATGTAATAGAAAAAAATAATATATCAAGGTTAATAGGTTCAATTATAAGAAAATGCATCATAAAATATACAAGTACATTAATGTTCATAAATAAATTTATGAGACATTGTACTATGAGATGTCATTAAATTAAATATTAAATGACCTCATAGATTACATTATGCTTCATACATTTATATATGATAATTTAAAATAATCATGAATTCTAGTGAGGTTAACTTTTCAATATATAAGAAGTTACACTACAAAATAATTACGTACACAAATCTTAATACCTAATATATGATAAGCTATGTTAATGCAATAAAATTACATCATAAATATATTAATACATATTGAATAATGTTTTAGAACACAAGTATCAAATATAGAAGCATACATAAATAACAATATATGTTAAGTAAAATATTGAATGCATTAGAATTATAGAGTTAAAATATAGTATTTGAATCGTAATATCTCAATGTGAAATCATGATAGAAAACTCAAGAATTGCATATGAATAATTGTTTATATCTATTGTACGACTAATTCAAATACCTTTAGCCAAAAACTCAAAAATGAATGATTTCATTGCAATGTATTAAACATTGCAGTAGAATCATAATTTAGTTTATAATTGTAAAACTTGATTATTTGTAGCAGTTATTTAT